AGACCACAGCGCTTCTTTATTCTCAGTCCAGTTCTGTTTCAGGGGACGGTTGGTATTGATTACTGACAGAATATTTTGATTTATTGACTCATGAACCTCTCCTTCTCTCTCTCTTTTGCATCCCCAGCCCTTCAACACTCACCTCCTCTGCCGTCATTGTAGATCTAACCAGCGGCGTCTGGATTACAGGATGTTGGATTGAATAAAAAAGAGTTTGGGTGAGAAATCTGGGGCAGACGTGAGATGAATAAGAGATTAAATACTCATGATGGTGCATGTTTGATATTCTGTTTACTGCATGCATGTGGAGCAGCAGCAGTCCCGTCTTGCAGGGAGGTGTCAGCGCTGGTTACGCTCATTATCCTGACTCATGAAGTGGAGGACAGCTTCTTGGCTTTCCCTTCTTTAAAAACCTCTCCCCCCTCTCTCGCTGGCATCTCTTTGACACTATTTATTACTAATACTTCATGGATCTTTGATGCTTTTTGAAGTCAGCAGGAACTATTTGCATCTGTTACATCACCTTTTTTTTTTTCCCCCCTCCCTGGCAGCACACTACTGCAGCAGCACTTATTCGTTTAAGCAATTCGTGCAGCCCCCTGTAATAAACCTGATATTCGAGCCTTCCTGGTTCGGCCTCTGCTGGTTTTAATTCCCGCCGTCTGAAATAGCTGACCACTAACGTTCAGGCACAAATGCAATCAAAGGCAACGCGCGCTTTGATCCACGGTTGTCAGTTTGCATGAACACGCTGTCAAACACTTCCTGGTTCGCAGTTGACAGTTGTGTTTACACAGCCAGTGTCGTCATGACTCACTTCAATCATCTTAATGGTGCACGGTGACACTGAAGAGCACAGGCCCAGTGTGAGTGCTGACAGCTACCTCAACCACGTTCATATTTCTTCTGTTTTTTTTTACACTCTGATGTGTTTAAAGTCACAGAGATGAGACCTGCTGCCAATTACTCTGATATACGAACCGTAAACACACAAAACAACATGTGTGTGACATTTCCTGGACATATATATATATTCTAATGAAGAGTATTCACACCGTATATACATTATACGCTGCAGACTAAGTGTTCAAGTGGAGATGAAAAATGAGGCGGTGAAAAGGTGAAGGGATCTTATACCTGCACTCCTCGATAAGCAATTAAAGGTGGTGTAGGCAGGAATCCGTTAAAGAAGCATCTTTTTTTTGTGGTGTATTTACAAAACAGCTTTTAATATCAGTCAATAGTTATTAGTTATTAATGACATTTGGGAATATAATGATATCTTTGTGTTCTCTTATGTCTGTGTATATCGGACAGTAGAAACCAACCAGAAAGTTCGGAAAATTGTCTGAATCCTCCTTTGGCCACGACTGCCGACACAAGCAAGAAAACAAAGTAAATACCGGAGACTCTGGAGGAATAACGGGCGCTTAAAACTGAGGTAGACCGGACAAGAGCTAAAAAGCCGGGTCAACATAAACGATGGGGGACGCTTGGGGATCTTGGTGACCCTGTAACCTTTCTGCTGGACAGGTAAACCGCTTTAACAAAGTAAGACAAGTGTCTGTAACAGAAGTGTTTCTTGTCAAACGGACCTGCTGTAGCGTGTTGTAGCGCCATCGCTAAACTGTCCTCCCTCGGGTCCTGGACTATGTCACTTTATCCTAGTTGTAGAAGTCCTGCAAACATTGTGTTTGCTGGTAGTCTGTTGGCATCTACAGTAGCACCAATGCTTTTGACTTTCACCTTGACTGGGCCCCATTTGTAATGATCTGAAGTATTTATCTGCATTATATCTGAATTTAATTGGAACGATACGAGCGAGCAGGAGCGTCTGTTTGTGGGCGGGGCTTGAGACAGAGAGAGAGAGAGAGTGTTTCTCTGTGTTGTCTCTTTAACTCTGTGTCTCTAAAACAGTTGAAGTGTGTTTCTGCTCGATGAGGTTTCTATGAGGTGAATAAATGTTGGTTCAGTTGATCTTCAGGACGGCTGCAGCTTTAAGAACTTCTGCTTGTTGGAGTTTGAGAGTCTAAAGTTCACAGAGACACGCCTCTTCCTGGATTGTAGGTAAACTGGTCCCCCCCCCTCCCTCGTCTCTCTCAGCTCACTCCACTCTGCACTCTCACTTCCTTGTTCCCTTCCCTTCCTTTCTCCCTCCCCCTCAGATCTACAGTCTTGGTTGGGTGTAACCGCCGTGTGCTGAGGTCATATCCTGTTGACTCACATGTTGTTGAGATCAGAGCTCAGACTAGTTTCACTTCTCAGGAAATAAAACTCAGTCAGTCGTCAACAGTGAGTGTTGAAATGGCGCAGAAAGGAGTTCATCTGGACCGTGAGTCTTTCTCTTGTTCCATCTGTTTGGATCTTCTGAAGGATCCGGTGACTGTCACCTGTGGACACAGCTTCTGCATGAGCTGTATTCAATCCTACTGGGATACTGAGGCTGAGAAGAAGATCTACAGCTGTCCTCAGTGCAGAGAGACCTTCAGACCGAGGCCTGTCCTGAAGAAAAACACCATGTTAGCAGGTTTAGTGGAGGAAGTGAAGAAGAACGGACTCCAAGCTGCTCCTGATGGTTCCTCTGAGGCTGGACCTGAAGATGTGGCCTGTGATTCCTGCAGTGGGAGAAAACTGAAAGCTGTCAAGTCCTGTCTTCAATGTTTGGCTTCTTACTGTCAGATTCACCTCCAGCCTCATTTTGAATCTCCTACATTTAAGAAACACAAGCTGGTGGAGCCCTCCAAGAAGCTCCAGGAGAACATCTGCTCTCGTCATGATGAGGTGATGAAGATCTTCTGCCGCACTGATCAGAAGTCCATCTGTTAGCTCTGCTCTGTGGACCAACACAAAGGTCACGACACAGTCTCAGCTGCAGCAGAAAGGACTGAGAGGCAGAAAGATCTGGAGGAGGGTCGAGAAAACATCCAGCAGAGAATCCAGGACAGAGAAGAAGATGTGAAGCTGCTCCAACAGGAGGTGGAGGCTATCAACGGCTCTGCTGATAAAGCTGTGGAGCACAGCCAGGAGATCTTCAGACAGCTGATCCGTCTGATGGAGAAACGCCGCTCTGAGGTGGAGCAGCAGGTCAGATCCCAGCAGGAACGTGAAGTGAGTCGAGTCAAAGAGCTTCAGGAGAAACTGGAGCAGGAGATCACTGAGCTGAAGAGGAGAGACGCTGATCTGCAGAAGCTCTCACTCACAGAGGACCACAACCAGTTTCTGCACAGCTACCCCTCACTGTTTGGACCGGGTCAACCTGCAGACTCATCCAGAATCTACATCCGTCCTCTGAGATACTTTGAGGAGGTGACAGCAGCTGTGTCAGAGCTCAGAGAGAAACTCCAGGATCTTCTGACAGAGACGTGGACAAACGTCTCACAGGCCGTGACTGATGTGGATGTTTTACTGTTAGAACCACCAGGACCAGAACCCAAGACCAGAGCTGGTTTCTTAAGATATTCACAAAGAATCACACTGGATCCAAACACAGCAAACAGAGAGCTGATATTATCTGATGGAAACAGAAGAGCAACAGTGACAGCAGAAGAACAGTCTTATCCTGATCATCCAGACAGATTCACTGATTATGTTCAGGTCCTGAGTAGAGAGAGTCTGACTGGACGTTGTTACTGGGAGGTGGACTGGAGAGGGGACAGGGTTTGGGTAGCAGTCGCATACAAGACTATCAGGAGAGACGGAGAACCAAAGGATTGTGTATTTGGATTAAATGACAAATCTTGGAGGTTAGGCTGTTATAAACACAGTTATAGTTTTGGTCACAACAACGTCCTCACTGATGTCTCAGGTCCTCCGTCCTCCAGAGTAGGAGTGTACCTGGATCACAGAGCAGGTATTCTGTCCTTCTACAGCGTCTCTGAAACCATGACTCTCCTCCACAGAGTCCAGACCACATTCACTGAACCTCTACATGCTGGACTGTGGTTTTACTGGTCTGTTGGAGACTCTGCTGAGTTTATAGAAGTGAACTAAAGAGAATTTTGAGTCCATCAGACCAAAATCATGGACTGAGATCCTTGAGCTCTTGAAATGTTCTGGTTTGTAAATGTTTGTGGATCAGTCTCACCAAAAACTCTGGGTTTAGTTCTTCATTTCAGCTTTTTGATTCTTTTCTAAAGATGCTGATTTGGTCGCAGCTTTAAGGACAGTGATTGTGGAGAACTTTGATTGTTTGTATTTCTCATGTTGAAAAATCTTCATCAAGTTTGATATCAACAACATCAAGATGATGGTTTGTTCAAATCACCTTCAGTTGGTGCAGATGTTGAAGGTCTGAGACTTTAGAAAAAAGTGAGGTCAAAATCACAGAAAAAGGACGACCTTATTTCCTGTCCCAAATCCAAGCGTCTAAAGTCTTTCCAGTCGTCCCCAAAAACTCTTCAGATGATCTGTTTCTTTCTCTGTTTGCTGAATATTTGTGTTCATGTGATCGATGGATATTTCTGTCTGCTTCTGTTGGATCAGTGTGTTTGTAAAGACATCTAGAATCAGACTTTGGACAGATCTACATGTTGTTATGAGCTTTTCAATCACTCTAATAATAATAATCACATTTATTAGTCCGGCTGTTTGGATGTTTCTGACTCAGCTCAGATTGTGGTCAAGTCTCTGATTGTGGGTAAAAAAATCATAAAAATCCTCAAACTGAGTCACTGAAATCACCTCGTCTGTTTGTCTTTATTGTGTCTGTTTCTGCTGGATGTCATGTTACCGCTCCGTCTGGGTCATGGATCCATGTGGTCTTACATGTCCCAGATGTGAGTCCTGCAGCTGGATCAGGTTTTCTGTAGAGGACAAAGACAGGAGGCAGGTTGTGTGTCTTTTTGATTTGATGTAACCAGACTAGTCCTGTTGAGATCATCAATCTCTTTTTCAGGGGGGGTCCTGACCAAGAATGGCAGCAAAAAACAAAAACACTCAGACTCTCACAGATCCACATCAGCAACAAGAACTCAGTGTTCATATGAGAGATATAACGATATCTCTGTGTTCTCTTATGTCTGTGTCGTCAACATTTGAACATTTTTGAGCGGTCCGCTCTTTCTGACTGTAAACAAAGCCGTTCTCCACCTCCTCTAACCTGATTGGTTGTGAGGCAGACGCTGCTCCCCTGTGTCGTTCAGGAGCCCAAACAAAGTTAGCGTGCTACAATATCGGACAGTAGAAACCAACCAGAAAGTTCGGAAAATTGTCTGAATCCTCCTTTGGCCACGACTGCCGACACAAGCAAGAAAACAAAGTAAATACCGGAGACTCTGGAGGAATAACGGGCGCTTAAAATGGAGGTAGACCGGACAAGAGCTAAAAAGCCGGCTCAACATAAACCATGGGGGACGCTTGGGGATCTTGGTGACCCTGTAACGTTTCTGCTGGACAGGTAAACCGCTTTAACAAAGTAAGACAAGTGTCTGTAACAGAAGTGTTTCTTGTCAAACGGACCTGCTGTAGCGTGTTGTAGCGCCATCGCTAAACTGTCCTCCCTCGGGTCCTGGACTATGTCACTTTATCCTAGTTGTAGAAGTCCTGCAAACATTGTGTTTGCTGGTAGTCTGTTGGCATCTACAGTAGCACCAATGCTTTTGACTTTCACCTTGACTGGGCCCCATTTGTAATGATCTGAAGTATTTATCTGCATTATATCTGAATTTAACTGGAACGATACGAGCGAGCAGGAGCGTCTGTTTGTGGGCGGGGCTTGAGGGGAGAGGAGGAGCTGAGGGGAAAACTGGTTTGGAGGGGTAGAGTTTATATCAAGATTTCTCCCAAAAACTGGAACTTCCTCAGATCCTGACTACACCACCTTTAACTGGTATATAACGGTTGATCTTGTGCAGAAGTTTCAGTCCAATAAAAGGTTTGCAATTGAGTCACACTGACTCACAAATACACACCCATGCAACACACACAACCCCTGCATGTGTCTCTGACTCCAGTGTGTAATTGGAAGGGCGCGGAGGTGGCGATGCTCAATTAGCCCGGTTGGTCTCTGTTTGTGAGGGTGAATTGACTGACCACAAGTCATCTGGAGGAAGACCGAGACCCCATCACGACTTTGACACCGATCTCCTCCCTCATTTCTGAGCTGTAATCAGACTCAGCCGGTTTCAGTTTTAATTGGAGGACAACATTTATTTCCACATATGAAAGTAACGAAGAGGGTACACTGGTTGTTTCCAAGTTTGATGATGAGGAAGGTTTAATCAGTGCGAAGACCTGAAACACACTTGGATTTACGACATGAAACAGACCCTGCAAAAAGCCTTTAAACGAACCAGATAAGCCACCCTGAGCAAGAACTGGAGTTACAGAAAACAAGATCAGAGTTTTGATTTCAACAGCGATAAAAGAGAGAGGGGAGACTGGGCAGTCTAGAGGCCAGGCCAGGTCAAATATTACAGATATAACCTCAGAAACAGATAAATGTCCCCATAAAGTAAATGATCTGACATGTTCTCCTCGAATAAACTTGAGTGAAATAATTATGAGACCTTAAACATGAAGCTTGATTAAATGTTATCCTCAGAAAACCTTTGAAAATTCGTTCATATTGAAGATTTATTGTCCTGCCAGTGAATCCTGTGGTATATGACATTAATCCTCAGAGTATAGACTTGTTTTTACATAGATGTACTAAAACATAAACATGCAATCATGTAAACAAAGTAAAAGAATAACTGTAGAGGACCCAGGACAGAACCCTGGGGCACTCCACAAGGTCATATGTCCATATTTAACACAAACATGAACTTCATCTGTTAACATTATTGTCAACTGGACAAAAAACCATCAGTGTCAGTGTTTCCATCATCCATCAGGAAAACAGAAACTTGTTGATCTGTTTTGTGTAAGTGGAATTCATCACTTTCTTTTCAAAACCTTTAAGTTTTTCCAACACCACGCTGGGACACTGCCAGGTTACAGAGAGCTATAAAGAACAGAGACCGAGCCGGTACACGTCGACTCAAGGACATTTTTATATATAGATGTTGGTAAAATGTCAAGGAGAGTCTGGGACGGTTTTATCCTCGCCCACAAAAGTGAAACACGCTTCTGTTAAAACGTCAGTGAAGATGTTTGATTCTGTAAAAGAAATTTAAGAACTGAGATACCCTCTTTATTTTACTGTGGCACTTTTCTCTGCGACCCTGTATCTACCTTTATTTCTGATCCACGTTGAATCGTAATGTTTCATCCTCTCCCCATCATATAATGTCTTTAAAGTGCAGGAATTTAGGACAGACATTATTTTTGTCTCGATGAACTTTCTTTTAAATAAATAGATGTTTCTTTGGGATGGCTAAACAAGACTTTATTAGATTTCATTTGGCAACAACTTGCATGAAAAGTTTTCTGCAGCTTTAGTAAACAAACTTTTGCACATGCACAGCATTTGCAGAGCATATTTAGTTATAAAAATCATTTCTGTGGTTTAAAACAAAAGGAAAAGAAAAAAAAACAGAGAAAAGTTATCTTAAATAAATCAGATGTCCCTTTAGGTTCTTCCTTTCATGACCCATTTGAGACTTTAGAGTCCGTGAATGGTCACATGATCCACACATGGCTTTTCCATCATTTCCACCCTCCTTCTTTTTTTTCCTCTTCAGGTTTTCCATCAATAGTTCGGGGATGAGACTCTTAACGGTTCATCTTTCTGGGAAGACTCTGTTTGGGGTAAAAATTAGGAAAGGATGAGAGAGAGAGAGAGAGAGAGAGAGAGAGAGAGAGAGAGAGAGAGAGAGAGAGAGACGGAGGACTTTGATATAGAAAGGTGGACTCAAACCGGAGCCCACCTCCGCTGCTCCCATCTGGAACAGCAGAGCCGTGGCAGTAACGCACACATGGTCAGAGTTAGGTCTCAGCATGTCTGGATGGTGTACAGAGCTGTGTCATAAAGGATTACAGTGAGCTGGAGGAGCGATGCGCCGAGGCTGTGGGACTGTAGGTAAAATTATACAGGCCGAGGGGATCCAGGAGGTCGCTTAAAAATGTAATTTGTCACAGACTACCAGGTTCAACTCGGTAATCTGTAATATGATACAGCACAATGGGATGCAGCTCCGCTCGTCCCCTCGGCTTCATGTAATTCAGGCGGAATTCACCGCAGCACAGAGTGTATCGCACAGTTATTAGTGGAGTGCCATCTGTCTCAAGATACAGGAAAAACGAACTCTCACTTTGGTCAGTATATTTGGAATTGACACGAGGAGACGCTCATTTTGTCTGAAGTTTAAATTCAGATCCCAAGAAAGATGTAACAGTTAGCTTTTAAGAAGCACAGAGTGTTTAGGAAATAAGATAAGTACAAGCATAAACAGGAGTTAATTTATAAACCAGTTTGCAGTGTAGGATATTACACAGTGTAGCTTAAATGTATCATTATTAGCACTTTTAAATTATTGAAGTTTTTCCCAGTTTACAACACTTTGCACATTTGAGTGTAATTATATACAGCGGTGAGGCTAACAGCAACTTCATGAGAATAAGGCTGCATTCCAGTAACCTCAGAAGTTGGATGTCGGAGCTGGGAATGATGTTACAACCGAGTTGACGGCATTCTTGTACAAACAAATCTGAAAACCAAGATGGACGCCTACTGTTAACCATTGTTAGCTGTTGTTTACAATTGTCAGCTGTCGTTGTAAACAATGCATAACACAGTATTTGACTCTTACAAACACCATAGGGCTGTGTTCACAGTTAGACATCGGGCAGTCACACATCGAGCTGCACTCTTGAAACTCCACCCCGCTCCTGGCCCCATTAGCTCGTCCATCTAATTTGCCCGAGATCTCACATCGCCCATAATGAGAGAGGGGAGACATGGCGTGTACCTTCTTTCCATAATAAGCCTCCATTGTCTTCCTCAATCCCCTCTGAGGTAACTATATGTAGAAGGGACAAAGCTGAAATAGGAAAAAAAGGAAAAAAGTACGAAAGTGAGCAAGGGTGACTGTAACAGGCTAAAATCTGTGTTTAAATCTGTTTTTTGCAGCTCAAAAGCAAAATGCATACAAGTGCATATAAGAAAATAAAGTATATGAACTGATTTATGAAACATTGACAGTTTGATTCACTTTCGAAAATGAGGAATTTTTCATGGGAAGGGAAGTCAATTAATCCAACTTCCTGCGAGTGAGACACATGCTTCAAGTTTGAGGACTGGGGGAGTCGAGTATCACTCAGCTGTCAGTACGGATGGGCTGAACCTGCTGGCAGCTGTCAAACACATCCAGGCGAGCTGGCACGAGTAGAGCCGACATCTTTTATTCAAAATTGGTCGCTAAGTTGAGATGATCTTGAAGACTTAAAAACAGGCAACTGGACTGTGTAGAGTTGAGAAGACGTTTCGCCTCTTATCCAAGAAGCTTCTTCAGTTCTAAAAGTGCTAGTGTCAGGAGCAGATATTTATCTTACTGGAGAAGGGGGACAGTTAACGACTGGGAGGAGTTGAAAAGAATGGATCGTAGAAACCCATCTCTCGGTGTGTCCCCCCCAAGTCGTTATCCTGAAAGGGTCGTTAGCGACTCCTATCATGTGACCACATGACTCATGCCACCTGAGTCATGTGGTTCCAGGTGTGAATGTTTGTGGAGCTTTCTGGGGAGAGAGCTGAGAACTGCATTGTAAGTGCCAGAGAGATTGTGCCTGAGTCCACCCCCTCTGTTCAGAGAAGGTTTCTCCAGTCTGGTAAAGATGGCTTCTTTAACTCCTCTTTCAAACCATCTGTCTTCTCGAGCCAACACCTGTACATCGCTGTCCTCAAAAGAGTGACCTGTATCCTTCAAGTGAAGGTGGACAGCTGAGTCCTGACCTGAGGAAGTGGCTCTCCTGTGTTGAGCCATGCGCTTGTGAAGCGGTTGTTTAGTTTCCCCAATGTACAGGTCTGAGCATTCCTCGCTGCACTGGACAGCATATACCACATTACTCTGTTTATGTCTCGGTGTTTTGTCCTTGGGATGGACTAGCCTCTGCCTTAGTGTGTTACCAGGCTTGAAATGAACAGGAATGTGGTGTTTGCCAAAGATCCTCTTGAGTTTCTCAGACAGGCCTGCAACGTAAGGGATTACAGTGCTCTTGCGTCTCTCCTCCCTTTCCTGTTCAGTGTTATTTCTCTTTCTGTTCTTCACAAAGGCCCACTTAGGGTATCCACAGGTTGTCAGGGCATTTTTGATGTGCTTTTGTTCCTTTTCCTTACCTTCTTTCTTCGTGGGAATGTTCTCGGCCCGGTGGTTGAGTGTTCTGATGACGCCCAGTTTGTGCTGCAGAGGATGGTGGGAATCAAAAAGTAGATATTGATCCGTGTGTGTTGGTTTCCTGTACACTTCAACGTTGAGACACCCATCTGCCTCCAAGTGTACAGCACAGTCCAAAAAGGCCAACACTTTGTCCTTGACATCTTCACGGGTGAACTTGATGTTGCTGTCCACTGTGTTGATATGGTCAGTGAAGGCCTCTACTTCATGTGTTTTGATCTTAACCCAGGTGTCATCCACATATCTGAACCAGTGGCTAGGAGCAGCTCCCTTGAAAGAGGTTAGGGCCTTCCTCTCTACCTCTTCCATGTACAGGTTTGCCACTATAGGAGAAACTGGGGAGCCCATCGCACATCCGTGTTTCTGTCTGTAATGGCGCTCTCTGAACTGGAAATAGGTGGTGCTGAGGCAGATGTCCAATAAGGAGCAGATGTGGTCCGGAGTTAAGTTGGTTCTGACTTCCAGTGTGCTGTCCTGTAAGAGGCGTTGTCTTACTGCTTGGACTGCCTCTGTTGTTGGAATACTTGTGAAAAGTGATGTGACATCATAGGAAACCATGGTTTCATCTGGGTCCAACCTGATGTCCTTGATTTTCTCAGCAAAGTCCTGTGAGTTTCTGACGTGGTGAGTGGTGTGGCCGACAAGAGGAGCTAGGATGGTGGCCAAATGTTTTGCCACTTTGTATGTGACTGAGTTAATGCTGCTGATGATAGGTCTAAGGGGCGCCCCTTCCTTGTGTATTTTTGGTAATCCATAAATGCACGGGACAGCTTCCCCTGGGTACAGTCGGTAATAGAGTGGGCGGTCGATAACTCCATCCTTTTCGAGCTGTTGAAGTGCACTGATAACTTTCTTTTTGTAGCTGTTGGTGGGATCCCGTTTAAGAGTTTCATAGGTGGCAGTGTCACTGAGAAGGCTTGTTACCTTGTCATGGTAATCCCTGGTGTTGAGTACCACAGTGCATCTCCCCTTATCTGCAGGCAGGATGGTGATGTTTTCATCTTTTTGCAGTGATGCCAAGGCTCTTCTTTCCTGCATGGTCAAGTTGGAAGGAGGTGTTTTGGCATTTGAGAGAGCAGCTGTTACCTTCAGCCTAAGTTGTTCTGCCTCCGTGACCACCAGATTGTTGTTGCGGATCGCTGACTCCGTGGCTGTGATAAGGTCTACCACCGGGATCTGTTCAGGGGTAACTGCAAAATTAAGTCCTTTGTAAAGGACTTCCTTTTCCGGCTGAGTGAGGACCCTGTCTGACAAATTCTTCACCCACTTTTCTTGCATGTTGGTATCTATGTGGCTGTCCGTTTTGTCCCTCCAAACAAGTTCTGATGGACTTCTTGAGTGCTTGGAGAGCAGTCTGTCAAATTTCTGTGTTTGCCTTATCTTGCCTTTGTTGTGTTGAGAGTTCTGAGCCTTGTCAACAAAGTTGTGAACTTTGTTGAGGATGTCCTCTGGAAGTCGGGATGCCAGTGTCTCCTTGGTGTGATATATTTTATCTTGTAAGGCCTAGATGGTGAAGTTAACCTGCCTAATCCTTTCATTGAGGAGCTGCTTCTGTGTCCTGCAAAGGATACTGTCTGCTCTGTGCCCTTTAACGGTGGAAAACAAGCGTAGGCTTTTGGGAACAAGTCCTTGCTGTCTGCATCTTAGGTTGAAGCGGAGGTGGTTTCTGTAATCCGCCATCTTCCTGCAAGTTTTCTCGTGCTTAACTGTCCCCCTTCTCCAGTAAGATAAATATCTGCTCCTGACACTAGCACTTTAAGAACTGAAGAAGCTTCTTGGATAAGAGGCGAAACGTCTTCTCAACTCTACACAGTCCAGTTGCCTGTTTTTAAGTCTTCAAGATAACCATGACCTGGATGAATGAGAATCTACATGGACTAAGTTGAGATGAGTTGGACGAGTGAAGGAAGAAACTTTAATGCCCAGAGTGCATATAGATGTGTGACCCTGCAGAGGAAGTTGTTTTACTGGTACAGAGCGACAAAGAAGTGAATCCTGCTGGACAACTCTTAAAGTTTGAGGGTTTTTTAGGGTCTTAGAAGGAGCGTTTGAAATGTGCTTTTGTTTGTAGTCTGGCCGTGCAGCACCTTTGTTTTCCTCTGCAGAGCTCAGAGCAACAGTAAATTCATGATCAGAGTCACTACAGCGAGCTGCGAGAGAGCAGCAGTGATTAAAGCCGGCAGGAAGCGTGCAGACCTGAGGCGGCGTTATTACATGTTTGTGTGTTTATCTGGGCCTGCAGAAACACACACCAGCGCGGCTATCCGAGTGTGTGTCTGCGGATTCCATGTCTGTGAGTGTCTCCGCCCTCCACACGTGTAATCAGCCATTTAATCAAAGTCCAAGGTCAGACAGCACACGCGGAGAGAGTGAGGGCGCTGAGAGGCTTCGCTGGCTGAAGTTTAAGAGTCACTTTAGTGGGTCACTCACACATCAGTGCGAGAGCGGCGGGGATTGTTCTGCTGTTTACAGCCGCAGCCGCATTGATTTTCTCATAACGGGTAACTCGTAACTGCTGTTCTCAACAGCTTGAGTAATCAGCCGACACATTTACATGCCTCCGTTCATGCTAGCCTGCAGGGGCATTTTGTAATCAGCAGCGACATCCAATCAGAGAAGAACACATGGCGTTTCAAATGACCACGTATGAAAAATGGCGTGGTGTTAATACACATTCATGGAGCTGATTTACTCTCTCCTTTTTTTAAGGGACACATGAGGAGTCTCTCTGACCTTCCAGATTTATTTTGCGCTGGTTTCCTTCAGTGCAAAATAAAGCCAAGATTTGACAGATCCCTTCCCCTCTTTGGGTTCAGGATCCCTCATGGACCCTCCTAGGAAGTTGTAAATCTCACCTGGAGAGAAATGAATGAAACACAACATTGTCCTCATTTCTCACAGATGCAAGAGGAACGCTGTACCCTTAAAATTCACATGAAGTTCCTCTGGAGCTGATCCGGGTCTGGTTTAGTCCATGTTCATGTATCAGTAGCTGCGTTTATATAAGGACAAATAATCAGAATAAAAATGCATGATGTAAACGTGTCGATCGGAAGATTCTGATCCACTTCAGCTCAATCAGAAAGAAACTGTATTCCTACAGAGAGGGGTTACAATATTAACACTCTGGTGTAAAGCACAACCGAAGCTCCTCTGCTCCTCTGATAACATAACAAGGCGTACAAACAGCGTGATGATGTCACATCTGCACGCACAAAGCAACCTTTGACAGAACAGTAAAATAAGTACACAAGAGCGCCATCTATTAACAACATTTAACAGAGGGAAAACTCCTGAATTGGATGAAGTGAGCCACTACTGCGTTTGTTGGTTTGTTGACAGCACAGGTGTAAATACAACTCTTCTTCTTCTTCTGCGGTTGTTTTAGCGAAATCAGACAACTCTGCTCATGTTCAATGCTTCTAATCTGAATAAAGCTCGATTATTTGATTTTTCGCTCATTTGAACAGTGGATTCAGATTATCTGATCCCTCATATTTTTAATAGGATCAAGACATTTTGCACATGTAAACGCGGCTAGTGGTGCATTTTGTATCTGGTGCTGCACCTGGAGCGACAAATCAACAAAATACATACTGATCCTTGGTCATACAAAAGCATCCTGATTGTCTAACATGCAACTAGAGTAACATCTGCGTACATATTTGTAAATAAGTAAGTAAAGTTTATTTATAGATTACTTTTCACAGATAAAAATCACAAAGCGCTGTACATAAAAAGTGCAATTAGAGAAACATAGAACAGTACAAAAAAGATAAGTACATGTATATACATAAATACAAATACAGTACAGTGAATATGGAAATGAGTGCAGATATAAAAGATAACTAAAATAGACGAGTTTTAAAAACGTGTCTTTGGCACCATTAGAAGGTTCTGGCCTGACGAGCGAAGGGTGGCCCCCTGGGGAGTAGAGGCACAACAAATCAGTGATATATTGGGGTGCATCTGTGTAATTATAAGAGGAAAATATATAAAATTATCTTGTTTTGTACCTCAGAGTGAAGAGCAGTGAGGAGAAGAGCGGAGCTGCCAGCTCTGACTCATTGTTTCCTTTCAGCTAAAGTGAGAATAATGTGATTGTGTCACAGGTGATGTTCATGATCCAGCGTGTCAAACACCTGGAAACAGAGACCTTTTTTCCGAGCCACGGATGATGATGATGCCGTGAAATGTTTCCCTCTCTCGCCCCGCGGCGTGGTAATCTCATTGGTAACAAACAGTCTCAAGTGACGAGAGGATTAAGAGAGATCTGTGACACATTTAGAGTCGCTCAGGTGTTTGAGCGCTGATTTTCATGGATTATTGGAGAGAGGCCGCGTGTATCCGGCCAGAACAAAGCAGACATGATGATTTTATGATCTGGAACATTCCTGTGAACGTCCGCACATACATGTAGGGGTTATACACTGAGACTGGGGAGGCCGTGTAAACCAAATCAGTCTGTGTCAGGATTTTAGACTAAACTTCTGATAATAAAAATCACGCATTGGTTAAGTTTGTCCGATTGGAGTTGCCGTACAAGCTCAAACCACTTTAAATAGTATAGAAAAAATATTATATTTTACAGTCAAAAGTCTCAATTGTTCATCATACTGAGTGTGTTTGTTCCACTTCTTTTAAAGACCCACAAAAACTGATTTTTTTGTGCCAATTTTTGTCACTCCGAACCTTTTAGTATAACTTTTTCTGAAGGAAACTTGGCCTTCAAACTCTTGATTTATGCCTTTATATATTTTATGTTTTTTATCAGAGAAATGCGCCTGGCTCTGCTCTTAAATCATTTATATGTTGAAACGTCTTTATATAGTTCAAAGATTGCAGAAACATTCACATGAAAGACATCCCCGAACTCTCTGGAGAGAGAACTCTTTGACAAACATCCAATCGTATCGCGTGTTTTAGGAACCTGCTGCAGAGATAAATTTAACTTGGGATCAGAATTTTAATACAGATTTTAAAAGTGTTTAAAAATGATAAACATTGAGATTTTAAATATGCGATAAAAATAAAGTTAAAGGTGGGGTAAACAAGTTATAGTTTTTAGGAGAAATCTCAAACAGACGCTCCTGCTCGCTCGTATCGTTCCAGTTAAATTCAGATATAATGCAGATAAATACTTCAGATCATTACAAATGGGGCCCAGTCAAGGTGAAAGTCAAAAGCATTGGTGCTACTGTAGATGCCAACAGACTACCAGCAAACACAATGTTTGCAGGACTTCTACAACTAGGATAAAGTGACATAGTCCAGGACCCGAGGGAGGACAGTTTAGCGATGGCGCTACAACACGCTACAGCAGGTCCGTTTGACAAGAAACACTTCTGTTACAGACACTTGTCTTACTTTGTTAAAGCGGTTTACCTGTCCAGCAGAAAGGTTACAGGGTCACCAAGATCCCCAAGCGTCCCCCATCGTTTATGTTGACCCGGCTTTTTAGCTCTTGTCCGGTCTACCTCCGTTTTAAGCGCCCGTTATTCCTGAAGTTGGAGCTTTAAATGACGTCACACCCAAGTTATCAGCATTTCAGTTACGAAGTCCGAAAAAAGCAAAATCGGAGGTGGAAACAAGATGGCTACATCTCCGAAAGTTATTTTAGTGCTTGCCTTGTCCGATTATTGGGCCACTTAGTTTGGTTATTTTTAACTGAAATGCTGGGAACTTGTGTGTGACGTCATTCTCAGCTCCGACTTCTGACTTCCGAGGAAACTCAAACGCAGCACTTAGGAGCAGCGTCTGCCTCACAACCAATCAGGTTAGAGGAGGTGGAGAACGGCTTTGTTTACAGTCAGAAAGAGCGGACCGCTCAAAAATGTTCAAATGTTGACGACACAGACATAAGAGAACACAGAGATATAGATATATTACCAAATGTCATCAATAACTAATAACTATTGACTGATATTAAAAGATTTTTGTATAAAAACCACAAAATAAAAAGATGCTTCTTTAACAGATTCCTGTCTACTCCACCTTTAAGTCGGTTTTCTTCTTGTGGTCCAGACTTCTTTCCTTAGACTAGAGATCAGCTGGACTCTCTCATATGAACACTGAGTTCTTGTTGCTGATGTGGATCTGTGTGAGTCTGAGTGTGTTTGTTTTTTGCTGCCATTCTTGGTCAGGACCCCCCCTGAAAAAGAGATTGATGATCTCAACAGGACTAGTCTGGTTACATCAAATCAAAAAGACACACAACCTGCCTCCTGTCTTTGTCCTCTACAGAAAACCTGATCCAGCTGCAGGACTCACATCTGGGACATGTAAGACCACATGGATCCATGACCCAGACGGAGCGGTAACATGACATCCAGCAGAAACAGACACAATAAAGACAAACAGACGAGGTGATTTCAGTGACTCAGTTTGAGGATTTTTATGATTTTTTTTACCCACAATCAGAGACTTGACCACAATCTGAGCTGAGTCAGAAACATCCAAACAGCCGGACTAATAAATGTGATTATTATTATTAGAGTGATTGAAAAGCTCATAACAACATGTAGATCTGTCCAAAGTCTGATTCTAGATGTCTTTACAAACACACTGATCCAACAGAAGCAGACAGAAATATCCATCGATCACATGAACACAAATATTCAGCAAACAGAGAAAGAAACAGATCATCTGAAGAGTTTTTGGGGACGACTGGAAAGACTTTAGACGCTTGGATTTGGGACAGGAAATAAGGTCGTCCTTTTTCTGTGATTTTGACCTCACTTTTTTCTAAAGTCTCAGACCTTCAACATCTGCACCAACTGAAGGTGATTTGAACAAACCATCATCTTGATGTTGTTGATATCAAACTGTATGAAGATTTTTCAACATGAGAAATACAAACAATCAAAGTTCTCCACAATCACTGTCCTTAAAGCTGCGACCAAATCAGCATCTTTAGAAAAGAATCAAAAAGCTGAAATGAAGAACTAAACCCAGAGTTTTTGGTGAGACTGATCCACAAACATTTACAAACCAGAACATTTCAAGAGTTCAAGGATCTCAGTCCATGATTTTGGTCTGATGGACTCAAAATTCTCTTTAGTTCACTTCTATAAACTCAGCAGAGTCTCCAAACCAGTCTAACCTCAGTCCAGCATGTAGAGGTTCAGTGAATGTGGTCTGGACTCTGTGGAGGAGAGTCATGGTTTCAGAGACGCTGTAGAAGGACAGAATACCTGCGCTGTGATCCAGGTACACTCCTACTCTGGAGGACGGAGGACCTGAGACAGGAGTGAGGACTTTGTTGTGATCAAAACTATAACTGTCTTTAGAACAGAATAACCTCCAAGATTTGTCATTTTTTCCAAATATACCATCATCTGAGTTCCCGTCTCTCCTGATAGTCTTGTATGTGACTGCTACCCAAACCCCGAACCCTCTCCAGTCCACCTCCCAGTAACAACGTCCAGTCAGACTCTCTCTACTCAGGACCTGAACATAATCAGTGAATCTGTCTGGATGTTTAGGATAAGACTGTGGTTGTTGTTTTGTCCTTGTTGCTCTTCTGTTTCCATCAGATAATATCAGCTCTCTGCATGCTGTGTTTGGATCCAGTGTGATTCTTTGTGAATATCTTAAGAAACCAGCTCTGGTCTTGGGTTCTGCTGGTCCTGGTGGTTCTAACAGTAAAACATCCACATCAGTCACGGCCTGTGAGACGTTTGTCCACGTCTCTGTCAGAAGATCCTGGAGTTTCTCTCTGACCTCTGACACAGCTGCTGTCACCTCCTCAAAGTATCTCAGAGGACGGATGTTGATCCTGGATGAGTCTGCAGGTTGACCCGGTTCTGACAGTGAGGGGTAGCTGTGCAGAAACTGGTTGTGGTCCTCTGTGAGTGAGAGCTTCTGCAGATCAGCGTCTCTCCTCTTCAGCTCAGTGATCTCCTGCTCCAGTTTCTCCTGAAGCTCTTTGACTCGACTCACTTCACGTTCCTGCTGGGATCTGACCTGCTGCTCCACCTCAGAGCGGCGTTTCTCCATCAGACGGATCAGCTGTCTGAAGATCTCCTGGCTGTGCTCCACAGCTTTATCAGCAGAGCCGTTGATAGCCTCCACCTCCTGTTGGAACAGCTTCACATCTTCTTCTCTGTCCTGGATTCTCTGCTGGATGTTTTCTCGACCCTCCTCCAGATCTTTCTGCCTCTCAGTCCTTTCTGCTGCAGCTGAGACTGTGTCGTGGCCTTTGTGTTGGTCCACAGAGCAGAGATGACAGATAGACTGTTGATCAGTGCGACAGAACATCTTCATCACCTCATCATGACGAGAGCAGATGTTCTCCTGGAGCTTCTTGGAGGGCTCCACCAGCTTGTGTTTAGCATAGGCAGGAGATTCATAATGAGGCTGGAGGTGTTTTTCACAAAATGAGATCAAACAGACCAGACAGGACTTGACAGCTTTCAGTTTTCTCCCACTGCAGAAATCACAGACCACATCTTCAGGTCCAGCCTCAGAGGAACCACCAGGAGCAGCTTGGAGTCCACTCCTCTTCACTTCCTCCACTAAACCTGCTAACATGGTGTTTTTCTTCAGGACAGGCCTCGGTCTGAAGGTCTCTCTGCACTGAGGACAGCTGTAGATCTTCTTCTCATCCTCAGTATCCCAGTAGGATTGAATACAGCTCATGCAGAAGCTGTGTCCACAGGTGACAGTCACCGGATCCTTCAGAAGATCCAAACAGATGGAACAAGAGAAAGACTCACGGTCCAGATGAACTCCTTTCTGCGCCATTTCAACACTCGCTGTCGACGACGACTGACTGAGTTTTATTTCCTGAGAAGTGAAACTAGTCTGAGCTCTGATCTCAACAACATGTGCGTCAGCAGGATATGACCTCAGCACACGACGGTTACACCCAACCAAGACTGTAGAACTGAGGGGGAGGGAGGAAGGAAGGGGAGGAAACAAGGAAGTGAGAGTGCAGAGTGGAGTGAGCTGAGAGAGACGAGGGAGGGGGGGGGAACCAGTTTACCTACAATCCAGGAAGAGGAGCGTCTCTGTGAACTTTAGACTCTCAAACTCCAACAAGCAGAAGTTCTTAAAGCTGCAGCCGTCCTGAAGATCAACTGAACCAACATTTATTCACCTCATAGAAACCTCATCGAGCAGAAACACACTTCAACTGTTTTAGAGACACAGAGTTAAAGACACAACACAGAGAAACACTCTCTCTCTCTCTCTGTCTCAAGCCCCGCCCACAAACAGACGCTCCTGCTCGCTCGTATCGTTCCAATTAAATTCAGATATAATGCAGATAAATACTTCAGATCATTACAAATGGGGCCCAGTCAAGGTGAAAGTCAAAAGCATTGGTGCTACTGTAGATGCCAACAGACTACCAGCAAACACAATGTTTGCAGGACTTCTACAACTAGGATAAAGTGACATAGTCCAGGACCCGAGGGAGGACAGTTTAGCGATGGCGCTACAACACGCTACAGCAGGTCCGTTTGACAAGAAACACTTCTGTTACAGACACTTGTCTTACTTTGTTAAAGCGGTTTACCTGTCCAGCAGAAAGGTTACAGGGTCACCAAGATCCCCAAGCGTCCCCCATGGTTTATGTTGACCCGGCTTTTAGCTCTTGTCCGGTCTACCTTCGTTTTAAGCGCCCGTTATTCCTCCAGAGTCTCCGGTATTTACTTTGTTTTCTTGCTTGTGTCGGCAGTCGTGGCCAAAGGAGGATTCAGACAATTTTCCGAACTTTCTGGTTGGTTTCTACTGTCCGATATTGTAGCACGCTAACTTTGTTTGGGTTCATGAACGACACGAATCCTGCCTACCCCTCCTTTAATGCAAGGGGATAAAACTCAAATACAGTTTATTTAGCAGCTGCAAGTTTGTTGAAGCAGTTTTTAAACTGTTCGTGCTGCTGTAGAAATCTGTGTTGATATTAAAAAAGGGGGAATAAACCTGTACCAGTAAAAAGGAGATATCAGATGAGACAAAAACATGACCCACTGTGTCTCTCTACAGATTTAAAGATGTGACCACCTCTCCGAGAGCATACAGAGAAAGAAAGCCACTCTCATGACTCCACTGGTCTGGTCCTGCACAGCTGTTCCTCAGTGCCACTTGTTGACGGTGCCAAGAAGAGGCAGAACCAGGAAGCTGCTAATCTTTACATCTGATGGAAGAGGATCTGTCAAAGGGAGACCTTTCAGAGAGAGGTTTGGAGATCTCTGAGCTCGATCTCAGGAAACACTATCCCCTTCAAAGCGAATGAGTCAACCCTACCTTGGGAACAGTTGGATTCACTTGTCGGATGTTGTGTGTGGGATTGATTTACGGCATAAGAACGGAGCATAAAACTAAAGCATGCAGGCTGGGGATGAAAGTTTGGGCCGTCACCACGCAGAGAAAAACATCATCCTAAAAACAGACACACATGTCTCCTGTCAGATAAACCATCGATGTGCACGCAGTTAACGGCTAAACTCTCACAAACAAAGAAGGAGAGGTTCTTTGTTTTCAACATGAGACAAATTTTATACGTTAAATAAGTCCAGGCTGCAGATTTATGAATGCACTTCAGTGGTCTTGTTGTGTATTGGCGCTCCATCGCTGCTGAAATGCGTGTAATCTGTGCAGTCCTCGGCTTAAATGCATCATTTTGCAGTGGTGCATGTTAGCTGTAATGGATTCACTCTGCTGCTAAACAAGATGGGAGCTCAACAAAAGAATTTCACAGGCGGGTTTATAAACACTACAGGCTGGTTATACCTGAGACTTTCAATGTTTAAGACAGAGAAACAAAAATACTGAATTAATTGTGGGAGTGAAATTATAAAGGCTGGGACTTTAACGCGTTCATTGCGATTAATTAATCACAGTAATATTATCTTGTTAAAAATATTAACGCATATTAATCAGACCTACTGTGCTTTCATTGGCTTTAGCATGGATGGGCAGACTGCTCTGTATTACTATCCTGCGGTCGTTACTAAACTTGGTTCAATTAGAGAAGCAAGCGGTCGTCAACACTCATCTCTCAACGGGGTGTCTAACTCGGTGTTATGGTGTGTTTGACCCTAAATTAATTTTACGCTGGAATATCCCTTTAAGTATCACCTTGAAAAAAAATTAAACCAGGTTTTATTTGCTTAAGCTTATGTATTCATTCAATTCACTTTTTATTGATTCACTTGTATGCCATTATAAAAACAAAAAAATGATTCTCACTGTTCTCAGGTCAAATATTTATTTGCGATTAAACACGATTAATTGCGATTAATCAATTACAAATTCTCTGATTAATTAGATTAAATTTTGAAATTGAGTTCCAGCCCTAGAAATTATATTTTTAAATCCCTCAAAATAAGAGAAACAATAACTGTGTCAATTTAAATGCAAAATTTCTTATACTGTCTTTGTATGCTAGTACTGAGCCTATATGTGCCAGTAGATGATGAGTTTAGTTAATTTCTTGGGTTATGGACAATAATGTGGGACATGCATGTACATAAAAACAGATAAAGATGTGGGTAAAGGGAGTAAAGAGAAATCTACATGAATACAGTTAAAGCATATTGACTACTTTACATATTCAGACATCAGGAGAAATAATGAAAGTGAAAAGATGGATCTGCAGATGTGGATCCTGAGGGTACAAACTCTTTTATAATTGAGCTCAAACATTCGAACCCTGAACTTTTGACTTTAGAGCTTCAACCGAGTTTAAATGAGCATCCTCACAGACGGTGAAACACTGAATTTATATCAAGAATAAAAAAAACACATCCAAACAAACCCTCTGAGGATTCTCCTGCTGTAGGAGCGTACGGCAGGTATTTCCCTTTAGTCATTCACAACATTAGAGTACGAGCCCGTGTGCATTACCATCACACCGTGGATGAAAATAGACCCTTAAAGGTAACACAGCCCACTCAGGAGTCACTGCAGCGGGATGATTTCACCCAAAGTGTGACGGAGCTCCTCTAACCTCCATCTGTTTATCCCCGTCAGCCGGAGATCCTGTAACCGACGCAGGGTAACCATGTCAGAGTGTCAGATATGAGCGCGCACCGACATCATCCACAACACCAAGTCTGTGTTTGCTATAATTGGCCTCCTGATAGTAAACACTCTGCACCCTCATGCCACAATGCATAAATCATGTTTTGTCAACACAATGCTGGGAGAGGGGGTCAAGTGTTATGCTAACTAATAGGCAGAGGGAGATTCAAACCAAAGGCAAATAAAAGGAAAGTGTAAATGTACGGAGGAAAGTGAGAGTAATTGCAGGCTCGGGCCTAAAGTGCTGCGTGGGTTCATTAAGGCAAACAGATCCGAGCGCTCTGGTGTCTGTTTGCCTCTAAATACTGTCATCTTCTAATGGGGATTACCTCTTTTCTCTGTTTTTCTGCTGCAGCACGTCAGCTGTTTTTCTGGTTTTATCTGCCTGCCTCAGCAGAAACCGAACCGAAACGGAGACTGACAGAGAGGGGGAAACTATCTGCTCTCTCAGTAATGGACTGCATTTATATCACACTCATATAGGAGCTCTAACAGGCCTTCACACTGCCTCACCTTTCTCACTCTCACAGGGAACTAAGTGGAGTTTAGTAATCCACACAAAGAAACTTTGACATGAAGACATTGGAGCTACGGTGCACAAGTATTTTATCTTTTTAAGGCCACGTTTGTATGTACCCGGTTATTTTTAAAAACACAACTCACCTACTCTCTTCCAGCAGCAGCTTGTTTGTAGAGAGACCTCAGGCCAGTCCATTACGGACTACAGCGGGGTGCCGCAGCTCAAGGAAGAACATTTATGATCATTTCTTTATCATTTCCTTGAAGTAATAATCACCGTATTGATCATTTTCACTGCAGACACGGTAGTTCTTCTGACTCAGCGTCTTGGACTGATTGTATTTCCATGAAGAAATGATCGTAAATGTTCTTCCTTGAGCTGCGGCACCCCACTGGCCTGAGGTCTCTTTACTCAGATCACTGTCTATCGCTATCCTGCAGTCGTTACTAAAGTTGGTATAACTTGAGAAGCAAGCGGTCGGCAATAATTAACTCTCGAGAAGGTGTCTAACTCGGCGTTACGGTGTGTTTGACTCTAAATTAATTAATAATAATCCCTTTAACCATTGTTTGCACCCTTCGTTTGGACGCGAACTGAGGAAACGATGCTTTTTAAAAACTCCAGCTGGAGTGGAGAATCTGGAAAACTCTGTATGTAAACAGAGAAAATGGAGATTTGGGTAGCCGATGGCTGACTGTGCGCCGCAAACTGGGTTAAATGTGACGTTGTTTATAATCTACAGTCTATGTTTACGATCTATGGTGATCATGGTTGCATGCGGAACAGTAGTCACATTTATGCTGGTGGCATCCCTTTATATTTGTTTGCATTTGCATCTTTTCCAATCAAAGGAAGTGACGTTGTTGTTGTTGTTGCTGCTATGCGGGATTCTGATTGGCTAACGTGGGCTTGAGCGTCCCACGACAACGCCACCAACAGGTTTGGCATGGTTTTGACGGCATATATACACGGGTTAGTGTAAATGAAAACTTTTCTGAAAATGGAGTGGTGCGCACGCAGTTTTTTTCGTGAACGTAGAGGGTGAAATGTCCGTTTATAAAAATGTCATCGTAGTCTAAATTTTAAATTTGTCCCTGTCAACATGAGTTGCACGAAATGCGTCTATAATGAGAATCTTTAAAGGCGTGATAAAATCCACACAGAGTTAGATTCCTGCAGCAGCTGATCATGTTTGTTTCTCCTCTTTCCTGCTGATCCTACATTAATTAAAATGAGACGAGCAGAAACAAACACGAGGTCAAAGGTATTTCTCTAATGAGCTGCTCTGCTGTAGATTTGGTGAAGGTCTGCATCAGTGTGTTTTATTTGTATACTTGAACGGTAACGTCGTCCCTGTCTTTGACAACTTCTAGCTTCTCAGCCGCTCATTAAAATGACAAATGTGCGACACAAACGGATGACCGTGGCGGCTTTATTCTTCGTGTGTGTGGAGCGTCTCCGTCTGTCGGTGGAAAGAATCGGTTTGTCTCCGGTGCTCGTGTCTCTGCACCGCGGCTAAAGTAATTGAAGAGGATAAAGTGTCAGAGAGTGCACAGGAACACAATCCAGGGGTGGAAATAGTGTCCCCTGTTGCAGCTCATGTACACACACACACACACACACACACACGCCTCGGACAAACACAAAGAAACTATGAACGCGTCGTGAGCGAGTGCCGTGGGAGGTTTTATGAGAAACAAACTTACTTTTGAGCATTTTCTCTATGAGCCGGTGGATGCCGGTGATTGCTCCATTTGTCTTATTTACTGTACATCAGCCTTATTCACTCTGCCCACCAAACAGTCCTAAACTGAGCCAATGTGCCCATAATTCACAGCCGGAGCTGCATTCACAGGCTGAGTCTACTCTCTACCATACTGCAGGTCTGTCTTTGCAAAGTAGAGACGAAAGGAGCAAAGAAGATGAAGCAGGAAAAGACACTCGGAGGTACACTAACATGGCGTTAAAACTTAATATATTCAGCTGTTCCATTTGTGTGTCTTTGCATGCAAAACCAGTTTTTGTGTAGCCCACTAAAGAACCCCAAAATAGACCAGGATACTGTCTGCAGGTATTTGTTTCTCTGTCGGCCCTTTTCGCAGATGTAAAGAAGTCCCAGCAGCGCCTCCTCACCGCGACGTTTACTCGTTTTCTCCTCGGTGATTCTGCCAAAGTCCACACTGTGTTGTGGTTTGTGGTTTCTTCATGTCTTATGTCTTTAATTTGGTAAACGTCTCCTTCACTCAGCTTCTGTTTCCTTCTCCACCTCTGGTCTTTCTCTCTCTGCTGATTGGTCAGGATTGATTTCATAACGCACGGGTGGTCGTCGTGTTGTTCCCAACATCAAACAGACAATAACAGGTAAGAACACCTGCAGAGATAACTCTGTGTGTTTTCAAAGCTTTGGGGAGATTCTGATTTTCTCTACAGCTCTGTTTCTTAAAGTTATTAGGGGGTTCATGTTTCTATGATTGACACCTGATGCAGCCTATTGGCGCTCAGGGATTGCATAGCTCACCCGGGGGATACACTGTTTGAGCTGAGCGTCATCACAGCGACTCTCGGCGACTCTCCCGCCGAATGCGAACAACGCTTCTGCGCAAATGGTGGTTTCAGGAAATGAAGAGAAATCGCGGAAATACCGAGAACTTTTTGGCTTCAAATCCGTATACAGGCGGGAGGCGGAGCCAAGTTGTCCGTAGTTTATACAGTCTATGGTCTCAATATTTAAAAATAACCTGGTAGATAGAAACGGGGCCTCAGTCACAAGAATCAGCAAACAGCTGCATGCAAACAACACAGAAATGATTACATGGAGCTTCACTAAGAGTAAGACAAAATTACTTATAATTACAATCTTTCAAGTTCAATCTTCAGAAACTTGAACATGAACATGGAAAGTAAAGTGACACACAGTGATGGTAGAAGAAGAACACATGGAGATAATGTGAGGACGCTCTGCTGCAGTAATATTGGTTTCATTTCTGGTTTGTTTTTTAATGATAAAAGTGTTATAGAAAGATTACTCCTGAGATGAGTTAGTGTGGATTATACTCGACTGTTTTTCCTGCAAACCCGCTTCGAAGAGAAACCGTAACACCTGCTGAAAAAGCTGCAAATCCGACTCCTGAGAACAGAGTTTATGTAGAATATGTAAAGAAGGATTAAACTGAGAAACGCTGCGCCTGTAACAAACAAACTCCTCTTTTAGAAGACTGAACGTGTCCGTTTATTTTATAACAACTGAGTTTGTTCAGCCGCTATCAGAGAGGTTTGACCATCCAACTATCTCCAGCTCTGCTGCTGCGTTGGCTAACAAAGAGAAAGAAGAAGAAGAAGAAGAAAAAGAAGAAGAAGAAGGAAAAGAAGAAGGCCCAGAAAGAGCAGAGGCTGAACAAAGGAGACAAAGGAAGAGAGACAGCAGCAGCGGGACAACAGGAGGAGGTGCAGCAGAAGAAAGTGTTTCTCACTCCGGCTCATTTTCCTCTCTCATCTCTTCTCCTCACTTTCTCTTTCCTGGGCTGTCTCTCAGGCTCCCTCTGCTTTTACTCTCTCTCTCTCTCTCTGTCCCTCTCTCTCTCTCTCTCTCTCTCTCTCTCTCTCTCTTTTCTCTCACTTCAAAGTGAGGCTGGGATTATAGGCTGGAACAGACTGCCTTACAGCTCATTCATAATGAATGGAGGCCCACTTTAATGACTCTGTCCACTCACAGCCCCGCTCCTCCTCCTCCTCCTCCTCCTCCTCCTCCTCCTCCTAATGATGTCACCTTTGGTTCCCAGGTGACGCTGATAACTCCTCTTTTGTTTGCTTTAATTTTACAGATGATCGACACCGTCACCCAGCTGATGGATATTTAGGACGTGGCGCTATTGGCTGACTGCACTGCAAAAAAAAGGAGGGTCTAAAAACATGTGAAAAACACTAAATCTGAGGGAAAAGGTACGAAAAACAAGATTATCTGTCCATGCAGTGAGATAATTTCACTTGACAAGATTTCTTAAATTAAGATTATTAAATCTAGAAATACATATGTCTGCAAATGTATTTGGAAGGCTTAAGGTAAGACAAAAATGCTGGTTTTAAGATCAGATTATTCAAAATTTAGCTTTTACAGACCTAAAATAAGTGAAATGTACAAAATATGAGCATGAAATGAGTATAAGATGCTGGTTTTAGGATCAGACTACTTGAATTTTAACTTTTACAGCCTCAAAATAAGATAAATATACTTAGTATTAGCATAAAATGAGTATTAAATGCTGGTTTTAAGATCAGATTACTTAAAATTTGACTTTTACAGCCCTAAAATAAGTAAAATGCACTAAATATAAGCAATAACATATTTTGTTTTCTTACTTTAAGCAAATTAAGATGAAGATTAGTTCAAAACAAAATAGAAATTAAGAGAAAAAAATACCCAGAATTAGTGAAGAATGACTTGATCTTAAAACAGGATTCCTTTTGATGAGACTATATTTTATTTTAATAGTTATTTTCCTCATTTGAAGATTTCCTGCCTATTTGATTGAGACAAAAAAGATAAGATTGTACTTGATATTAGATTATAGTGTAGAGTTAAACACTTCAAATAAGAAATTAAGTCTTAAAACAAGAGAAATTATCAAACACTTCTAAATCTGAGTTTTTTCTCATCTTGGTAAGAACCAAATAATTTACAGTGTGCCTCTCCAGTTCGTAAACAGCGTCGCCATCAAACGGAGAAAGGAGAAGCTGAGGGGCGCCTGGAGCTGAGAGGAAGAGTGGAACAGAGAAATAGAAATGGAGAGAGGATCTGTCAGTCTGCTCTGAGAGCCTCGGATTGACAGATGAGGGTGTAAAAAAAGAGAATAAAGCAGAAAGAGGTGGAGAGAGCAGATCTATCACTTTAATGACCGAGTGCAGCCTTCTCTGTTCTTTAGAGGACGATCGGCACGGTGACCCGCTCGCTGTTAGCGTTAGCTCTCAGTGACAGATGAGCCATCTGGATGAATAGCGCTGACAGCAGTCTTAAGACTAATTTTACCCCAGCAGACAACAGTACAGTACGGAGCCGGCTCTGCTCGTCAATCTGAAGGGTTCTTATGACGAAGGAGAAATGGGCCTGGTGCTGGATCTCCACACGGAGCATGAAAAATTCAACAGGGAGCTGCTGCTGCTGCTGATCACTCCCAGGATGCACTGGTTTAATGTTTTGAGGCTTTTTGGACGGACTGACTCTTTCTTTGGCGTCTCAGAGTCACGGTCGAATAAACGAGGTTCACTCAAATGTTTTCATCTTCACTCTTTAGTCCTGATAAATAAAAGCTGGATGACGTTGTTTCTCTGTTTTCTGTTTGTGGTTTCACAGTCCTCTTAGCATCTTAGCTGTTGGATCAATACTGAAATATATCAATATCAATAATAGATTACATTTACTAGGTAAGATTTTCAGAGGTGGGTTCCAGTGTAATCTGATCAATAATCTGATTTTCTCATCTTTACGACACGGTCTGTAAAATCAAGAGTGGTAAAGAATTCCTCAAATTAAAGGTCTGAGAGAACCGGGCCGCAGACCTGTCAGGAAAAACCAGAGGAGGTGGGACCTGCTTCATTTAGAGACCCTTTTAGAGACCCTGGACTGTGATAGTTCTCCTGGTCTGTTCTGGAGAACTACCTCAGGACCAGATCAGGTTCTACCACAGGTTTTCACACCCTTCAGGGACCTGTGCGTGGATCCTGTTTGCTCAAGACTGTGGAGATGACAGTGGACTTGGCCCCCTCACAGTCCTCAACAGCCTGGACTCATTCCAGTTCCTAGGAACAACCATCTCCAAGGACTGGAGTTGGACCCCCAAATACACTAACCCTAACAAACAAGTGAAAGGTTTTTAGACGTCATTTCACCCCGATGACACCATGGATGAGGAGATGCTGATTCTAGAAGTCTAGAAGTAGATTTCCTCCTCTGGAAGGACACAATCTACTGCTTATATGTCTATGTGTCTGTCTTTAGAGAGACAACTCCTTATTGTGCACGTGAATCCGCGGGTTCTTGTGATTTCTCATGATTCCCGCTGTCCGTAATCTGCCACCAAATCTGCCTCACAAATGGATGCGGTAGGAATTGGCAGACGGTGAAAATTGACCATTCCAGATCCGATGGAAATCCCGGTTAAGACTTACCTAACTAACCCACTGACCAACTAACTAACAAATAAACCCCCCACCCTGGCGCTCAATCATCTGAAATTGGAGCACTATCCTGCAGGTGAAGGTCTGGGACCAGAACCCCTGATGGTTTTACCCAGGCCAACAAAAGGGCACCTGTAGGAGATGTACCAGAGAAACCAGGAGCTCCTTTCTGCAGACTGCTGCGACACACCGAGGTCTACAGAACCTCTAACTCCCTCAGGAGGGGTCTCAGAGGTCTCCAGCATTTCAGACTCAAACCCCACGACCGTTTAAAGAGCAAATATGAGCCATAAAAACAGTCGGTACTAAACCCTTCTTGGTCGAAACTAAATTAACAGCCCTCGTTAATTGTCCGTGTCGTCACTCAGGTAAATTAGCGAACTCCGTGTTTTTGCATTCCTGATCCATCTCCATCCGCCTGCATCTTCCTCTCTGAACAGGAACCTTTAATGACTTCATTTGGGTCCTGCGGCGGCCCAGGTGCTGCTAAATGAGATTACACAGCTGGTTATTTCTGAGGTCTCAGTGAAGAGGGTCAGCCTGTAGAGGAGGTCACATCAGAGGAACGCTAATTGACTGATTGGACTCCTCAAGAGGGTCTCCATCATCATCAAAGTCACAAAAGCACATATTGAAATAAGTTTCTTTGGTACCTCAGAGAGTTTCTTACAGCGTCTTTGTTGTTATGTGACGGCACACATCTCCTCTGGGACCACGATGAAGTAACTACAAAATACTCCAGCGGCGTCCACAGACTAGACATGCAGCATTGAAGCTTTTTAAATATCCACCAAGAGTCTGAAAAAGCCGAGCCGTGATGGAGCTTTGAAACAGAAAAGTTAAACTTTGACCCACATCACATTTCCCACAGAAAAGCGCCTTCAGATATCAATCTCCCGGCAAAACAAATCAGCGGGCGAACGAGCGACGACACACAGCTGCACCACCAAACCAAACAATCAGTCTGCATCCTGGTCCGAGGCCGCGGCGACTCCCTGATTGATTTTCAGCAACATGTGAGATGGTCTCATACGACCTTTCCTCTCCACTTCCCTGCTGATGATAGACGCAGACGTCAGGTAAGCCCCTCTGACCCCTCAGAGCCCATATCCTTCAGAACACACAGCCTGATTACCCCGAGGACACAAACACACTCACACAGACACACACATATTACACTCTTGAGGGATGGCAGGTAGAGGGGGATCACTCTGTCTTGGTAGAGGTGGGCTCTTCCCCCAAATCCCAGCAGGGTCGTTTAGTGAAGCTGATTTCAGAGACAGAAGTGTTGGTGTGTTTGTGGAGTCACATGTCCACTAATGACTTTGAGACAATGTCTTCTTATCTCTGGGGAAGGAGACGGAGGATGGACGATGGCGTGTGTGACCCTCATACACCATCTGAGGTGAACCACAGACACAGACAGACGATTATGACCCCTCCCCCCCATTAGTCAACCTTCCAAAGGTTTTAACTTACTCTGATTTTTACGACTTCTACCTCGTTATGTGGAAGAATCAGCAACATCATTTTGGGGAAGTATTTTCCTCAGCGCTGTAGTTCCTCATGTGGCCACTAGAGGCTTGCTCCAAAATAGAGACCATTTCCATAGAGTCTCATGTTAAATATTTGACTTAGCAAAAAAAATAAACGTGTCTACAGCATTTTATCCCTCATTTTTATGGAGGTGTCTTAATTTAAGGAATAAAGGTCTTTACACACCGGGAGCGAAAATTCACAAAGCAAAATATCGACTGTTTTTTATTCGCTCTTGTGTCAAATTTTGCGAAGGCGAAAAAGGCGAACGGCCAGATCTCTGACCAATCAAAATGATGTTGATATGTCGATGACAGCACATCCAAACTTTAGTGGCAGCATCAGCTCTAGTCTGCAATTCTTCATCATGACTGAGTGCTTTATCGTGAGTGTGCAGGAGCGCCCTGCTTTATGAGACAAGTCGGAGAAAATATATGTAGGAAATTGAAGATATATTGATGTTATATCAATCCTCAAACATAGATGTGTAACGTAGCTAGCATAATATGAAGCTAAGCTAGCTAACTAAGCTAGCTAACAGCTCGGTGCAACTTTCTCAAAGTCCAGTAAACGATTGTAGATGCTTTTATAGAAATATTTTATAGAAGAGCCAAACTTTATTTGCTTAGCCGAGTTTAATTTGCATAAATCGTGTCATGCCCAGTGTGCACAGAAAAAATTCCAGGTGAAACATTAACCTTTTTGCGTCAATCATTCTTGTTACTTGGCCTATTCCTCGGTGTGAAGCAGATGCGGGTCCACGGTAACAAAATGATGGTCAAATCTGAGTTATCTGGTTTATTTTGTTCACTCTGTGCTCTATTTGAGGTCCTAGAAGACGCCGTCAAGCCTTCTACTTCCCTCAAGCTCTACAAACATCTTCATTTTTAATAGAATAATCAGCTTCTGTCAGATATTCACATTAATGACTGAGCTTGGGGCATTTATGGGACAGTTTTCTGATTTGTTTCCCAATAAAATGTCTGAGTTATTCCCTAAAATCCCCTTTGACTATAAAACTGTGACACCTGAGAGTTTCCAGTTGGTCCTGTGACTCCAAACACAAACACGCCGAGCGCTGAAGGCGTGTACTATAAAAGAAAATATCAGTTCATATGTTTTTTAATCTTTGAGGATCGTTTCTTGGATGATAAAGAAGTTATGATTTTGTGAAACATGAGTACAAAACCATGAGTAAATAACTGCGGTGCGTCGACTCCCGCCTGTGTGGGCGTGAAGGCGGCGGATATTTAACCCTCAGGTGGCGAATGTTGGCATCGTGTCAGGAGGAAGTAAAGAGAAGAAGAAGAAGAAGAAGAAAAGGCTGCCTGTTGAATTATTAAAAGCACGGGGACATTTCAAGAACAAAAGAGTCCCCTAGACAAATGCCACCGAGACCCGAGTCCCCCGAGAGGATGTTTATCAGTCAGCCTTCCCACAATGCACCTGGGTGCACACAAGAAAATACAGATACATAAAAAAGTACCAGACACTGGGATCCACACACACTTCCTGTTCGAGATGAATCATCAGTGATGGATGGTGACGGCGGCGCCTTTGTGTAAAGATACTGAATAAAGGCGCCGGAACTTTCCACACAGGAACTGAAGGGACCTCTGGGGAACTATGTGCATTTTGATATCAGGAACCAGGGTCTACAATTAGTTCTAACTGATCTACACCTCAAAAAGACCCTGTCTCATTAGGGGGAAGGCCTTTCCAAAGATCCAGGAACTTTGACAATCTCATTGAACATCAATTCTGACACCGTTCGGCACGTTTACTCTCGTTAAAAGATGCTTTGGGGTTGGATTTGTCAGGAAACGATCTTGTTTGCGTCACAAACCGGTACTCGATTTAAACACCCGCTGAGCAGAAAGAGAGGTAAACAGAGGCACCAAAGGCTCATCCAACAAGAGCAAACATCCTGATGTTAGTGCAAAAGCTCAGCAGAGACTCCAGGAAAGAAATGTTGAAGTTACTTCATCCACCGATCAGCTGACCTTGACGCCATCGGCCTGATTTGCATGATGTTTGCAGGACTTTAGTGGAAACGCAAACAGACGGCTGCAGGAACTATTGAACTCCACAAAGAGAAGTTCCTGGAGCTAAAAATTCCTGGTATTTTTGGTCTAAATACGCCGAATGATTGTCGATCTAAAATATGCAAAGAGTGAAGTCTTCTCTTTCTGAGCGAAGATGACAGGAGATCAGTTTTTGTGCATGAAGCCCACATTCCTCCGTCTTTTTAGTGTAAAAGGAGGATTTTATTTCCTCTTTCCTGCGGTGCAGAAATTGTTAAACTCTGTTTGCAGGGTCAGTTTTGGTTTCATCCCTTTCAGAGATGAGCCCTTGAGAAAAAGAAAGACATTTTTGCCGTCCAGAAATGTGATGGCTGGGGTTGCTGAGCGCCGGGGTGCTGTGCGCAGTGGGCGGCGAGGACGGAGGGTAAACACAGAGAGTGGCCTCTCATTTACCCCTCTTCTTCTTCTTCTTCTTCTTCTTCTTTCATCCCTCCTCCAAATCCCCCCAGCCCTCTCCATGTCTTGTTTTGGCTAATCTTCACAGGCCGTGGTGGTGGTGGTGGTGGCAGAGACTGTTTGAGGGGGAAGGTTCAGTGAAGAGACCCCAGAAGGACCCTGTGGCCAGAGTGCACCCCCCGTAGCCCTCAGTTCTTTGCCCTCCTTGAAGGATGGATCCGCCGCTTGCTTCCTGGCTGCTCCCAAAATACATCCCCCTGTGAGCTTCCTGTGCATAATTGTCCCCAGCTGGAACATTGGGGATAAATAGGGCCGTGGAGACAACAGATTTGTAATTTGGGGTGAGAGTGAAAAGGAGGAAAATTGGTAGCAGGCCACAGAAATTAGCATTCTTTTGGCTTTAGAGGGCATTAAACATTAAATAGCTGCAAAGTCCCCTAAGTATTGGGGGTCTTGGGCGGGGGAAGGTGGAGGAGGGGGGTTAGAGATCAGAGCTTCAGAGGGTTTTTGTTTGGGCCGCAGATGGCTGGGTTCACTACACTAAGTACCTCCCGCAGCGTGGAGCCCAGGAGACGGTGCAACTCTATTATTAATGATTGTTTGGAAGGTTTTTCTGCGCTTCACCGGCTTTCACTTATCAGCTTTCATGTCTCTGTTACACTGAAACATGCTACGAGCTGTTTACCGCACAATGGTGAACACAAAAAACATGGAGACCGATATAAACAAACAAGGAGCGCGTGGAAACGAGGGATCAGCTGGTGGTTTTGGTGCTGAAAGTGACGAATTATGAACCAGAGGGTGAAACTTGGTCGGATTTTGATTCGGGTCGACAGATTCCTGCGGTTCAAAACTGGACTGCTGTTTTTGTCCCAGTTTAAGAGAACCAAAGCATGTTGACAGCTGCTATAATAGATGGTGAAATGTCCCTTTTCAGCTCATTACTACTGCTGGTCTCCTGGTGCGCCAGATACCAAACAGTCAACAAGCGCTCTGGCATATATTTCTGCACGTCACGTCTACAAAATGACATCTTTGTCATATTTAAAGAGCTTTTTTCTTCTGTCAAGGTTTTATTTACGAACATGATTCAACTTCAGGGTCAAAGTCCAGCGTCCAGGATTTCCAGAAAAAAAGTCAGATTTTGATCTAGCTCCGGCTCAGAGAGGTTATCAGTACAGCTGAGCAATTTTATCGATTCTGGGACATAAATCAATATTTTTTTCCCGCCAGAAAGTATAAATTTTTCAGCCACAAGAAAAATTAAGTCTCGTAAAAATCCCCTTATTCTGCCCTCCCCCACATCCTGTTTGCTTTGCAGTAATCTGGGATTTCCACCGCATCCAGAACGGACGTACGCCAATTCCTACCTGATCCATTTGTGAGGCGAATATTGTGGTGGATTACGGACAGCAGGAATCACGAGAACTCACAAGAACCTGCAGAGTCACATGCAATTACGTGATAACAAGTTGTCTTTATCCACATAGACATATAAGCAGTAGATTGTGTCCTTCCAGAGGAGGAAATCTACTTCTAGACTTCTAGAATCAGCATCTCCTCATCCATGGTGTCATCGGGGTGAAATGACTTCTAAAAACCGGATGTTTTATTTTGTGTCTGTGCCCGACTTCCTTTCCAGCACGGGTTAATCTGTGCTGAATTTATCCGCCATGCTCCGGCGTCCAGAAAAACTAAAACTCTTGCGATCAGCTGAGGAACAGAAAGAAGCCGGTGGAAATTGACACGTTAACTTGAATGGTTACGATCGGAGGATACAGCCCTTTCGTAGCCGTTCTTGATGCGGTGGAAATTGGGGGTAAGAGCGATTAGTTCAGAGAGAGGAGACTCAAGAAAATGGTGGGGAATTTAACTCCAGCAACGTCATGCTTGAAACCAGGTGTGTGAGAACACAAAGGTTTTCAAAGAAAGAAGGAAAGCTTTGATTTAGATTTAAAATTAGTGGTTTGCAAGCGGTATCACACAAACGTGAAATCTTCTGGAAATACAACCTAAAACGTCACCACCTGGACACGGTAACGCATGTTGGTTGAATATCGTGTATTGTATCGTGAAATTTGAGTATCGTTACAGCTCTAGTTTCCAGCATCTCTAGTCTAATTTAGGCGGCTGAGGCTCAAACGAAAAGTCATGTTTCGATCAAAAGTCTGTCCGCATGCCAAAGTAACTTCCTCTTTGCACCTTTAACCTGTATTTATAGATAAAGCTGCAGACTGAGGTTTCCAAGTCTTACAGGTGTCTATCAAAGTCCTTCCTCTTTCTCAGACATGTCACTAAAGTTTCTTCTCTTCAAACATCAACCAAAGAATTGCACAAATGTAAAAGCTGCAGTAAAGAGTTCATAAATTAACGTTTGGATGATGGATCGACTCTGAAAATGAAGAAACTCACTAAAAGCTGTAAAATGTTTATGCGACATCCAGGATGGAAAATTAGAACCGTCCAAACCTGCCAAGTCCTCCTGAAAGAAGAATGAGACTGTCCCCGTCACGTTTGTGCGACAAATGGATCCCCAGATTGAAATTTCCCTCTGACAGATTCTAATAAATTACAACTTCCTCTCGGGAAAATTGAAATAACATTTTTTACAGTCGGATCGCTCGGGTTGGTTTGTGGGTTTGTTTGTTTGTTCTCTGCAGGTCTCTTGTGGTGAAAGTGAAATATTAAACCTGGCTCCTGCTTCTGCAACCTGCTCAGCGTGGTCCCACCTTTCATCTGGCGTTCGTCACCATCGTGCGAAGTTGCAAATGAAAACAGGACGTGATAGACTGCCTGTCATTTCTGCATCGGCGTGATGTGCTTTAATTAATTATGCCGCGCGCGGAAAAGTCGGAGGAAAGAACTTTGAGAAGCAAACTTTTTCTCGCAGTCTTGCTGACTCGCAGCGTTGCGTCTCTCCTTTGAAGTGGCGGATGATTTGAAAGCTAGTGACCCCGACTTTTCCTCCCTCTTTCTTCCTGTTTCCCTCCCCCGCCCCTGCCTGAGTGCAGCCGTCTCATCAAGGAGGCTAAAACCAAATTAGCAGCCTCTTAGTCAATCACATGTGGATCTCCTGCTCATTATGCTTCTCCCAGCGTTCACCTTCAGCAGACTCCTCGCACAGATCATATGCACCTTGCTTTCGTTTCACGCTGTCAGCAAACGAGCGCTGAGTGCATCCTAACTTGATTTGTGTCTTTGTATTCACACTTCCCATCGCAAAGTGCTCCGACCTGAAAGGCCCTGATCTCTCCCAAGTGTTTCAAATGCAATAAGCTCTTTGTTTAGAGAAAAGGAAATAAAAAGCCTCTGTGGGAAGACTCGTTTCTATAAAAACGTCTCAAGGAAGCTCCTCAAGTGTTGCCAAGTGACCTGCTGTAAAGACAGCCTGTCACGGCGAGTTTAAATCAGGCTGCTTATGAAGACAGACAAGTGGAAATGAGAGAGGTTGATGCTCTGAGAGATGTCGTCAAAGTTTATCATTTCACAGTGCGATCATTTACTTCTTTTGGGGGTCTACAGAAAACAGACCTGAGGTTGAAGTTCAGGTTGTGAAACAGAAACAGCATCATCTCAAAATCCACAAGGACTTCAGTCACGTCCTTGGAGTTAAAAGATCCAAAATAACCACAGACTTGAAAATAATGTACTTTATAAAGTAGGGCAGGGCGATATGTCCTCAAATCAATATCCCAATATATTGATCAGTTCACCCCATAACGATAAATGGACGATAACTCCTCCACCAGCTGCTCACCCCCTCCCACATTAACTTCGTCTACTTCAGCCGCTCCAACTTTCTCTCCGTCCTCCATCTCCTCACCTGTCTTTCCCTCTTTGTTACAGACTGGATGGGGTGGAGTCACGTCTCTGACGTAGGACAGCGTCTTAAAGGGACATGAGACCATAGCCTACCTACACACATCCAAAACCAAATTTGAGTTATTTATTTTTTTGACACCGAATATACTGATATGGGCAAAATGACGTTGGTAAATTACGCTGTAAATTACGGTATCGGTAAATTTTCAGTTTTTGTTCGTTCGTTTCATTCGTTTGTTCGTTCGTTTATTGTCCACAAGTGGAAATTTGTCTTTAGTCTCATCGTGTACAAAAAACAGATCAACAGCAGCAACAGACACATAACAAATACACACAAAACAGAGGGAGGACAACAGTGGCATGTACTGAACATAACAGGCAGATCTAACCAGACATAGGCCTGCTTTCATTCAGTGCACTGATGGCGTTAGTAATGAATGAGTTTTTGAAGAGGTTAGTATTTGCCTTAGGAACTTGAAAACATCTGCCTGAACGAAGTCTAACGAACTCACTGTACAGTGGCTGAGAAGGATCATTTAACTATCTTAACAGCTTTTTTTACCTAATCACTTCCTTGTAGATACAGCCGAAGTGTTTCTGTGGCTTCCTTATGATGATGTTTATCGCCCAGCCCTAGTATAAAGGATATATAGGGAGTCTAAAGAGTGTCACATCATTTTGCAAAATTCATATTTAAGACACATAAAACCCCTTGTGCTTAAAGTCACATCCTTGTATTGTCTAGTCTAGGATCTCATCTACAACTCATGTGCAGCAGATACACCTGCAGAAACAAAAACACTAAACTCCTGTTGAGAAAGTTGGTTTGCATGATAAAGGATTTTTGTTGATATCTGATGTTTCATTTTGGCGGATACTAATGCTTAATTTCTACTGTTAAGAACAACACGTCTCTCCTGCACCATAAATGACCTCTTATTAACACCGTTTGTTTCAGAAACAGACAGAAAACAAGACATAGGCAGATATATTGAGAAGTAAAGTCTCTCAAAGATAGTGTCAAACACTACAAATAGTTTGTAGAAGCTCTACCTCTTAATAGCGTGGCGTAAATTAATACCTCATCTTAGGTAGGAGATTGTACCAAATTATTTTGTGCATCCTCAGAAATAAGTTTCATTCATGCACAGTGTTGCACGGTTGGCTTGTGCTGCACCTGTGCAGATAAAATATGAATTTGTGGAGGTCAGTGTGACCTATCACAGCACAGCAAGTGAGGTCTCATAAGTGCACCAAACTGTAGATTAAATCCTCATAACCCAACATTTAGTCTTTTATTTGGTGGTTAAAAAGTCGTTTCTAAAGGAGTAGAAAACGGATTGTTTCTCACCGTTGTGAGAGAGATCTTAGTCTTTCATTAGAATAAGCATCGTCTCGTTGAGTGTTCCTGCCACACTCAGATTGTCCTTGGAGATGAGCTCAATTGCCTCAGAATTGCTTTTTCAGAACTCTCGGAGTTTGATGCCAAACAGGAGGTACGAAAAAAAAAAAAAACAGCCTCCTCACTTTCTCCTGTTGGCTCAGTTCACCTCAGTCCTCCAAAGTTTGCCCACAGTGAACAAAGACAGGGTGAAATATGGGACTAGCACCTTAAATCCAGGAAGTATCAGCTGAAGCTTTTCCACATATTCCTCCTGCCAGTTATGTCAGCGGCAGACAATTTTCAGCAACACTCTGGCAGCCTTACAGAGCCTCACAGAGAAAAGCTGTGTGTTACAGCTGATAATGAGGTGTTAGTCAAGACTCTACCTTGGTGAAAAACCTTGTTGGTGAGTGGTTTCCTTTCAGTGAAATGAGTAAAAAAGCAGCTTTTGTCACAGGCTTTTAGTCCTGTAACACCTTATATAAGAGCTGTTAGAACCGTGATTTCTTTTTTTGAAGAGAGCGGCCGATGCTTCGCTGAGCGGCGGATAACAATGCGGTTTTAACAAGCAACACTCATTCATGCCAATGACTCAAAAACCCTCTTTGTGTTTTATTCTACCATTACTCGGAAAATGTTCTTTAACTTTCTAGCAAACAGATAAAACAGCAGAGTCTAACCGGAGCTGGTTAAACGATTATTCATCTTTTATTAATTTATTAGAATTTGACTGAAAATTATCGTATTCCTCATCCTTGAGAACATGTTTTATCCGTACATCTTGAAGCTCTTGTTGTACATCTTTGTTTTGCACGGTTACCATGGTTACAGATACAGTTGTGAAGATGCTTTTCACACAAACAAACCAAACAGATCTTCGGTCTGAAGTTTGAAGCCGCAGCGGTGATGACATTTGTGGTCAGAGCATGCATGTAAGCGCTCAGCGGGCACACACACACTCATTAACGCCTCGTGTTGCGGACAAAGCCGATATGCTGATATGATTATGCCGTCAGCGAAGGGTGAGTGTGCTCTGTGATTAATTGTCGCCTCAGATTCTCATGTCCGTCTCTTTCTTTCTCTCACTCGCTTGTTTTTGTCCAAGAAAGCAAACTAATGAGAAAACAAGTACAGGTCCTGATAAATTGCCTGTTAGTGGAAGGTCAGACGAGCCATCTGGAGGACCTGACAGAGCCTGTTATAGTGATACCAAGTGTGTGTGTATGTGTGTGTGTGTGGGTGCTCACAATAATAAGGCTAACATGCAGACCTATAGGCTCTCTGTGTGAAACAGTGTCATTAAAGCCGAGGAAACAGACATGTTCTCACTCCGAGATCTTTAAATGAGGCAGCTCCGTCAGCAGACTTCAGATATCTCCACCCAAGTTCTACTCTCCACTCACTTTTAGACATGCTGGGATTTCAGGGATTCACAGTCAGTGAACTCGACTGTCTTTAGACCCTAAAAACTACAAACCAAGTGGCTTTGTCAAGGGTTAAGTGGATCTGAACATCTCTAAAACGGTAGGTGTCGAGAGCAAACAGGGGAGATGTACTGTGCAGATCACCTGATGAGGTTGTAAACAGAATACAGCGTTATACAGTCGCCATGATGAGCACAAGAAAAGTAGAAAATCATTGCTCCTATTGTGTTTGATTGTTACTCTAATTGGGATCACATGCATGCTGGTAATTACAGATGTTATTTGGAGATCCTGTCATTATGTATATCATTAAATAAGACGTCACAGACATCACTTACAGACACTTCAGCTCTTACAAAATTCAGCTGTAAGAGTTCTGATGAGGGCCAGAGGGCGAGAGCGTATAACGCCAGTTTTAGCATCGCTGCATCGGCTCCCCGTCTGTTTCAGGACTGAATTTAAAAGTTCCTCTTTTATTAGTTTTTAGATGTATTAATGGTCTTTGCCCCTCTTATTTATCTGACTTACTTCTATCATATCAACCCTTGTGGACCCTTTTAAGGCCTTTTAACCTTTTAACCCAAAATTAAAACAAAAACACACGGGGAGGGAGGCGGCGCTCACTTCTATGGTCCCTGGTTGTGGAACAGCCTGCCGGAGATCCTCAAGACTCACCTCTTTAACCAGACTTTTTACTGATTACCTTTTTATATTTCTCTTATTGCAAATGTTCATTTTAATCCAAGTTCTGTTACGGCTGTGTGTTTGTTTAGTGTGTGTTTTTCCCCTTTTGTCTCTCCATAGCTGCCCAGGTGAAATCACTTGAGTGCCAATCAGACTCACCTGGTGCTGGGAGTCTAAAAGCCCAGAGCTGCCTGCAGTCTGGAGAGGCATTTGGTGGGGAACTGCTGCCCTGCTTCCTCTCATTTGTGTTGTGGGTGCTTTGTGTCTAGTTTGCAATTTTGTTAATTTGTCACAATAAATCACGTGTTAAACTTTTGAAGGTGTTTTGATAATTTGATGGGTCAAAAGTTGAGGATTGTTGTTAGCCCCATAGGGCCGCCTAAGGGTGGGGCGTAACAGTTTAATGTTTATTTTATGTCATTTTATTAATTATTGTTCTTAGTCTTTTTCTTAATTCCTGTCATAGAGGTTTTTACTTCTTTTACCCCTTTTTTATATTGTAAAGAACGCTCACTTATTTGTTCATTCAATATTATTTTCTTGTTTTAGTCCATCAGGTTTTACTCTCTTTTTACAATTTTTTATCTTTTATCTCCAGTGTCTCCAGGGTCGGGTTTTATTGTTGTTAATTGTTGTTTTGGTCTGAAAAGTGCCCTAAAAATAAAGTTGAATTTGACTTTGAGATTCAGTGGTGTCAGTCCGTCAGTAAAGGGGAGCTTGTTTTTCTCCAGAATGTCTCTGAGTGGTTAGGAGACACCGTCCACGCTGGATAATGGTTTATAGTCTGGTTCTGTTGGCGTCAGCTGCTTTCAGCGTGCAGCCACGCCTCGTCGATAACGAAGGAAAAGGTAAAGCTACTTTAAAGTGCAACATGGATGCTCACTTACTTTTGTTGTTTCCCTCTTTTTCCTCCCGATGGAGATGCATGAGAGAGGTGCAAAGATGCCTGGAAGAGAGAGGAGAGAAAGTTTAATGCTATGCTGCACCCGTGCAACGAAGATTGAAATAAAACTAAAATATCATAAAAGGCAATGAAAGAAAATATATCTAAGGATGAATATAAAGCAGAAGATCTTTAACTTCTGCAGCCGTAAATCTGAATGCATGTGTTTGGGAGCTAAAAGGAGCTTTAGAAGAATCCTGCAAAGACTTTGTGAACGTGAACTGTTGCACCATCTGTTGTTGACAAAAATAGCAGGACTCCCTTTCTTTCCTCTTTCGATGCAGCTCCTGCCTCGTCCTGTCAATTCAGAGTTCAGCAGCCGAGGAGTCCAGAATGTTAATGTTTCCATTATCATTGGAGTGAGAAGCTGCTTGTACTGTGAATCGCTAAGTAGCGTCCAGCAAATGGGATTGCCTCAGATGTCATCACATGTTGACAACATTGGCAAGACAAACTTTGGTCACATGATTACAGCAGCGGGTCGAACATGGAGGTTAAAACTGGGGGACAAGAGTCAAGTACGCTGGATTTAACTAATCTGAAATACACAAAGTAAGGGGCTGTCCAAACACTCATCTGTGCACAGTGGGTTAAAGAAGACCTGCAGGGCATGAAAAAGGTTGGATTATTCGAGAGCGGAGTCAGTCTCTGATATCTGTGACCATAATGGTCAGCAGTGAAGTGCCCATGATAGAGAGCTTGGTGAAACTCTTGGTCTGGAGTTTCTGGGTCATGCAGGGCTGAGGTGGCGCAGGTAGATAGGGGGGATAGTCCTGTTGGGTCCACATGGATCAGGGATTGACCATCAGATTGTTCCGCGTTACTGATAAATCCAGAATCAGGAAGTATTTCTCATCTACACCAACTGATACACAGTCAGGAGTTCACATGTGGTGTTTTATTTTGAAATACCGGATGACATCCACGGTTTTCTTGATTGACTTCCTGTCTACAACGATCTTCTCTGTGTGGATTGACGCGCATTGGAAGCATAGAGCAGCAAAAATCGACTCGCTGTGTATCTTTAGCAGAGCTGCTCTTGACACGATGCTGCGACGGAGCTGAGACGCATCCTGTACGCTTTGCTGCGTGATACGCGATACTGCTGCTACGTCCAAATATGCATCCTGTATGTTTTAGTCTTGAGCCCTCATCTTCTGGCATCCCTAGATCATACCCGTGCATGCATACATAACTAAATAACTCCCTTAACTAACCCCCCCACCTCCACCTCTGAGGTAACACGCCACCTTTGCATCAACTAAACCTCATTCTGCACGCTGTGAGGCCCGACATCAGGCGTATAATGAGGCTCTGAGATTCATCAGGAATAATCAATCAATGAAGTCAACATTTTAGGAGTGTTCTGCATGTTTTTCTGGTCAAAGCAGAAACACAGGCTTTTTCAATCCACTTTATAATGGAGGTACTTTTGTTTCCAATTTAGGAAACAAATAGATAGAAAACCATAATATGATTAACTTGGGTAGATGCTCTGCTGCTGCTGCTGCTATTATGAGTTTAAGACATACAGTAAAAGAAGGAGCCATGGTTACAAAGGAAAACTGCATCTGCGGTTGGTGTGGGTTAATCTTACGATTAGAAGGATCGTGTATCTAATGGGGACACCACTTTCCATTTGTATTATGATGCGGGATCATGACTGGAGTCGAGGTCTGTTGAGGATGCTTTGTTTCCTGCCTGTCCTGATGGAACAGAGTCATTGATATTCGAGGAGGACCGCCCCTCACAGTCCCGCAGTCCCCTCTGAAGTGCTTATGAATTCAGAGTCGGAGGAACAATAATCATAATTGCATCTGATTGTTTATCTGTGTTGCGTATTTGTCTGACTTTCACCAAATGTCATTAAATCTGCTGCGGCACGAATTCACCCAAGGCCTCCTGCAGAAGAAGAAGAAGAAGAAAATCTGTGCAGAAACAATTACCTTCCCTCCTCGGGAAATGAGGTCATAATAACTGTCGAGACCCAACAACTTAATCTTACTGGTGATCAACACGGCCATGCCTCAGCGTCCTCTACCTCTATTAGCATAAATGAGGCGGTAATGGAAGGTATTACCATACAAGAAAACCCACTGCAAAACAACTCCATTAGCTCCTCTGGATCTGGTTTGTTTCTCCACCGCTAAGCAGGCGGAGGCAGCAGACGACGGTGTGAAACATGCGCGGACGTATTCTCCGCTTATTTAAAACATAAAAATAAATGGAGAACATATCCATGTCCGTCTGATTGTCTGACAAGTTCGGGTGACTCAGAGCGACTGAACAAATAACAGTCTTGACGTATACGCCGGGTAATAGAGGAATAATTTGGTATGAGTCTGAAATACAGAGCTCGGAGTTATGAGTCACCTCTGAATGAGATTTGAAGGAGGAATATTCGGAAATTTAAAACCATAATGGAGGTTTTTCAGTTATTTTTATACGTATAATTGCACTTTAGTGTTGGAGGATTTTCATGGACCACTTTATGCACACGGTCAATCAATGCAGACGTTTATTCTTAAGACTTAGAAGTAGGGTAGGTAGGAATATGTTACAGAAGCAACTGTTTTCGTGGTGTATCTACAAAAAATCTTTTAATATCAGTCAATAGTTATTAGTTGAACAGCTGTGCAGGACCAGACCAGTGGAGTCATGAGAGTGGCTTTCTTTCTCTGTATGCTCTCGGAGAGGTGGTCACATCTTTAAATCTGTAGAGAGACACAGTGGGTCATGTTTTTGTCTCATCTGATATCTCCTTTTTACTGGTACAGGTTTATTCCCCCTTTTTTAATATCAACACAGATTTCTACAGCAGCACGAACAGTTTAAAAACTGCTTCAACAAACTTGCAGCTGCTAAATAAACTGTATTTGAGTTTTATCCCCTTGCATTAAAGGAGGGGTAGGCAGGATTCGTGTCGTTCATGAACCCAAACAAAGTTAGCGTGCTACAATATCGGACAGTAGAAACCAACCAGAAAGTTCGGAAAATCGTCTGAATCCTCCTTTGGCCACGACTGCCGACACAAGCAAGAAAACGAAGTAAATACCGGAGACTCTGGAGGAATAACGGGCGCTTAAAATGGAGGTAGACCGGACAAGAGCTAAAAAGCCGGGTCAACATAAACGATGGGGGACGCTTGGGGATCTTGGTGACCCTGTAACCTTTCTGCTGGACAGGTAAACCGCTTTAACAAAGTAAGACAAGTGTCTGTAACAGAAGTGTTTCTTGTCAAACGGACCTGCTGTAGCGTGTTGTAGCGCCATCGCTAAACTGTCCTCCCTCGGGTCCTGGACTATGTCACTTTATCCTCGTTGTAGAAGTCCTGCAAACATTGTGTTTGCTGGTAGTCTGTTGGCATCTACAGTAGCACCAATGCTTTTGACTTTCACCTGGAACTTCTTCAGATCCTGACTACCCCACCTTTAAAGCTGATTGTGGTGACCATGTGAGTCTTGAACACCACAGTTTTTGTACATGGTTAACAAAGCCTGCTGGATTAAATAGGTGATAAATACTCTGACCTGTATGTGCAGCCTTCTTTTAAAATATTCAGTTTTTAGTAGACGATTATTGACAAAGACAGGAAACTCCTGTCAGAGTCACTCTGGAGTAAAAACCCCACGGCTCTCTGCAGGTGGGAGGTTCTCGCTGCTGTAACAGAGACAGTAAGAAAAACTCCACCTGACAAAAAAGTCCAGCAAACTAAATTACCCCGCTTTATCAAAGAATCTCTCCTGGAAAGCGTCGGACACCGCAGAATGAAGATGTATCGCCGTGTAAGCGCATCTAAGTGTGACATTTTGCTTCAGGGGAGACAGAAATAAAGTTGTCAGATGTGGACTCGTACAAGCCTCCTGCACAGCCTCAGAGGAAAAGCCCTCACACGGGCCTGCAGAAGCTGCGCCGACTTGTGAACCGAGAAGATGATTCCTTTGTGTGACTCATCATTATCTCACGGCCACAATATCAAACATCTCACCCCAGAAATAAACCATCCAGCAGGGCTGTGGACGTCACAACTGTGGCCGTGGAAAGACTGTTTCATGCCTCCGTTGATGTTTTTGTGTGGTGCTGAAACAGTCATGCAAAGTGACATTTATGCACCGACAGCTAACATGAGGCTGCACTTTCAGGGGGCTCCTTACAAAGAAACCCTCAGTGCATGTGTAAACAAGTCTTCTCAAAGAAGAGGGTGAGAGAGGCCGAGCTGAAACAATCAGATCAAGAACTGAAGATTAGGATCCGAAATCTAGACATGCAACCTCCCCGAGGATGGAAGATGACGCACAGTGACACAAAGACATACACTTACTATCTCCACACACCAAGCATGGGTTGAATCATTCGCGCGAATGAATTACATGTTAAGTCAATGCAAAGACGCGATGGGATGCACGTAATACCCTGACGCAAATCGGGCAGGAGTTGAAAATTCACGTCTAGATTCGTGCGAATTAAGCGAGTAGATACGATTCATTCCCATGTCTAGATTCGCGCGAAATAAGGGTGTAGATACGATTCATTCACACATCTAGATTCGCGCGAATTAAGCGAGTAAGTACGATTCATTCACTCGTCTAGATTCACGCGAATTAAGCGAGTAGATACGATTCATTCACTTGTCTAGATTCACGCGAATTAAGCAAGTAGATACGATTCATTCCCATGTCTAGATTCGCGCGAATTAAGCGAGTAGATACGATTCATTACTGCATCTAGATTCGCGCGAATTAAGTGAGTAAGTACGATTCATTCACTCGTCTAGATTGGCGCAAATTAAGCGAGTAGATACGATTCATTCACGCGTTTAGATTCGCGCGAATTAAGGGAGTAGATACGATTCATTCACGCATCTAGATTCGCGCGAATTAAGCGAGTAAGTTGGTGTGAGCCACCCATTAGAGATTAACTTGACACATCTTGGGGGAATATTTTATTCGTAGGATGGTAGGGTAAGGTCCCGCCTCCTTCGCCTCTGATTGGCTAGAAGTGCTGAGCTCAGATGGTTATTCCTTATGGTGGTGAAACGTCATCATCTGTCGGGTTAGGGTTAGGAGATTCAGAATTGTGATAATTTTCTGTGTGTGATGACATTTCATAGCGATAACGAATAACCAATCAGAGCCCAGCTTTTCTAGCTAATCAGAAGGGAAGGAGGCGGGACCTTCCCTTACCATCCCACATCCTGGAGTCATGATGTCTTGATATGTGTTTAATGTCCTCCTTTTTGTTTTTTTGTTTGTTTTTGAAGTGTGAGATTGCAGGAGAATACTTCGAAGGAATAAGGTTTCCCAAAAACTGAATTAAAAGAGAAACTATTAACAACAAAACCACGACAGAAAACTATCAATAACACGCACCATACACATGTAGCGTCATCCAAACATAGCCAGAGTAGAGCCACAATCAGCGTCTTGGCATGTCACCATCAAACCCCAAGTAAAAAGTCATTCAAGTTTCAATCTGAAAGTTTTGATTTGAATAGTAAAAAGTGATCATGTAAACTCCTCCTGGTGCTTTGACTCTGTCCGCCACCTGCACCGGTGCAATCAGGGAAAAACTCAGAGAAGAAGAAGTGAAGGGATTGGCTTTTAGTTCAGCCTTCACCGCGGGGAATGGTGCACAAAATTGCACAAACTGAAAGGCGACTGAAGCACAATCAGGCTGAAGTCTGACCTGACGTCAAATCAGTGTGAAACTCAAGATTTGGCTTCAGTCTGCAGAGAGTGTGCACTTTTCATTTATGATTTTCTATGATGACCAAAATTTGACACCATGAGTCGAACTTTTTCATAAAAGTTTGAGATTTTTATGACGATTTTATGGTTTTACCTGCACAGAGATATGCTCATTTTTGATTTAAAGCTGTAACCTGGAAGATGATAAAAATGAAATCTGAGCAGATGTAACTTTCATATCCAACATTTGTCCTCCTCTCTTTGGGAGGAAGATGACGTACAAGCGTGCCGCTCTTGCTCCTCTCTGTTTGTGTCTTTCTGGTAAAAATACAAATGTAAAATAAATACAGTGCAGCTCCATTTAATTGGGCTTTTAATTTGAAGTTTTAGCTAACCACTCATGCAGTACCTCAGGACTATATCCTGAACGAGCCGCTTTAGTGGCTCCTCAGAGTTTGCACTCCAATCACCGAACACGCCAAACTGAGCGTGCTCTCATTTGAGAGTAATCGAGTAAAGCAGGTGTTTTAAATCTAACAAATGTACGTGTGTGTTCACTGCACTGTGCTCGCTCTACCATATCTCTTATTTGGCTCGACGGCTCGTCTTTGGGCGAGATGTGACAGCGGAGGCTCGTTTGGCGTGATGCGCCGTTACATGGAGGTGTCTGGGATTAGTGTGCAGATGCCTCATAATGGAGCTCCAGACTGCTGAAGGGGGATCACGGTAAACATCCGCACAGATCAGTTTGAGGATTATTTGTCTGCAGATGGATTTACTTTGTCGCCCCTTTGTGTGGTGGATAAAGAAGTATCGCAGAACGATGATCTTGTTTCTACAAAAACAGTTTCTAATGCATGAATTAAGCATCTCCTCCGTTCCTCTAATTCTTCCATTTCTATGATTTTAGACAAATCCAGACAGACTGAACTGAATCTCCTGAGGTTGGAGTGAAATACGTGTTTACCTCTTCAAACACATGCACAGGTTGCTTCAAAAACGGATGCAACATCTCGCTGTAAAGATTTAGAGAATACATATCCTGCCTTCACCCCCCGGAGCTTTGCAGAAAGAGGGAAAACACGAATCAAATTAATGTCCAAGCTCTAAAAGGATATATTTGTTTTTGTCTCAGAGCAATCAGGGCTTCCTGTACTCCTGTACAATTCCAACGAGGCAAACCTCCGGATGAAACAGTAAGAAAGCTCAAAGCACAGATCTCATTACAGGCCTTTGTTTATAGCTTTGACTCTGCTGCAAATGGATTCTCTCTTCTCCTTCCTTCAGTCCTGCTTTTCTTTCTCTGTGTGTTTTCTCTGATTTATTTCTCTTGTGCTTCAGAAAAATCGTGTGAATTATTCAGATTCCCGGGGAGTTGCTTAAAGACACTTGAAGGGAGGTTTTTACAGTAGTGCAACCTGGACAACTTCAGTTCTGGGAATGCTTATACTGGAGAAATGCAACTTTTAACAGCCGAGGAAAGAGGACGACTTTTAGATTTGGTTGTTTCTGCTGGCTGTTAAATTTAGGCTTTAGTGGCAGTAACCAATCAGCTGCAGGCAGATGAACTTGATGTTTACATTACTGCAGATTTGAGGTGTTGGCTGCAGATGAAGGATATGTTGGATCTGTTTTGTATGTCTGTAACTTTGTAAAACGTGCTGCTGCTGATCTGGATCAAAAAAGGAGATTTTATTTTAGGTTAATGAGTTTTTCCTGGTTGATTATGAGTCTTTACATGAAGTATTCATCTATTCATCTAAAAAAACAAATCTTAGTCTGTCAGTGATAGCAACCTTTTTTGTTGTTGTTGTTGTTGATTGGGTTTGATTTCATTTCTGCAAAATAAATCGTATGAAATTTGAGTTTTACTGACAATCTTAAGAATCTAGTTTAGCAGAAACTTTCATTTTTTCAAAATTATTTGGTTACTTTTGTAATTAATTTTGCAAAGACTCTTGATTATAAAACTTTTTAAACATTCATAAGTATTATTTCGAACGTCTCTTATTGATAACCTCTATTCTGAGGATGGATTTGGTTAATTTCACAACATATCTTATTTGCCGGTTTTTACTTATTTGCACTAGTTGAAAATGCAGTTATGCGCTAGAGCATCCAGATTTTTAACTTTTTTGAAGTTGCATAGTCAGAAGTGAGAAGTCGAACCCCCAAATTTCCACCTTCATCCTGAACGGCTACAAAAAGGCCGTATCTGCGATCGGAGCTGAACGTTCCCATCAAAGTCGCTTCCTCTAATTTCTGCCGGCTTCTTTCCGTTCTGCGGCGGATCGCTGGACTCCGCAGCAGATCGCAGAGAGTTCTATTTTTTTCCGTACTCCGCAGCACAAGCTCCAGTAGCTCATTAGCACTTAGCCTCTAAATTGTGGGTGGAGACAGCGCTGCTCTGCACACTCCTCTTCACGCTAGCTTGAAGCCTAACATTGCTGGTGTCGTAGCAAGAGCAGGTAACATCGGAGCTGATCAGCTCTCGGACACTGACTTTATAGGCATGATGAAAGTTAATATCATGATTAGCTTTCTTACGAGCATTGCAATCCGCTAATGCACGCGCTTGTTCTGCGATTGTCCTCTATTTCTCCGAGTCTGGCCTTCATTGCAGGGCTATAGGAAATCTAGCTTTCTGTAAGTCTGCCATTTGGGTCCAATTACTCAAGTCATCGACCGAATATTCGGTAGAATACTTGAATACTAAAATATTCGACAGCTGCATCTCTAAATGCATCTGATAGGAATTGGTGGACGGCAAAAATCGCCACCTTTCCAGACACGGTGGACATTGGGGGTTATCTTCTGTTGTCTGGTAACTGAACTCTGAAGCCTTTACCTGACAGCTCTAATTGATTGCAGATTTTGTCGTCAATCTCTGTGCTTAAAAGTAAAAAAAAAATGTGCACATTCAGCTTCTTTTTTTCTTTTGCGGCTGTTTTAAAGAAGTTTTTTTCTACTGTGTTTGAAATAAATCAACAACACAGCCTCTCAGCGCGCTCACATCCCTCAAACCTCTCTCTCTCTCTCTCTCTCTCTCTCTCTCTCTCTCTCTCTCTCTCTCTCTCTCTCTCTCTCTCTCTCTCTCTCTCTCTCTCTCTCTCTCTCTCTCTCTCTCTCTCTCTCTCTCTCTCTCTCTCTCTCTCTCTCTCTCTCTCTCTCTCTCTCTGCTGTAATTGTGAATTCACTTTTTTGTCGGGGGATCCCTGAATTGTTTAGAGAGACTAAAGAATCCACATAATCAATCTTTAACAATGTGAGAACAGCTTTGGTTTCGTGTGTGCGAGGCAGCTAATGTAAACCGGTTCCTAGAAGAAGAAGAGGGAGTCTGGATGGCGGATCTGGATGAAGAAGGCACGCTGCCAAACGCCGCCACCGCCGCCGCACAGACGATTACATTGAGTATGACGGGGGAGCGGGAACAGATGAATGAAAATCAGAGCGCTTCTGTCTGCACGGGAATGATCACAGTTGACCTTTTTCCTTGATGACTTGTGCAAATCAAAAGTGTATTATTCTCCGTTCCTGACCTAACCGCAAACCGCAGCTGCTATAGAAACGACGATGATGAAGAGCGCGGCGTGCTTTACAAAAGGGAGAAGACGGGCTGATGGCGGCGAAGGAAAACAAACATCCATTCAAGAGATTGTTCCTTATTGTTCTTCGTAATGTAACGGACACTGAACCGCCTGATTGTCTGTGTTTCATGAGTCTATCTCCGCGTGTTTGTCCTGGTTCGCAGAAAAAGTGAAACTTCAATGTGGCGTCCAAGTTCCTGTCCTCACACACACACACACACACACCGCAGCCACAGCAGGGCACGCTCGCTGGGGGGGCCGGCATAATTGTATTAATTGTTAACATAATGACGCATTTATGTTTAATGCCTACCTTCTGGTAATTACCGAGGAGGTACCTTAAGGCCTGCAGCTCGGGCCGCTCTTCCCTCCACTCTTTCATGAATCTCATTCCCTTTGTTATTACCCCGACCGACTGCCGCCGCCGCCGCCGCCGCCGCCTTTGCAGCTTCAAAGACTTTGCTCATTTTGTCTCTGGTAGCGAGTTTCTCTGCTCTCTCTCAGGTGCACCACAGGAACGTATCATTAAGTCATCAAAGCTTAATTTGTCTGCTTCAGCTCTATTGCATCCTGTGAAGTCCTGTTAACACACAGAATACTAAATGTATGCTCACCATTAAACTTGGAGGAGACGCAGAGACGGAGGAGAAGCAGGAGTCTTTCTTAAAGCTGCTATTTGCTTTGAGTCGCTCTGTGCAGATTTTTATTGAATTCTCAAAGAAGCAGAATAAAGATGCTGAATGTGATGTTTCAATCTCATTATTTATCTTTTAGAGGGAGATTGGATCAAGAAAAACCAGCCTCACATCTCTGCAGAGGTCCGTGTGGTGACTGAGACTCTGTCATTGAACCTCCTCTCTGTAAGAAGTAAAGGACTGTAATTCTGCATGACCTCGGTAATTGTGGGCCAGTCTGGTACCATCTGCAGCAACGTCAGTAATCAGAGCAACAGCATCCGGAAGATTACCGAGTGGGAAGTCAAGTCAGGACAGCTGTGAGGAGACTCGAGTGATCGCTGGACTTTGACTGGTTTGGTACACTGATACGAAGAAGAGAAAGGTCATGGAGCGTGGACCGGTTCATATGTGGCAACAACACAAGTGACCGACTTTGGATAAGCGGACGAAGATGGATGGGTGGATTGACCCTAACTGCGTTATCAAGGTGTGTGAATCCAACTCTCAGAAGTTTGATTACTAATGTGTAAGTAGGATTGGGCGGCATGAACAATCAGGGTGATCAGGATACGAGTAAATTCATATCACAGTATGTTTCCCCCCTGTAAGTTCAATTAATAAACTGAATTTACAGGATTTACACTAATAGAGTTTGGCGTGTTTCATCTTTAGTTGGTGGAAGAGGTTGTTGGTGTTTCCACCTCCAGCAACGACAGAAACACGACACTCCTTACATAGTTTTGTTTTTGAATCGTTGTCGGATTTTCTGAATCCAAAGAATCTCCAGACGACCGTCGTTACGCCCTTTTTCTGAACAAGTTCCTCCTCCTCTTCCTCATGTTGGGTGGGTCGGACTGCCTCTGTTTCAATGGTACTGCCACTAATCTCCGCGTCTGCCATGACCACCACCAGTGAAGCTGTTTCTTCTTCGTCGAAGTTATGCCAAGCAGTCTACCGGACATGCTAGTGATTATAGAGAGGGCACCAGAACATGACCAATCAAACAGAGCGAACAAACTCCACACGACACACTGGTGAATATACAGAAATGCACCCAAACAGATGCACTCCCGTTAGCAATCGCAGACAACTACACACTGACTCAGAGAGACGCAGCAGACATCTGCTCTCTCTCTCTACGGTATAAACGGTACAGCAAAATTTCTACTGGTAGACACTTTTATACCGTCACACGGTATATACCGTCATACCATCCAACCCTACATGTTAGCATGCATTTCAAAAGTCCAGTTTCAGTTGGACTAATGCAGGTTACTAATTTAAACAAACTGAGTTCTGTACAAGGAACCGCAATCAAACAGAAAAGATGTAATGCAGACATTGCTACTGAAATAGTCGTATCAGGTAGCTAAGTAGTGAGTGATTCTATCTCTCTAACCATCCCATCGTCTGCCATGTTTGTTCATTCTCAGGCTTCACTCTGGGAGGTTTTGCAAGAACGTCCAGATTGAGACTTTTTTAAGATGCAAACAATCAAAGATGAGTGTTTTATTTTGTGAGCTGACTGAGGACCTGGGAGCTGAACTTGCTTAAGTGTTTGTTAGGGTGATTTTTTTTAGCCAGTCATGTCGGCCTTTAGGGTGATGGAGCTGTGTCACTCAAATACCTCAGATTCTTTGGTGCTAGATTTCTAGATTTCCCTACATGGACTCTCCTTCAGGTCAACAAGATGCAAACAGAATGTTTGGAAACGTGGACGGCTAAATATACTTGAACAGTCTCAAACCGATCTTTGTCACACTTGTGGGATGATGAGGCTGTAACCCAGATCTGCGACCAGGAAAGTTTGTCAAAATGACCATTCATGTGGACCGTCCATTCTTAAAAAACATGAACATGGGCGAGGCATCCTCACAGTGTGGGAATGTTTTGGTAACTGCATGTTCTGCACATCTCGGAGAGGGTCTGCAGAACTAATGAGGCTGTTTTCATCATCAAAGTGTTCCCACACAGACTCACTGCTGATTTTTTAATAGATCCCCGCGTCTCGCCACATATTGACTCGATCCCTATTTTTTTTTTTTCTTGTTGCCTGGGAGCCGTCATGGCGGCAACAATGAGGGCCCGCCGCAGCAGCGTGTTAGACGTTATTACTGTTATTGATGAGTCATCGATCTTGCGGGCAGGCCACAGTAATCAAGCACAGCGTCTCCGGGGACGGTAAGGATCACGGCCTAAATCATGGCTCCCCTGGCAGAGGGCTGCAACACTAGATAAGAGCGAGCAGAGTGTGTGCGTGTGTGTGTGTGTGTGTGTGTGTGTGTGTGTGTGTGTGTGTGTGTGTGTGTGTGTGTGTGTGTTTGTTGGCATGCCTCTGTTTGTCTTGGAATGGTTGTGTAATTAGATTAGAGCGTTTGTGTTTGTGTGCGGGGCCTGTGTGTTCATGTGTACAGTTTTATGGATATAGAGATGTTGCGACATTCATCACGGCGTCGTCCACTCTCTGATGTATTGCACACTACATCAGAACATTAGCCTTTCGCAAAACCAAGAAAAATCAATTATTCCAAGGGCAGACGTAGAAATATTCGTGTCAGCACGGTGCTGCTGCGTTGGCGGATCAGGTGACGTGTGTTTGGGGGCGACGGCGTATTGCATATGATAGATTTTCAAACCGTATTGATTTGTGACGGAGACTTCTCCACGGATGAATGTGCTATTGATGTAGTGCTGCCAGCCTTTAATGGAACAATGGCTGAAAGATGAAGAAGGCGGGTCAAGTCTGAGACCTGCCCTTGGATTGGATGCATAAATATGTGTGTGTGTGTGTGTGCGCAGGGGAAGACGTTATCTACCCAGACAAGGGCAAGGTAATTGCATTTCTCTCTATGATATCAAATGTTTGTCACCTGTCTCTCTCTTTGTCTCTCTCTGGGTGTTTTGTAGCCTGAGGAACTTACGCTGTAGAAAACTTAAACCTTAGTCAGCGTTTTTGGCTTTTTTTATTTACAAAAAACATGTTCAATTAAAGCAACAGCCACCTGTACGAAAGAGGATCAGGGCCACATGGAGAGAAAATGAAAATTTGCAGGAAGGAGATCAAAGTCGGAATTTCAAGATTTAAGTCCAAATTTCATGGTTTGAGATTAAAATTTGAAATTTTGAGATTAAAGCTGAAATTTACATCTAACAAAATGTCAAAATGTGAATAAAGTCCAAATTTCAAGATTAAAAAAAAAATCAAAATTATGTCAATAAAGTCGAAATTTTGATGAAATTTAGAGATGGAAAAAAAATGCAATTTTGAGATTAAAGTTGATATTGTGATGTTATTCACATAATTTAGATTTTTTTTAATCTTGAAATTTCAACTTTAATTTCAAAATTTAGATTTTTTTCTATTTAAACTAAATTAAATATAGATATTAATCTCAAAATTTCAATTTTTTATCATGAAATTTCGACTTTATTGACAAAATTTTGATTTTTTTTTTTGATCACATAATTTCGACCTAAATCTTGAAATGAAAATTAAAAAATTTCCCATCTGTAATTTTTCTCTCTCTTCTTGTCACCCTAATCCTCTTTTGTACACCTTGCTAGTTCAGAAAATGTCTTTTTTTATTGCATGCCAAAAATCTGCATAAAACGAGGAAAAATTATCTTAAAAGTAGAAAATGTCTTATTTCAAGGACTTGACATGAAATTTAGGCCCCAGCAAGATTTGTTTTCTACTCATAACAAACAACATTTGTCTTTTTTTTTATTTTCTAGATTTGTCTGTTACTGCAGCTTAAATTAGTCCTAATAAACATCAAGATTAATACTTAGCTTAGTTACCAAAGAGTTGAGTTAATGACATCCACAGATTATAGTTCCTAAACAGATCTTCTTAGTGAGCAGAGTTTATTTTTCCCTCCTATTTAAAGAGTTTCAGGAAGTTTTGTCATATATTGTGCGGTGTGGTTTTATTTGTAGCTGAAGAGACAGAAGAAAAAAAAGAGTCACTGTGACATTTTATTAACAGAAACTCCATGAGGATAGGCTCCCACAGACATCGATACAGTCTATGGAGATAAAGAGATATACACTCACAAATTAGCTCTTTTCAGTTATTACCAAGCTACACCAGGAGACGGAAAATGTGCAAAAACTGCAGACCCCCAACACTACACTGAGGGCCGGCTGCTAAAGACATCTCCATTGGGTCCCACGCGCCCACATGCCCAGTTACTCCCAGGTTGTTACACCTGTGGGTACAAAAGTTCTGTAACAGGCAGGGTTCCTACACAAGTATGGAAAGTATGAAAAATGAAAAAAGTGTGTAAAAATATGTTTGTTTCCAGAGCATTACCAAAGTCCAGTGACTTGGACTGATCATTGGATGGACTGGGTTCTAAAGGGGTTTTGTTAATGAGCTTTTCAGGTGCAGGTGGATGCAGGACTGAAAACTTGGACCTCTGCAGGACTCTGGTCCAAAGTTGCTAAATGGTTGTCTAAGGACTGTTTTGTGAAGCAGCTCAAGGAAGAACATCTATGATCATTTCTTTATCATTTCCTTAAAGTAATAATCATCATATTAATCATTTTACAGACGCGGTAGTTCTTCTGCCTTAGCGTCTCGGTCTGATTGTATTTCCATGACGAAATGATCATAAATGTTCTTCCTTGAGCTGCGTCACCCCGCTGTAGTCCGTAATGGACTGGCCTGAGGTCTTGCTACAAACAAGCGGCTGCTGCAAGAGAGTAGGTGAGTTGTGTTTAGTCTCTTTGCTAAAGAAATTAGTCAAAGTTAAAAAGATGTTTGTTGATGTTGATGAAGTTAGGTGCTGTTCTGAGCATTATTTGTGACTATAGAGTGGCGTTTTGGTTGAGGTTTTTTTTATGGCATCAACATTCATCTCTGGAGGGGGGGGTCTACCTTGGTGTTACGGTGTGTTTGATGTATCTAAATTGATTTTATGCCAGAATATTCGTTTAGAGACGGTCAAAGATGACTGAAAGTTGAAGAACTTTGTACACCTGAAACTGCGATATCAGCAAAAAAAAATTAGATGGACTTCTCTGCACGTGCAAAACCTAAACTAGCCCAATACCTGGATGACGGCGCACACAGTTTATTCAGGTAATCATCACAAACTCTTTCAAACATCCTGACTTTGTCTTACAGAAACATCTGAGCTGACTTCTCCTTTGTGCAAAATTGTTCTGAGCGATTAAAACATTTCACTTTAGCTCCTGAATGTTCATCAAGAATTACACTCCAGATCGTACCACTATCACACACACTGAACATCCAGAAGAAAACCATCTTTTACTGGTTTTGTTCTGAGTTCTGCAGAGTCCACTCAGAGGAAACATGACTGGCTGTTTTTACCCTCTCTGTATCTGACAGCCTCTGCAGCTCTCAGCACACACACACACACACACTACATTAACCTCCCCAGCAGCCGATCAATGCATGACACTGTTAATCTTCACCGCACATATGTGACCTTCTGCAGACTCCTCTGCCCTTGCTTCCAGGTGATTAATACTGCTCAGGGTAATAGGATGTTAATTGGAGAGGCTATTGACTAAAGGCCTTAGAAAATAGTGAGCGAGCGATTTGATGCTCCGTCTTTTATTGATAAGCAGGCCTGTAAGAATGGGGAGAGAATCGCCATTTGACCGTATTCATTCATCATCATTATCACGGGGGTCTGTGACGGCCGAAGCTGCTGTCCTGCAGGATGAGCGTCCTCGTGTGATGAGTCTGAAGAAGAAGACGTCTCTGTTTTCCTTCATATCTCGAAAGTATTCGCCTCCGACTCAACAAGGGAGCGGCTCTTCAGGGTTCAATATCTCCTCAAGTGGGACACACTGTACGTTTCATTATTTGGGGATGTTCTTTCCAGTGTCTGCGCTCGGCCTTGTAATAAGACTCGGCTCTATTTATCTGAGCTAATACAACATTTCTTTTTTAGACTGGAGGCCAAACTGACGTGTTCGCCGCAGAAAAAGAAGAGGCAGATCTCCTCACTGTCAAAATGTAAGAATCGCTTAATTCAAAGGGGATCCCCACGTCCAGGAGAAAAACAAGTGAGTTCTGCACAAAGCACACAAACTAATAACTCTTCTTTTAGTGTCTAAAAAGTGGAGAACGAAGACGACACTTTTCATGGGACAAACTTGACAAATGGAGGATTATATTCATAAACCAGGCTTAATACTACCGTCATCGTCATTGCTTTCTTCTGCTTATTTGGATCCAGGTCGCTGGGGCAGCAGCTTCAGGAGGGAAGTCCAGACGGCCTTCACTTCGGCCACTTCCACCAGCTCCTCCGGGGGGATTCCCAGGCGCTCCCAGGCCAGGCGAGAGATATAATCCCTCCACCTGGCCTTGGGCCGGCCACGAGGTCTCCTCCCGGTGAGACATGTCCAGAACACCTCTAACGGGAGGCGTCCAGAAGGCGTCCTAACCAGATGCCCGAGCCACCTTGTATCCCCAATCTCGTTCTTTCCATCATTACTTAAAGTTCATGACCAAAGGTGAGGATCGGCACGTAGATCGGTAAATCGAGAGTCTCACCTTACGACTCAGCTCTTTCTTGATCGGTAAAGCGTCCGCATCACTGCTGACACCGTTTCGATCCACCTGTTGATCTCCCACTCCATCCTACCCTCACTCGTCAACAAGATCCCGAGATACTTGAACTCCTCCACTTGAGGCAGGACTTCCCCTCCGACTCGGAGAAGGCAATCTACCTTTTTCCGACTGAGGACCATGGCCTCGGACTTGGAGGTGCTGATTCGCATCCCAGCCACTTCACACTCTGCCGCGAACCGCCCCAGCAAGAGCTGAAGGTCACTGCTCGACAAAGCTAGATACTACCTTAAAACGAGCTGAATACTACCATCTTGTTTTATACGGTCTGTGGTTGGGAGTCATAGCAACACTGCCAACACTTAGAGGGCCTGAGCGATGGAGAGCTGAGAGATTTTCAGATGCGTTGCATCAATAACTCTAGTTTGAAAGGTGTGGGTTTGTAAGGTGTTGGTATAGGGCTGCAGAGTTAACCCTTCGCTCGCTGCAGCGGTTCAATTACACCTACTTATTTATGCAAAGGACTCGCAATTACCCGACGATGATGATGAAGATGCATCATAATGAAACACGTGAAGGCTGGCTCGTGTTGACATTTAAGAGAAACAGGTTTAAAGTCCTCTTTGTCCACTGATTTGATCAAAGAGAACATCGATTTTTGTATGAATCTCTTTAATTCAGCTCGCCATCAAGCTGCAGCTAATGTGAATCTGGTGTCAGACCAATCAATAGAGCCCTGGCTCAGTCTTAATAACTGTGAGCAGGATGTCTGTTTTGTGTATCAATAAAAACGCTCTGGCTGCAGCGAGGACTCTGCAGGAACAAAGAGATGGACTCGTTTTTGGCAGGAGATTTCTGCCTTCTTTGGTTTCATTTTCCATCCATCATTTACGGCTGATGAATGAGACCATGAAGGTGTGAAAAATCAATCAATATGAAAACACGTAAAAAGGAGTTGTAAACCTGTCTGGAGAGGTAGAGTTGAATAAAAAAGTAGGGAAGAAGAAAAACAAACAGATAAGGAAGGAAATAAAGAGGAAACATCTTTTAGTGCCTCATCAATAAAATACGGAGCTTAATGGAAAAAGCAAAAACAAGCGCGCCGTCTCTGAATTAATCTGCTACTGAAACTTACAAGGTTACCTTCTTCTTTTTCTATTCTAGATGTCTACTTCAGGGTGCTTTCTAAGGCCACAGGTGACTTTCTAACTACAGTTAGAAAATCACCTGTGGCCACTTGTCCAAATTGTCCAAATTTGGTCACTTCCTGCTTTAAAAACAAAAAAAAGAGGGACAGCTTTGTCAGAAATCACTTCCTACTTCCTCTTTTGAGGTGCATGCATCAGCTAGTGTTGGCAGAAATAGCAAACAGCAGCTGATTGGTTTATTCAAATTAAGGCTGTCACATAATTGATTTTTCCAATTGTAATCAATAGCAGAGTGTAGTAGCTGATCACTATTGATTGTATTTTAATTGCATGATTTAAACTCCATTATGTTGCATTAAGAAAAAAAAAAAAAGCAATTTTAAAAAGGGATATTCCAGCGTTAAAGTAAGTTAGGGTCAAACACACCATAACACCAAGTTAGACCCCCCCTCCAGAGATGAATGTTGCCGACTGCTTACTTCTCTAGTTATATCAACTTTAGTAACGACAGAGAGCCACGCGCTCAACCAAAACGCCACTCTATAACCATAAATAATGCTCAGAACAGCACCTAACTTCATCAACAGGACATATAGGGTCACAGACATAGTACTAGACACCAAACATCTTTTTAACTTTGAGCAAAGAGACTAAACACAACTCACCTACTCTCTTCCAGCAGCCACTTGTTTGTAGTGAGACCTCAGGCCAGTACATTATGTACTACAGTGGAGTGACGCAGCTCAAGGAACAACATTTATGATAATAAATACAATTATATACATCAGACCGAGACGCTAAGGCAGAAGAACTACCGCGTCTGCAAAATGATTAATATGATGATTATTACTTCAAGGAAATGATAAAGAAATGATCATAAATGTTCTTCCTTGAGCTGCAGCACCCCGCTGTAGTCTGTAATGGACTGGCCTGAGGTCTCGCTACAAATAAGCGTCAAACAAGTGTTTAGTCTCTTTGTTAAAGAAATGAGTCAAAGTTAAAAAGATGTTTGGTGTCTAGTACTATGTCTGTGACCCTATATGTCCTGTTGATGAAGTTAGGTGCTGTTCTGAGCATTATTTGTGGCTATAGAGTGGCGTTTTGGTTGAGCGCGTGGCTCTCTGTATTACTATCCTGCAGTCGTTACTAAAGTTGGTATAACTAGAGAAGCAAGCGGTCGACAACATTCATCTCTGGAGGGGGTGTCTAACTCGGTGTTGCGGTGTGTTTGACCCTAAATTAATTTTACACCAGAATGTCCCTTTAACAATGTAAAACAGTTCTTACTTGTGTCTTTTTTGGGGGTTAAATAAATCTTTCTTATTTTTTTTTTAGGTTTATGCAGTCACAATTTACCTCGGTACACCCCCTTTGGATTAATGGAGGAATTATTAAACAATGATTCTTGGTTAGATTATCTACATTAATGATTTTATCCTCAGTATGGAAAATAAATTCTCAGATATGTAAATGACTTCTATTAACGAGGCATGAAGTTATTGCAGCTCCGTTTTAATAGCTATGGATATCCTAAGGACCTGTAAACGTCCAACCTTGCCCTGAGCTGTTGTGGAGAATTTTCACCGACAGCTTACGAGGGTATAAATACACACACGCTCCAGTTTTTTTAATACGTATAAAAAAAGGCATTCAGTCGAGTCCTTCTCTTCTACTTTTCAACCACGCGTGAAGAGCTCTTGGCAGGAATCGGAGCAGAAAGCCAGAACCATGAGGTCAGTGTTCACCTGTCACACAAACCCGTCTTTGTCTTCCATTAACCTTTTTTTAATTGAGATAATATAACAGGAGAAGCAATAAAATAAAACAGAAAAAGCCTCAAGTGTTTGTGATGGAGGGCGGACAGGAAATTCAGAGTGGCACACCTGCACCGCCGCACCAGCACCACCTGCCTCATGACTGCAGGCGAAAGGTGTCCCATTCACACAGACACACAATCATGACACACTGTAGGGTTTCTCACACAGCGGTGTGACCTGTGCGGATAATTACAGCGTGAACCCGTCGAGATCATTTCAGACCGATCGCCTGTACAGTATGAAATTTAATGGGCAGCTCATTAGACCTGATTAGCAGAACTTACTACTTCATTCACCGGCAGCAGCAGGGTATGGAGACCCCATTAGTCCCCCTGCCCCACATCTACACTCCTGCACATGGACTCAAAGTTAATATGTATGATATGTATTAATGTATATTTTCCAATTACCTCCTGGCAGTCCAGAAACAGCGAGGATAACTGTGGTTCTTACTGCTTGTTTTACGCCTCAGTTAGTCAGCAAGGATCTAGTAAAGTCTGATAGTGTGTTCAAAACACTGAAACAGACTCACATCAGCCTACAGCAGCAGAGAAATAAGAGGTCTCACATAATACTGTCTGAAGGGGGGGGACTCAGGACTCTGCTCAGGCTTTTCTGAGTCCTGATACTTATAACAATGTGAACAGTTGGAACTTCTACAGACAGTTTTAGAATAGAATAGAAGAGTGTAGAATAGAATATGATAGGAAAGAATAGAGGAGAACAGAACAGAATAGAACAGAATGGGCTAGAGTAGAATATAAAAGAATATGATAGAATAGAATAAAATAGTATAAAAAAGAAAGGGATAGAATAGAATAAAAAAAGTTACAATAGAATACAATAGAATCGAATATGATAGAATAGAATATAAAAGGTTATAAAAGAATAGGTTACAATAGAATAGAACAGAATAGAATATGGTAGAGTAGAGCAGAATAGAATAGGATGGAATAAAATAGAAAAGAATAAGATAGAATAGAAAATAATAGAAAAGAGTAAAAAATAATAGAATAAAATAAGATAGACTAGGATGGTATAGAACATAAAAGGCTAAAATAGAATAGGTTAAAATCGACAATAATAGATTTGAATAAAATAGAATTGAGTAGGATATAACATAAATAATAGAATAGAAAAGAATAGGATAGGATAGAATAAAAATAATAGAATAGAAAAAAATAGAACAGAATATGGTAGAGCAGAGTAGAATAGAAAAGGACAGAATACAATAGAAAAGAATAAGATAGAATAGAAAATAAAAGAAAAGGATAGAAAAGAATAGAATCAAATAGGGTAGAAAGAATAGAATAGCACAGATTAGAGTAGGATAGATTAGAATAGAAAATAATAGAATAAAATAGAAAAGAATAGAATATAATAAAAAAGGTTTAGTAGAATAAAATATGATGGAATAGAATAGAAAAAGATAGAATATAATAGAATAGAATAGAAGGTAAACAACACTAAATCTTCATGGATGTAAACAAAGACAGCGTCTATATCCTAACCTCCAGGTGCTACATGTGACCTGCCACAACGTTTGAAAGCGTCCCGCAGCTCTGAAAGAAGAGAAAAACCTCTCATGGGGACCGAGGCCGACCGACCGTCGACCGACCGACAAGGACTCTTCAGACGATGGTGGAGCAGGAGGGCAGATTGTGTTTTTTGGCAGCGTTACAGCGCAGGGGAACAGACGGAGATAATGAAAGGTGGGAGGAAAATAAACAGCATGGGGCAACCTGCTGCGTCAACCCAGAGCCAGAGCGTGATGAGAGGAAAAATGGATCAGTGGATAAGTCATGTCTGAGGAGATCAGGGTCAAACTTAGAGTCGTTCTTCTTGGTTAAAGTTTGACGTTGACATCTATATTGTGAGTTATAGGAATGATGTAAACATGTCATTTTTAATGTGGTGAAAAAAATAGATTAATGTGCCAAGTTACAAAAGTTTGAATACGTGCAGATTTTTATTATCATAGACAACTTGAGCGTGATCACAAGGCCGCTGCCAAACTCTAAACAAGTTTTAACATCATAGTTAATGTTTACTTCCTCTATAAAGCAATTAATTCAATGCTAACAACTTTAATGGTGCTTTAAAAGTTAACTGAGTTCAATTTAGTCTTTTTATCAGAACTCAAGGTCTGCCAAATTTCCTCTTACAAGTTCAGTGTCTCTAAGTATGAGTGGATTTGACTTTTTGGTGATGAATAAACCACTGAACGCAGATCTGCAGCGATGGCAACTGCACGCTGTGTGTCTCTATCTCATTAAAACAATAGTGGTGATATTTTCCTTCGACATCTCTGGAAGCAGCTCTGCCGTATCCTTTCTGTGCCATCTCAAAACCCTCTGGAGAAATCTGTAAGCTTCAGGATTGTTTTATGATTTACTTATCTAACTCTTAAAATAATATATGACCCTCTTGGTTACAATAAGGCGCATCCTTCCTGATCACGTCACTCTCACTTCCTGCTCTGAACTTTTCGTCTCACACAGGAAAGATGGAGAGTGGGTTTGACTCCTTTAACCCGCAGCGAGTGTTTGGTATGGAAATTGTTCGACCTTCGCCAACACCAAAATGTGTTTTCATTTCCGCACTGATGGCACAGAAGAAACGACGCCTTTGACCTCTTTCACTTGGTCTCTCATTGTGTGGAGCTTTAACTTGTCAACTGATGGCACTGTGCTGATGAAGAAACAACAAAGAAAAATATCCTGGCAGGAAGTCTGACGGGGGAATATAATTGCCGCTGTAGTGTGCTGAAAAGGCTATTCAAATGCCATTCTGCACTCAGTGATTGGCTTCCCTCCCCTCCTCCCATTCGCCCTCTCTCAATGCTTTCCCTGTCATTCAAAACCCAAGGAGGCCTTTTCACAAGCCTGGAATAGTTAGCATGGCAGAATAACAAGCTAATTAGACTCCTCCAGTGATGGATGGTTGGGAGAGGGTGAGAGATGCGGGCATGAGGGCAGCTCGGCACCCCGATAGCGTCACAGCCATCTGCCCCGCTTTGACGGCTTAATTGGAAGAGCGATGGGGGATATTTGGGACCCGGCCTAATGGCTGGGCTGACCCTGTGAGGACAGCTAATGCCATTTTACCCCGATTTGTAGATGGGACATTTGGCTCTCAGCCCCCCTTCCTTTCTCTTTCTCAGGTTCGAGTGGAGTTGTCGGGGTCAACGGGGGTCAATAAGTCGCCCAAAGCGGCGATCTTAGTGTCAGGATCCAGAATGAAGGATGAGGAGGGTTTAAAGTGGGAGCTGTTACATGCACCACTCTTAGTACTTAGTGTGTGAGGGTAATTAGATTAAATAAACACGCTGGACCACAGATCGTCAACACAACCCAGTGTGTTAAATCGATCATAACACTGATTTTAAACGGGAAATAAACAACTTAAACTAGAACATAAAAACCACAAAATAAAACCAAGGAGGTCTCATGGAAACCAAGTGAAAAACCAGAGACATAATAAAGAGTAGACACAGCTTTCAGTGCGAGGAATGCGGCCGCCATCTTGAACCGGTCATTCTACCAGAGACGCTCTATGATGAAGAGGCAGAAGGAACAAGATGTCAGAGCACTGGGCTGCGAGAAAAGGGCTCAGGGGATCACTTTTCACAAGTAAGATTGAACATAACTATTGGTTGCATTTTGTGAATCGACTATTATGGTACTGTATTTATTTCCACCAGCAAAATCATAGCCAGCTAGCTAGGCTATGTTCATTGCCATAGAATCCATAGAATTTTGACACAAGTATGACACAACTGACACAAGAATGCTATTACAGAAACAGCGAGAAAATGAGCTTGACCTCCTTTGTAAAATGTTTTTGTGTAAACTCTACAGAATCTCCTGTTTTCATTTTGAAGGTTTCCCAAAGAAAAAAAACTGTGAGGAAGAAATGGGAAGTGGTTTTGAGGAGGGACGGGTTCACTACAAGTGATTCATCCGTGCGCTGAAAGTGAACACGAGAAAGAAGCTCTGCAGAACAGTCCTCTGTCAGGGGATTTAGATCATGTAAAACTCTCATGATCAACTTTGTACTTGTGTAAATATAGTTTAGGGCGAGGATGTGTCATGTTTGTTCATTACAATCACACTACAGCCTCAGAACAGTCTCTCTCTCTCTCTCTCTCTCTCTCTCTCTCTCTCTCTCTCTCTCTCTCTCTCTCTCTCTCTCTCTCTCTCTCTCTCTCTCTCTCTCTCTCTCTCTCTCTCTCTCTCTCTCTCTCTCTCTCTCTCTCTCTCTCTCTCTCTCTCTCTCTCTCTCTCTCTCTCTCTCTATTCAGTTCAGTTCAAACAGCTTCACTGGCATGAACAGAAACCTGTCGTTGCCAAGGACTTTACAAAATTCATATCACAATATTACAATTCATAATCAGTCAGTACCATACAATTTTAAACAATTATAAATCCATGCAGTTCTGAATGTTCTGGTGAGTCTCTCAGGCTTTTTGTATTGGATTATACTGATACTCTGATTTATATGTATTTTCAATTTCTTGTGTGAGATGTATGTGTATCTACTATGAAACATATTGATACTCTATACATCACATATATCATATAGCAGAACATTCTTTTAATTAACTGTTAATCCCACTATGAATAAATACTTAAATATGCCGTACTATGTCCTGTCTTTACACTGAAAGGTGCGGACGACCGGTCCAAGATGGCGGCCCCATGGCTCGTCAGCGCTACTCTTTATTATGTCTATGTGAAAAACGGTCTTCTTTGGGGGGCTCCAAGAGGTTTTTATTTGACCATTCAAGACTCTCATGGAATTCAGCAACGTGTATTTTCCAGGCAGATGTGCAGCTTTTCCTGGAACGATCTTTTACCGCCGCCCTGCTCGCTACCTTTAAAATTTAAAACCGCATAATCAGTCAGGATTGAACCTGCTTTAGTGCTCCCGCAGTGACGGGTTGATGTAGATTTGATGATGTTTCTTTGAAAAGTGTGTCAGAATGAAAGGTGACCCACTGTGGCGCTGTGGGGGTCTACAGGGTCTAAAGTGACCCTGTTAATCAGCCTCATGATACCTGAAACAGCGAGCGCTCCCCGGGTCACATACTCTCCAATCCCTGGAGAATATTTCAGGGTTGGGCGGTAACTGGATCGTTCAGCGCCACCAGAGAGAGAGAGCGCGGCGACTCTTTTGTTTATATAAGAAAGCTTCAGTTAGCAGTGATGTAATCAGGAAGTGATGTCAAGAATTAGCAGCCACTCACGTTACAGCATCAATCGAGGGGCTTTTGAAAATGATCGTTTGGAGATCTGGTAATTTGCTACGTGTTATTCAATCTAAACAAACCTGATATTTCACATCTGCTTCTTCTCAATTACAGGAGTGAGCGGAGGGGAATACGCTCACATCCACTCCAGGAATGTTTCCACAACCAATGATATTTGAGCTCAGGACCTCGCCAGCACAAATGTCCACTCGAGCACCAGAGCAAAATTAACAAGCATCTCATTGTCCGGCTTCACATCAAACTCACGCCGCTCAACCACAGCTGCGCAGACACGATGTTTGGACGGTTGAAATTGACGGGGAGAGCGAAGCGGGTCATAACCAGGGTCAGGAATGTGTCTGCGAGTCTGCACAAACTCACTCCGCCCCGGTTCAGTTTCCTCCTCCAGCACAGTGATAAATCCAACGGCGGTAACCCTATATCTGATGCAGGGCTCGCTGCAGGACAAATTATCTCCCTCGCAGCCATGTCTAATGCGTTTTTAATAATATATTCGCCTCATCAGCATCTCACCTCTCGGGGCAGGCCTGTGTACTCTAAACGAACGTCGAAAGGAAGAGGGGGCCAGACAAATAGCTTTTAAGAGGTCTCTGTGAGGGATGATGGCGGGGAAACCTATGACTCAGCAAAATTAGATCCATCCTGGAGAAGAGGGAAGGCGAAAGTTTGGCGAAAGTGTGGAACTTGCATTAGTCAAGAAGTGCGGCGGAGACAGCGTATAGATCACCGCAGCGGTCACTTCACTTCTGCGAAGACCGGGTATCAGACTCACTCAGAGGACTCCTGTGATCCTCAAGTACTGGTCTGATACTCCACTGGGGTCCACAGGGTTAAAAAGGAGACCCAGACCGCTCCGGCCTGGTCCTCATTAGTGTGTTTGGCTCCAGGTTGGAGTCAGACTCATGTCTATTGTCGCGCTGGATCACATGGCCAGTATAAACACCTATAATCAAAGTACGGTGTCTGCTCAGTGCTGCTAAAAACCCAAAGTGGCAGCACAGCTGGCCTTTACTGTAACTGTAGACCCACTGTTACATTACCCCCTAATGGAGGCGTCATACTCGCTCGCCAAGAGATCTGCAGGGCGACCGAGGCTGCATGAGCGGGGACTGAAAGCATCTGCTGTGTAAACCGAATTTGTGGGACTAAAAATGGTTAAAATTTTATATAAAATGACATAAAAATTCTGCCAAATTATTGACAGCCTCCTGCCCTCTGACCACCGCTACAGGAGCCTCCGGGTCAGGACCAGCAGGCGAAGAGACGGTTTCTTTCACTGAGCAGTCACTCTCTAAAACTTTCACCCGTTAAAGAACGCTTTTCTTTTGGCATTTGGTTAAATGTTATATAATGAAATTAATGTAAATATTGACAATAGAAACTTCATACCATCTCTAATTTTATATATATTTATAGGTATAGAACTATATATATATATATATATATATATATATATATATATACATGCACATATTACACATATATATTTACACACACATATACATACATATATATACATACATATATATATATATATATACATATATATACATAAATATATACATATATACATACATACATACATATATACATACATACATACATACATATATATACATACATACATACATATATATACATACATACATATATACATACATACATACATACATATATATACATACATACATATATACATACATACATATATATATACATACATATATATACATACATACATATATATACATACATATATATATATATACATACATATATATGTATATATAAATTTATATATATATTTATATATCAAGATATATACACATATATACTCATAGATAGATAGATAGATAGATAGATAGATAGATAGATAGATAGATAGATAGATAGATAGATAGATAGATAGATAGATAGATAGATAGATAGATAGATAGTTTTCAATGTTGTAAATATCTGATTTTGGCGCTATTGCTCTTCTGGTTGGATGCTAAACTGCATTGTTCTGAACAAGTGTGATGACAACAAAGTTGAATCTAATATAATATGTTCTTAGTTCTTAAGGAATAGAAAAGTAAATATGTGATTTTTTTCAAACACTGCTATTTAAAGAGTCTTCTTTTAATTTATATTTTGGTTCAAGTCCTGCAACAATACACCACTTATCAGAAAAAATAAAGAAACTTGATAAAATTCTTAGACAACATCAATCATAACCAATCAGACTCAGTTTTAGTCTAATTCAGACTTTAGAAAGTCTTAAAATCAAAAATCTCCCTATTCTTTCCCTCCATGAACACGTGTTACTACCATCTTCGCCTTGACTTTCTCATTTCTCCGGTCTCTGAGCGTGGACATGACACGCTCTCGATGGCAGAGGGTGAGAGTCAAACAGCCAGCTAATCATCTTTCACCTGCTCTGACATTGACTGTGTAAATACGGAAAAACGTGACCTCAATGTTTAATGACCGTTCGGGTCTGGACGGCTAAAATCTCGTTTGGTTTTCCCCTCCTGTAATCCACAGGGCTGTTAGTGTTCCTCATTAAGCTCTGGGTTGGTTCAAACATGGCAGACCACCCATGGAGATCAAATTGCCTTCACCACTCTCAGTCCATCCCTCCTCCTTCTCCTCCTCCATATACCGACTCCTGGATTCATTACCAGACATTTGCCACACATCTCAAATATAACTAACAGGAAATGAAACGGGGGAGCCAAACGTTTGCTCCTTTGTCGAAAACCGTTATTGAGGGAGGTTCTTTAGAAAAACAGGGAAAATAAGAGATAGAAAAAAGGACCTGATGCGGAGGATGAAAGGCATTGTGGGGGATTGGGACAGATTAGAGCGGGTCTTCATTGTGCGTGGTGGTAGTTTTGGGGTGATAAGTGAAGAGAGAGCAGTGGGGGCGTGGTGTGTCTGCGGGCGGATTGATGAGTCGCTGAATTGGGCCTGCTGCTGGAGAAAGGGGAGACAGAGCCCTGCCATTATCTGGAAATGAGTTACAAGTCCTCCCACACGACCTGCATCCTGTCACACAGCCCGCACTGAATGATAAGAGCTGTCCGGACACAGTCCCCGAGGGCCGCTACGCACACCAGACCTGAATATGAGGTATGTTTGGAGGCGGCTGCAGCTCTGAGTTCTAACGCGTCATACTTGTGCTATTAGAATAATTCAAGATACAATAATTCAAATAGAACCAACTAATCGTGTAAATCTGAGGGTCCTACCTGAGGTGGAGTTGGAAACAGGTGAGTCCATTCATGTTGGACGTCCAATCAGGAGACAGGAGTCAGAGTCCTGCAACAAACAAGGACGTCAATGACATTTTTATAAAAATCATGATGTGTTTGTTTTTACATAAAAAGTTCAGATAAAGAGGAGGCGTGCAGACGGCCCAACGGGTTAGTGTGCCCAATACATAGGGACCGGGGTCATCACAGCGGTCATGGGTTCAAGTCCAGCCCTGACTATGTGCTGCATGTCCTCTTACCTCTCTAGCTCTCCCCACATTTCACCCTGTCCTGCCAAAAAAGCTAATTTAAAGCCACAAAACAGCCTCAAAAGTCACTGCAGAGAGTACTGGCAACATTTTGAGAGTTTCCTGATGTAGAAGTGGAAAAATCTTTGGAAACAGATCCCTACTGATTGATATGAGCTTTAATTAATGCATCTTCCAGTGATTAAAAGTGACATCTATGAGGGAGTGTAAAAAAACTGCAGTACCGCCAGTGTCCACTTGGGTTGGCTCTAAAAGCAGATGAATCCCCGTTGACACCCATGTAAAAATGTTCACCCTAACCCAAACAATGACTTTGGTCTGATGGGCTCTTTAGTCACTGAAACTTTTAATAGCTCTTTAGTTTTGATTATAATGAAAAAGGCTAATCTTCTGTTCACACTGGACTTTATTAAACTTATAAGAAGTCAATGGACAGATGCAATTAAACAAGTTATTTTAGGCACAGTGTGAATTGTGCTAATTAAGCTAAGACTTCTTTTACCATCATGTTCTATCCTAAAAACACAGAGAGGTGATGCCGATATCTACCAAGCTGCTTTAAATGTTCAAGTCAGTCTCTGAATAACATTAAATAATGAGTATCAAACACTGCCAATCTATTTTATTTTACTTCATGTATTTCGCTTGTATAAATTTAGCGGTCCTATGTACAAATGAACTCCTGGAAATGACAGAAACTCGTCCACATTCGCTCCTTCATTTGAAGTTTTTCTATTTGAACTCCACAGCAGAAGCTGCCGCTTTGATTCAGCACAAGGTCAATATTACATACACTGAAATAAAAGCCTCTGTTCTCCGCAACAACACCGACTTATTGATGAAAGAGTATTTTGGAGGACATAAACATCCAACAGACCAAATGAAGACTTCTTTCCTCGCAGATATTTAAACCTAAATGTATTCTGCCGCGTTTGATCCGACGAGACGCAGAAACCCAGAAGGTCAGGTTTGATTAAAATATGTTTTACATAAGTTAGAGCAGACAACAGGCTGGTGGAAAATGACTAATTAAAGCTTTAAAACAGTCGATACACAACATGCAGACATGGGAGAGGATGCAGGTTGTTAAGTGGACCCTGGGTGATGCGTTTATGGTCTAACGAGAGAAACTGCAACACAGAGAGAGAGAGAGAGAGAGAGAGAGAGGGAAACTGGACCGGGGGTTAAATTTAGGAGTTTTTTTATGAGGTTTATGATGACGCAGCAGTACGAAACCATTACACCAGCAAAAAACTCAGATGACGAGGTGGAGGAAGAGGAAGTGAGTCCTTATATGGTAAAAATGTCCTGCTTTTATTGATTCTGCAGCATCGCCATGACACGATCAATTTTTCAGGACATATAAACAAACATGAAACTCTGATATGTCCCCGCTCCTGACTTCACCGATAAAGGTTTAACCACTTTGAGTCCCAGCTGTTATTTCTGAACTAAACCCTCGCTCTGACACTCGGGGATTGTCGCTAATTGTTTTATTTTTTCCCTCTTCCTATAAACTAATAACCATGTTTGTAGCCTCACAACTGTTTGGCTTGTTAAACTTAACTGCTCCAATTAAACGCGTTAACAACCCAAAACTGAAGAACGGCCGCTTTGAGAGGATCGGCATTTTGCTGCTCATTATTTAACTAAAGCTACGTTCGATTATTCCCTCTTTTCTCTTTTGACGGTGTTTACTCTGTCATCTGTGCACTAAAGCGGGATCTGCATGAGTGAAAGCAAACTTTAGATGATCGATAAAAAGCTGCACTCTGGAGTCTCGCTCCTGTAAGTCTGAAAATCCACCTCAATTATTTACACATTCGTGGGATATTTGTTGTTGTTGACATGCTGCTGTATCTCTAACCTACATCAGGGTCAAATTAAAGTCTATGCTGTATTTATAAGCAGTCGTCGCTCTATCTTTGGGGAAGTGTGCAGAGAGACGCCCTTCGCTGCTCATTGTAATGCCCTCTCTATCTGAGGCTCTGTATCCTGAGAGAAGGGGCTTTTTCCTCCAGACACAGGCATGCTACTCTCTATTTCCAGCGCCACAACAAACGCCTCTGTTTGCTTTACTGGGGTACTGAGGTATAAATAGAGGCAGGAAGTTTTTTTCGCCTGCTTATTATCAGTAGAAAGTGGAATGGCTGGAGGCTAAAGAAGTTACCTCGCTGTAAATCACACTAAAAGTTGTGTTTGTAATCCATCTCCAGCCCGGGAGCGCACGCTTTAATTTTTGATAGGTTTCCTTATGAGGTGTGGTTTCTGCGTTTAGCTGCTATAAAACGAGTCGGTTATTTTCTCAGCTGCATCATAACCACCTCTGCTCAAACCTCCAGGAGTCTGGAGTCGGAAAAACAAGTCTCCATGTTGCCCAGGAGTCTGCAGTGAGTTTAACCTCGACCCTGGCGAGCGCAGCGTCGAACCAGACGTGCAGACTTATCAGTGTGCAGGAGCAGATATGGAGCCGGTCGGTGTTTTTCAGTTCAGAACTCCTACATGAGTCAAACTGGACTAGAGAGGTATTTATTTTCTCTGAAACACAATGGTGTCCAGGAGGCTTTAAAGTGCAACAGTCCTGTAAGTGTTTGGTTTAGGTACAAGCAGCAAAAAAACAAACATTAAAGCAATATCCTTTTTTTTTTTAAAGTGAGAAAACTGTACAATTGTTGGTATTGTTCGCTGACTTAATCTTTCCTGCTGAAAGTCTTTGTACCGCAAAGACAAATAAACCCGACAGACGCAGTATTCAGGGGTTTTTGACATTTCTATAGGATTACAGCTTAAGAGAGAGGCGTCACAAACTAAACAACTATAATGAATTTAACCGAGTCCACTGGGAAAAAGGTTAATTTAATAACGAACAAGAAATGAAGCAGAGGCAGTCGTGCTAAAAACTGCAGTTCCCTGAGTGTCCACTTGAGGCTGTCTGCAGAAACACTAGAAACATGTCCACAAAAACACATTTAAGCTGAGTCAGCATTTCCAGTATGACGACCATCTCCAATATGCTTCACAAACAGCCAGTAGTCAGTTTTAGTCAAGTTTTTCACTAAGCGAGAAACACAACTACACAGATGTAGACCAGTAGTTCCAGTTTTTCTGTGAGGTTAAATGGAATCTGGCGCTATTGTCTTTAACGACGCATCAACCTGCTTTTCCAAGAAAAATCCTCAAACAAAAATGTGCACTTCCTCAGAGATCGTCCGATAAATTATGAGCCTCGGTATGTGGGGCGCCTGGTCAACGCAGTCTTACTCAAAAACGTAAAATACGTTGGTCCACTGTGCAAAACGTAGCCATTTCACAAAAACAGCCCTTAAACTGTGGCATGTGGCCCTTTTTGGAAGGTTTCTGTCATGAATACCTGATATTGTGACATTATTTATAGCACAAAAAGGTATTTGTGGTCAAATGTAAGGTTGACAAATGTTTTAAGAGCAACTCGGTCCATGACGCACATCAACTTCCTTCTGGTTCATCGCTGATAGCGTCCGTAGCTACCATCGTAGTAACAACAAAAATGTACTATCGTCACAATTTCATTGAGAAAGCTGAAAGAAAGTACGACAAAATAAAGAAGAAACGGGGATCGTTAAGATGAACCGAATGCATACTGTGAAACCGAAGTGTACATTTGTCGCTAGAAAAGTTATTACAGGGAAGCTAAAGCCACAAGATATCTTTAAATACAGCAATTTTTACCAAAAATAGAGGGGATGTTCTCCATGTTTTTAGTTAACGCAGGGAAAAACACAGTAGTCAACTGAGCAGAAGTCTGCCTGCAGAAAAGACTGGACAGACGAAACGTACCCATGCCACAGTTTAAGGGCCGTTTTTTTTAAATGGCTACGTTTTGCGCCGTGGACCAACGTGGGTATTTTACGTTTTTGAGTGAGACTGCGTTGGCCTTGTCTCCAACTGAGCTAAACCACATTAAAGTGATAAAACAGTTTTAATAACATTCAAGCATAAGCAGCTTTAGTAAAGTTGTTTTTAAGATAAGTGGTTACCGGTTCCTCTTTGTCGGTTTCCTGAGTTATGGAAGAATTCGTGGTCCGTGTTTACAATAATAGAAAAACCCTTCAGTACAAGATCTGTGCTGCCTCACCTCTGTAATAGACACCCAGGTGAGGAAATATACCTGACTCAAACTCAGTGAACCTCTGATGGTTTGTGGCTCATCAGCTCATCCATCCCATCTTCAATTTACACGCCGACACCGAGAGCAACACGGACGTTTTGTTTTATCAGCAAGTGTTTCTTCTAATTGCCTCCAAACCCTGTGGAGCAAATTAAAAAGTTTGGTCATGTTTTGCTTATCTTGCTTTTCACTTTGCTGCACAGCAGGACGCGCTCTCATCACTCTTCACCTTGAGCCCGTGCTGCGGGTGCATACAGTAGGATTACAGTAGGAGGAAACGGGGTCTTCACTCAGCCCCTCTGGACTACTTAGCTGAAGATACATCTGTATTCTGTGTGACATCTGTGTGTGTGTGTGTGTGTGTGTGTACTCGACAACACACATTTTTAACCTATAAACACACACACACACGACTGGTAGAGTTAATGTCAGACACACAATAGGATAAGTTTTCTGTTAAAGATGACTCAGCAGTTTGGTTTGCGTCAGCCTCCAGAGTTTAGACGTGTCCAGATTCACAACCGTCAAGGATCATCTGACGGCTTATCTCAGAAAAAACTAGAGTTTTGATCATATGCAGCTCTGTTGCAGTATCACTATCTACCTATGCTATCGTTGCATGCACAAACACATCTGTGCTAATGCTGTGCAAAAAGGATATATGCAAATATACTTGCACTTTACATGAACAGACCTGCATGGACAAAAGTGCAATTAACACCATCATGTGCAATACGCCAGCACTTAAACACATGATGCGTTTTAACTTTAACTGAAATATTTTTTAATTTTTTACACATCTATGTTGTCTGTTTCTATGTTACGTAATTTTAGGGCGATATAGCGCACTGTGAATTAACGTGTCTATGTTCACAAATAAGGTGCATTGGCGCATTGATTGTTGCTAGCACGTACTCCGGGCCTGGTCAGGGGCCAATCAGGTGGTGACACAGCGTACCATAATGTTCCGAACATCCATTGAGTTGCTAACCGAAGTCTGACTTACACATTTCGACAGATTTCTGAGCACATTTTACCACATAAAATCGTTCAGTAATCACAAGTAATCACACAAAAAGCGCACCGTCAATTTTTGAGAAAATGTAAGGATTTTAAGTTAACCTTATAGTCCGAAAATGTATGATCTGTTTACCACCGACCTGCTGGGGCTCCACCAACAGAAAAGAGCTTTTAGATACAGTCTGGTACATTTACATATCCATCCTCATTAATGTGCATGATCTCTTATCAGTAAGTAAGTTAATAAGTTAATAAACACTTCAATTAAAGTCGCCCTTCTTAGTCTAATTCCTCTTGTTTCCTGTTTGCTTCATGTAAAATTTACTCTTTCATATTTTTGGCAAATCACTCATAAAGTTAAAGTAAGAAAAGAGCGCAGCATCTGTTCATTAAGTTTGATGTTTGATCCTAAAATTCCTCCATTTATCCAGCCAATTTCTGCAGTAAAAACATGATTAATAAAACCGATCGGTCTGTTGGTATTTATCACAGATTTAATCACATTAACAAACCGACTTCACTTCCCTTTAGTCAAATCTTCAAAGAAGTGGAGGAACCGAGGTCCTCGAAGCTTCTGCACAGTTGTCGTAAAGTTGTCAAGGTGATAAAATCAAAATTAATTTACCTTCAACTATTTGATTTGCAGCACCAAGTTTCATGTAATCACTATCTTTTCTAACTACATCAGTCTAACTTAAGCAGACGGATACTGTTACTTCTTTTCCTGCAGAGGACGCATTAATAAGTTTCACTAAACCCCTCAGAAACAGCGAGATTGCAGATATCCCGACCTAGAGTATGTTTAGCCCTTTTTTTTTCAATGTACACTTTTTTTGGTTTGCTTCAGAAACTGACAAAATTAAAAGATCCTAAAACAGAGATGAAGCACTGGCCTCTTTGACTTTTTATTTCACAGAAAGTTTTAAACTCGGACCATCAGAGAGGTGGATTTGTGTTTTAGCCCGTCACTGAGAGGCCTGCCGACAGTTTCAGCAGAAGTCTGCGTGTTTGTTAAAGTTTGAAGATTCAAATCTTTTTTGGCTCAAACTGAGAAACATCTCCAGAGCTTCTTAAAGCTTAATAAACACATCTCTGCGGCTCCTTTTTCAGTTATTTATCGAGGAAATTCAAACTTTGGTCAGAAAATAGGAGCACTCACCTCTTCCTGTATGTTTCCACAGCTGGGGGCGGAGTCAAAGGAAGTGAGGCGGGGCTAATCACTGGCTTTAGACCTGTAGGAACAAACCATTAGGACAGGAGAGGGGGGTCCAGGTCCAAATGTTATCAAACTGATGAGTTTGGGTGTAAAATGTCTTAATTATTATTATTATTGTTGTTGTTGTTGTTGTTGTTGTTACCGATATGTCTTTTCATTTTTGTAAACATTCAGGATTCATCAGTTTGATGTGTGTGTGTCATTTTAGTTTTGTTGTATTATTTCTGTTGTCTATATGTTCATGTTGTGGACCTGTCCATGTCCACCATCTTACCTGAAACAGGAAGTGTTTCTAAGATGGCTGGTTTTGGTCTCTGTAAGGAGGATCTCTGTGACGAAGAATCTTCATCAAACTGAAGTCTTCGTCTCAAAGGTAAGCTCAGTAACCGTCTTCTCTGAGCTGAAGTTTGGTTGCTTGTTTGTTGAAAGTTTTTTGGTCTCCACGAACTTTTGCAGAAAAATATCGTGGGGTCTTTCGCTGCAAATTTCTCCGATTTGTTCCCCAAAAAGGCTCGTGGTCAGTTTGCTGTCTGCTGCTGCTGTTTGTTTCTTACAGTTTCAAACATTTCAGATAATTGTGATTAGAGGTTTAAGTTTACGGGCAGGAGAAGTAATTTTTTAAAGATTTCAGCCCCTTTTAGCCAAACAGTTACACTTTTCCTACCCAGGACTGTCCGGTTTTATTTTCTCAAAGAAGTTTTTGGTGATAATTTTCCCTCCTGATGAGCCGACAGTATTCCGCTCTGTAACCTCAGGGGCCGTCTGCGGCAATAATTGACTTGTTGAAAGTTTCCTTTTGGAGTTGCTGAGGTAGAAATGAGCTTTAGTGCAGAGACGGTGTCGTGGTTTCATTTAGTATTCGTCTAAAGTAACATCACAGGAGGATCTGGACTAGAGGGACGAGTAGTATCATCATTAGTATCGCTGACATCAGTTCTATTAAAATGTCATATTCACCTTTCATTATGTAGGGCGACCATACGTCCTCTTTTACCCCGACACGTCTGGTTGGGAGGGGTCGAGTTTACATTCAAGATTTCTCCTAAAAACTGGAGCTAACTCAGATCCTGACTACAACACCTTTAAAACTGCTGTGAGCAACTTTTGGTTTGCGTTGGTTGCTTGGCACTGCGATGGTTAATGCTGTCGGGTTTGCATGTCCTGGTGCATGCATCGGGTTGTTTGCTTATAGCTGTGATTGTGTGCATGAATGAATGAATGAATGAATGAATGAATGTTTGTCTCTATATGTCAGCCCTGAGATTTACTAGTGACCTCTCCAGGGTTTACCCGCCTCTTAGGCATCAGTACCAGTTTTAGTCTCTGGTCCAAAAACTCCTGACTGTTCCTTTAAAGCTTGTGGCGTGTGAAGCAGAGCGGAGGGAAACATGCAAAATCATTTGTATTTTTCATGATGATAAACTTAACGGCGTTGTTTTATTACCTAAACCTGACCATGACGACTGTTTTATATTATAGGAGAAATCTGAACAATGATTTTCAAACATGTATAAATCTTCTGATGGAGGCAGGAGGAGGAGGAGGAGGAGGAGGAGGGTAGGTGGTGTTTGGACAGAGGAAGGAACCCGCGGTGAATGACAGGAAAGGGGCACGATGCAGGGCTCCATACAGTGGCAGGACAGACCCTGGGAAAGCTCTGCACAGTCACACATCCAAACAATACATCTGGGCGCTGCACGGTGACGCCGCCCCTCACAGAGAGGCAGAGCGCGGCGAGGAGCTCACCGCACCGCACCGCCCGCCTGCACGAACACAGAGTGAGGGAGGGGGCGATGGGAGGAGAGGGGAGAGGAGGGGAGGGGAGGCTCTCTTTCTCTCTCTCTCTCTCTCTCCCTCTTTGTGTAAGCCTCTGTGTGTGAGTGCATTTTTTATTTCTCCCTCTGTTTGAGAAAATTCCCCCTCACTCCATTTCTCTCTGATTGTGACTCAAGAGCGCCCCCCGTAGGAGGAACATGAAACTCCAGCAGAGAGTCAGAGCTTTGTTCATCCAGACTGAGATTTTCAAAGACACAGAAACACACATGGAAGAAAACTGATTTTTATATTGACATACTGAGCTCATAAATATCAATTCCTAATGTTTAAAAATGAGATAAAAAAGTTTAAAAGGATAAATCTGCTTATTTTGGACACAATGATGGTCGTACCTGAGGCGTAAATAACTTGAGGTGACGGTAAATTCAATAAAATCTCAGTTTCACAAAGTCTTCACTCACAGATGGAGGACTTTAAGAAGTTAAATCTTTTTGCAAATAGACTTAAAATCCATCAAAATCCACTTTTTCTGAGATAAACAGGATACTGACCCTCATCGCCTGTCTGTGCGTTGTCGGAGTAAATTGATAACACATTTTAAGCATTATAACTTCAAGTATTTTATCCTCCTGAAATAAATCTTTTTTTTTTTCTATTTTGATAGATTTTTCATCAAACATGACAAAGAAATGACTCAAACCCGGTTCATAGACCCTGAGCGGTGGACTGACCTCCTTGTCTGCAGGGATGGGAGCTGTTTGGAGACACTCAGCAGAGCTCAGTCATTGATAAACTGCAGGGTCAGAGTCATGCAAAAGCTGCACGGTTGGACTGGACCATATGGTGACCCTTCTCCTGCACAGACGCAGCTGTATGAGGATTAACTTTTCAACTGTATTGAAGGGCAAAATATCTTTATCAATATGCAGGATGACTTTCCAATCAGAGTTAAAAAGGGGCGGGACTTCTGGCAGTGATTGACAGTGGTACAACTTCCAGGTCTGGAGATGTTTTAGAGTTGTTTGTTGGGATGCATGGAAAGGAGGCTCATTTGAAAACCGATCCTAAAGAAGCTGTTTGCTTTGGTTACAGTACTTCACTGCGAATAAAGTAAACATTAAAACAGTAAAGGAGGAGATAAATAATAGATAAAATAAGTAAAAATATAGAAAATAAATAAATAAAATAAGTAAAAATATAGAAAATAAATAAATAGAATAAGTAAAAATATAGAAAATAAATAAATAAAATAAGTAAAAATATAGAAAATAAGTAAATAAAATAAGTAAAAATATAGAAAATAAATAAAATAAGTAAAAATAAGAAAATAAATAAATAAAATAAGTATAAATATATAGATAATGTACAAGTATTTACACTATGAAAGAAGGACAAATTTCTTAAAGGGACAGTATTACAAGTAAACTGTAGGGCGCACTGCACGATACCGCCGTGACCTTCACTCTTTCGTACAGTTACCGTTTTGCATTACCTCAGTTTGTTGACCTAACGTCATTAAAACACAGAAAATGTAGAGTGTAGACAATAGTATGGGTGCGGCAGGATTCCTGCAGTTTTCTCCATCGTTGAGTCACATAAGGAACATTTCTCACCGTTTTATTGCATCCTCAGCGATACAGAGGACATGCCACAAACTGATAATTTATTTAGTTATAAAGGAAAAAAACGATCCGATTTTGCTCATGCAAGGACATTTTCTCAACAGCGACCTTCTACTTGCATAGGAAATATTTGACATGCATATCAAACGTAAAGCTCACGCCTAATGAGAATTAAAATGAGGATCTGGTGAGAAACATGCAGCCAAACAGGTCTGATGGTTTGTAATCACTCTGCATACACACGCCGTGAACTCTGACACCAATTTATTGAGATCACAAATGAATGTAATTTGTGTTGGGAATAGTGAGGTAACGGCGTAATGACTGCGCCGCCCCCTCTGCACATATTAAACAGGCACACACACACACACATACACACAATCACCCCCCTGAGGATACACACTTTCACTTGTTAACCCACACTCACATGCAAACGTGAAATCAGCATGCATCAGCTGTATATGAGCAGCGGCCCGACACACGGCGCATTTTTACACATGAGGAGTCTCACACTGATGATGTACACACTCATGAATACACACCATGAACACACATGTTTGACACGTTAAATCCCAACATGTTCGCACTCAAACACCTACGCTCCATCCCACATGTACATACACGCAATCCCACCTACCCAAACAGATTCTAACACCTCCCACCTTTGCACACTGTAACACACACACACTCACACACACACGCACACACACACACACACACACACTGGTCCTCCTCTAACCCGTTCAGTTAGCATTAGCGTCACACTCTAACCCTCAGCGCTCGTCCTCAGCAGAGGGATCGGCTGCATACTTTCCCCCCTCGCTCTCCATCACTGCCTCGTCCTGTAAAGGGGGCTTTGTTGGCTTGTGTTTCCTTCAACCCTGGACAGTCTCAAGTGGAGCCCCCTCTGAGCCCCTCCCTCCCTCCCCACTCCTCCGTACTCAGACCCGAGTCTGTCTGCTCGGCGTCCAGACGAGGAGCAGAGGCTGTCGGCCCGACCGCCTGCCTATCATTCCTCGCAGGGTGTAAATCAGCAAAGAGCGGCCGGGTTCTACTGTGTGCCGCAGCGACGACAGATTTATGAGAGGGCAACCTCCTCATGAACCTGGTCTGTGATTCAAGTCTGAGCCCTGGTTTTAAGCCACAATGAGGGATTGGCATACTGTGTTCAGGACAGAGAATAATAAGATGAAAAATACATGAATGGACGAGTTTGAAACTGCCATAAACAGCTCATGGTTCATCATCACCTAATGCTCACTTTGAATTAATAAATGATAAAACGATAAAAAAAAATCAGCAAAATTATAAAAAGGCACATTTTCCCAAAACAGCTGTTGTAGTTTGAAGAGTCTCTTGGTGTGTTTGGTGATTTGGGAGTCTCTACTCTAAAACAGCGGAGATATTGATTTTTGTTTGCAGCGTCTTTCTCTCGTATCGTAATTTGCAGACGGTCCCTGCTCACTCGCCCGGCTACCGGCTGCACATAGAGATCAGTATAATTCATCCAGCTCGAAGAACGGCTTGTTTTTGTAAAACAAATTGGTTTTTGATTCTTGTAGCTAATAGTCTGTGCTATTACGACGTGAAAGAGGCATCATTTGTGTTTAGACACCGTGTTGGAGGTCTTCAAGCCCTGTGTTACTAGGGTGACCATCCGTCCTCTTTTAACCGGACATGTCCTCTTTTTGGGGACTGTCCAGCATTTTTTGGGAAGTTTATAAAATCCTTCAAATGTTCAGAGTTTTGTGTGGAAGTTTCGAGTTTGTGTCATGTGGACTAACTGAAGTTTAAAGCGTGTAAAAAAAACACTTGATTCGACCTGAAAAACTCTCAAAATCATCTACACATGACTCCATGACTCCGTGACTAGTCATGTCCTCTTTTTGGGGATTCAGAATATGGTCACCATAATGTTACATAACATTTGGGAGGACATCTTAGTTTTTAATCCTGTGTGACTCCACATGCCGATAAATTATCAGTAATACACAGTTACATATAAATGGCACATTGTAGACTTACAGAAATGCAGTCAAAGACAGTGGAAACCATTTTTAAAAACCCTAGCGAGGGTTTCAAATGTTTGTTTGTTTGTTTTTTTATCTTGTTTATTTAATTTTCAGTTTCATGTCTCATAATTAAAAATATATATATATCTGTAATCACACCAGAGTTATCTTAAGGGCTTGTTTCCTTTTTATTATCTCTGACTGCAAATGGAAACGAGCCCTCAAATGTGTTAAATGTTGCTCCATACGTGGTATTTAGATGTAAGCAACATGTTGATAAAAACTGCAGCAGTGCATGAAGGTTAGAGGACAAATCTGAAACTACAATAATCAAATGTTTGAAAAAAGTCACCCCAAAGTTTGAAGAAATCTCCTTTTTCACTCATAGAGTCGTATATTCTGATTGTTCTGGATTGAGGTTTGATTCTGTGTAATTAAGTGTAAGTACCTGAACCCCTGTCACACTCTGATAACCTCAAGTCGACTAACTCTGAGTGTTTAAAGTCGTCCTTTAATCCGTTCACTTTTAAAAATCTCTTTAAAATCAGACGTTTGAACAGAGTTTCAGGACGTGGCTTCATGCAGATTATTATTCTGACACATTTACAGCAGATTAACAAGAACTGAGGGGAGGACCGTTTTATCATAGGATGTGAGATCCATAAATCACCCACTGTTTCAACTAATCAGTTCATAATTCACCGTCCAACAATCCCGTGCAGCGACTCCCCGGTGTCTGCTCGCAGGTCTGTTTTCATGACACACTTACAGGTTCAGATGTTGGTTTTGTTCTGGTACCAAGGTTAAACAGGGAGGAGAAAAACCCAAGAATTCTTTTTAAATGAGGTAATCAGAAGATAATGGGGATTATAGGGAATGTTGGAGACAGAATAATAAAACAATAACAAACTTTACAGAGACTGAAAAAAAAAAAAATTAACCTAATCCTCAAGCCTTTTGTCTTGGAGTCCTGTGGGAGCTGACAGCTATTGCTGCAAAGTCCAACCTGAGTCTCCATGAGTGTCTTGTTAATGCTCCTTTTACATCCTCCAGTCTGAGTATTAATGAGTGAACTCACACACTCAGGAGCAGACAAATACTTGAGGAAGGATGCTACATGTGCTCCGCAGCATTATCATGCACAAACACGCTCTGTCTATTTGTTTCTGTCTCAAAAAATGAACATGAGCGCGCTGGTATGTAGGGTTTGGGTTACCTGGATTGACCCTAAATGCTTGCACAGCTTGCATATCAGATAAGATAACCTCTGCAAATCCCTGCCCCCGTGTGTGAGCGTGTGTGTGTGTGTGTGTGTGTGTGATATAGTAGGGGAAAGTGACATGTTAACTGGGAAATGTGCTCTGCCAAGGGAAAATAGGCAGACACGTCATGGCGGGGGAATTACATTGGTGATAAAGTAGGCTGTAAAAACAAGTGTCATGTAAACGCTGTTATTGCACATGTCAGGCGGATATTTCCTGAAAATCCTCTATCTCTTCCTCTCAGTTCTGCCTCTTTCTCTCTTTCTACTCGTCAAAGTGCGCCTGTCTTTTTTTAGACGGCATTACTCACATCTCCTTCACCGGCAGCAGAGGCATGATTCCCCTCTCCCCCTCCGCACTCCCCGCTGTTTGCATCCAGTCCTGACGAAAACCACAGGTGATAGGTCACAGGGCCCCCCAGCGACCAATCAGAGTGGAGACCTGCTGTGACAACATGCCTTTGGCACGAGGGTGGTAGGAAAATCAGATGGTCTCACTCGGAGGTGAAGAAGTTATTGCAGTAAACAGTCCGAGCAGAAACAGCTTCAAATTCGGCGTGTTGTTTGTGGACTCATTTGTTTGGATTTAGTGCTGCCCCCTACAGTTTAATGTGCAATATTAACTTGGTATGCATGCTGCTTGGATTGATCTCAATCTCATTAAAAGTGTCATCAATCCCAGGGTACTACACAGTAGGTGTGTGTGTCTGTGTGAGTGGAAATGCTCCCTCATGTCGAGTCCAAAAGTCAACAAGCTCACTGTGCAATTACTCTGTCCACAGAAGCATACCTGCAGAACTAATGCTGCTCTATAATGAATCAGATCTCTGCACATTTACATCAGTCTCCTCGGCTCTCACAATCAGAAGCTGTAAATTAATTCCTGTTGTTTTAAAAGTCAGTGTCTTTAAACCAACGCTTGTTTTGCAAAAATCACTTAATTGGTTGTGATCCAGTTTTCTTATCTCGCCACGTCCCCGGTGACTCCTGTGAGCGATAACGTCTCAGTCCACCCATCGGAGTTTTTATAACGACTCCGCCCCGCCTGTGGCTCCCAGCCTCAGAACCATCTGCTCTCATGAAAGATGCAGATCTTCAGAGGGGAGAGTTGAACTGTTACTCAAACTACAGTCAAAGTACGGTTTGGGGACGATCCTCGCCAGCTGATGATAAAAACGGAGATCTCATGTTGATCGGTGTATCGGTGTAGATTTAAAAGGTGGTGCTGCTTCATGGTGGTGGATGGAAACAGGAACACTTTTTAAAACTTGAACATAGGGCTGAGTGATAAAACAATAACGATATCAAACGGGGTCAATGTCCTATTTCGATTACCGCCATTCTGCCATGTTTTGGTCGACTACACGAATAGCCAATGAAAAGGGGAGTTTCTCCGGGTCTGAACCAATCATGTTCTGAATTAGAACCAAGTATCGAACAACTGCGTCGTAGCAGTAGTCCACTCTGCTTTCTCTAGAGCAACGCCTTACGACAAAAAAGGGACTCAAAGACCTCACAGATGCAGGAGATTATTGTTTTGAAAAAGACATGCGACCAATAAACACTGTTAAATTTCAATTTTTATACCATGATATATATCGACTGAAATAATCAAATTGTATCGTGATAAACTTTTTCCCATGTCGCCCAGCCCTACTTGAACATTATGACCTTTTTTCAAATGCATATTTATAAATCTAACATTTCTTGTTTGACTTCTTTATGGTGTTTAGTAAACGTGTGTATTTGCTGATGAACGGCATAAAAGAGAGACCACTTAGGCTCTTCACAGAGAAGACGAAGACAGAAGAAGAGGTCAAAGGTTAAAGACAGCTGCTGCCCTTTCTTTAGTTTCTGTACAAAGCTACTAAAGTAAACATCAGAGCAGCAGAGGTCATCAACGCAAATAAAACCATGGAGGTGTTCATGTCAGAGTCTGTAGGTTTTTACGCAGGCGGCTTTTCCAGCAAACGTGAACATATATCATATATCTACAATCAGAGTTCAGCCCATGTGACTTCCCTGGATCGGTCTGATGGGTTTGGTCTTTATTTAGATGGTCTCTGACAGACAGTTCACCTCTGTTTTACCCCTCAGTGTGAGGAACTTCTTATTTCAGCTGAAACTTCATGATGCTCTCACACCAAACCTGGATTTAAATCTGACCTTTGGATTATTTTCAGTCTTTTCTTTTCCCTGATAAGAGCAGATCGATGAGATGAGAGTGTTTAGAGACTTCAGTGGGAGTTTTTAGGGTTAGGGTCATATCAAACTACTTCACCATTTACCTCAGCGTGAGTCATATCATCATCCAAACCAGTAGGGTTCATCCTCCTGTGGTCATTAAGGTTGTCAGAAACTTTAATTCTACTTTAAAAGTTTGGCCTATTGGTGGCGCTAGGGAACAGGTCAAATCGTTGATAGGTTTCATTCTTAAGGGTTTTTTTTATGTACTCAACAAATAAACGCTGCCTTGCACAGGACGCGTCTTTGTGTTGCTATGGCGATGAATGAATTGTGAATTGCCCTTCTTGTTCATACCCTCCCGCTTCAATTGTAACTTCATTATGAGTGACACTCGGTGGTGAAGGGCGAGTTTGTAGGGGGCGGTTTGGGATCGGGCCTCGCTCCCCACCCTAAAAGAAAGAAGTCCTCCATTTTTCAGACTTGGAGGTGCTGACCTCTAGCTGCTGGAGGTCCCAAACTCCACCAGCTTCACTTTAAACAGGGTGAGCGCTGAAGATGGACTCTGGAAATCAGACTGGTTTCGGTCTTTCTCTCCCACTAATGATCACCCAGTTCCACCTGTTCTCATCTCCACAAACCCATGATGCAGCTCTGTAATAGAGACGCGCTCCATTATTAGTTTGTATTGTAAACAGACTCATATGTCTGACATGTTTAAATCCTCCCCTCTGCCTCCCGTCTGTGTTTGTGTGCTTGTTAAAACACCGACACCGTCTCAGATCTGCAGGAGATGATCACAGCCCTCACAGTCAGACGACAGACAAAGCTCAGCCCTCACACTGTGATCTGTGCCAGTTTGTTTCCTCCACCTTATTTGAAGAATACAGTCGCACAAGGTGGAGGATGAATAATACATGGCGTTAGTTTCTCTGCTCTGGATGTCGAGAGTGCCGGGATTCAGATCTCCACACCTGACACTCAGTTTCAAGTCGAGCTGAAGGTCGGCTTTTATCACCAGCTGGGCGATCTATTCAGCAGCACTGAGATGTTTCTGTGGAAATAATGAGTTTACTGAACACAGGCTGGAAAACGAGACGAATTAAAGAACTTCTGAGGAGTCTGAATGCGCTCGTGTGCCGACAGAGATATAAACGAGGAGAGCGGAGGATGAGGAGGTGAAGTCATGCTCCTATTTTCAGATCTGATGTGTGCTTTTCCTCCGGGGTGAACGGGCCGCCATTGTTTGAACCCGCTGCCTGAAACAATGAGGGCGTAACCACAACACAACATCCACGGAGCACTTAGACTGGACTGACCATCCATCAAACTGATCATATCTGCTCTCTCTGTCTCTGCTTGATTATTCTCCACCATCCAGGAGCTTCTCGGTTTCCATGGCGATAAATTACTCAAGTAGAAAGATATATACACGCCGTCATTAAGTTGCACGAATATTTAAATGTGCAGGGGGAAAATAAAGTCCTGCTTTTGAAAACAGAGAGTACATCTGCAGAAAAACTCCAATCTGATCGAAGTGCTTTTTCTTTTCTCTGCTAAAATATGCCTTACTCTACGTTCACACTTCAGGTTATGCTGCACATGATATGATACAGGTGTGGATTTTTATTTTAGGAAACAGGTCATCATCAAGAGTTTTTCTGAGATTTTTTATGTGAGAAGACGCCGATGACCCCAAACTTCAATTTGACTTTTTAAGTAGTTTGTCATGTTGTTTCCTTCATGCATCGGTGCAAAAGACTCCAAACGTGATTTGTTGTCCTCTCTGTAAGTCCAATGATTGTGAAAGCCAAAGCTGTTTTTTTCAGTGTTAGTTTTTGGTGTTTTGGTTGGAGTTTCTTCAAACCAGCTGAATTACTTTGTGAATTTGACGGTCTAACTTTGTTTCTATGTTCCCTGCCTGTGTACGCGTCGTCCTCCATCTGAAAATCACAGCACTCTTCTGTTAAATCGGCCCTCTGCACACTGATACCAGCATAAAACCTCCTTTAACGCTCCTGATCCATCACAGCTGCTGTAAAATATCATTTTCTCGCCTTGCTTTTTATATCCCCGACTCTTTTTCATCCACAAAGGACTGCCATCCCCTCTCACCTGAGGATATCCGTTCTGATTACTCATACATCTTTCTCCGTGTAACCCTTCGGTGACTGTCTCTCACCCAGGGAACACTAAAAAAGACGCTTTATTGAAAATAATAGCACACTCCGAGCATGGCAGCTAGTTTCTCTGATTTTAAAGATGTTAAATAATCCGCTGATACATGTATTTGACATTGAAAACACCGCTGAGGTTAACAGTCGTCTCAGCGCCAAAAGAAGTCAGACGCCGCATTAAGAGCAGAGGAGAGGGCGAGGGAAATGAAGGGATACTGAGACGATCCTTCAGGGACTCATCACGCTAATTACATTTTGCATGCTGACTGAAGGTTAGAGCGCTGCAGTCCCAGGTGACGCCCCATTTTTCCAGCTTTTGGTTTGTGCATATGCAGCTTCTCAGAATTATCTCAAAACACTTCACAGCCTTGACGCAAAATGTACTTTTATAGATGCATCAAATGATAACCTATAACTCAGAGAACATCTTAAAAACCGTTCAGACTAATTACCAGTCCAATGAGCATTAATTGGACCGCTGCTTCTGCTGCATTAGATCTTCATTCATGGAACGGCGTGACCTCCAACAAGGACCTCCAACTTTCTAAAGGAAAGGAGGTGACATCATGAAAGTAATGTAATATGCTATTTATACCCTGAGCAGGAGCAGAGATTATTATCAGAGACGGAAAATGAGCAGGAATTTAAAACCCGGTTCGATTCCCGAGATACTGAACGCTTGGTCTTTGTCACGCCCCTCAGGGTCTAAGAGTCAAATGCACGAGGTTATGAGTCAGTGTCACTAACTGGGCTTAGAGCGAACTCTGGCGTGAACTAGAGAAGCAAGCGGTCGGCAACATTCATCTCTCGACGGGGGTGTCTAACTCGGTGTTATGATGTGTTTGACCCTAAATTAATTTTACGCTGGAATATCCCTTTAACCTAGGACACGATCTGGACCATCCTTTAATGACCTAAAACTCTGTATGTGAGGTTACGCCACCCTCTCAATATGACAGCAGCTGATCTGAGTTCAGATTTATGATGTTAATAATGAAATTTGATCGTTTTCCCTCCTCCATTTAAATAAATAAACACATATCTCTGGCGGTGGAGCATTTTTATTCACGGTTCAGACGTCTTCACACATAATTTATGATCTGATAGTCAAACTGAACCAGAGGAGCCTGATAATAATCACATGAGAAGAAACAAGATAAAACAAAATCAGATATGACAGTTTGTATTAAGCCTGTAGATGAAAAGTAGGTTGAGTCATACGGAGAAAAATGAGGGATTAAAAATCACGAGGGTCGTATTTAGAGATGTAAAAGCTTTCAGGTGTTTCCTCAGATCTTCAGACTGTCTCCTCCTGCAGAAGTTCTTCCTCATTACCTGTAAATATTTGCTGATATCTCTCTGATCACTTGAATTTCCTCTGTTTATGTTTCTGCATGAACTGACGCAGTGACAGGGCATCATGTTCACCCAGCCTGAAATGTAATCTGTGTTAGTAACCAGCAGCTCACTATACATGGTACTAGTATGGATGACTTTGAGGGACACTGTGTTGAAGAGGGATGGGAATTGTTAAGAATTTAGTGATTACGATTCTATTATCGATACTGCTTATTGATTCTCATTGAGTGAGAAATATGATAATACAATTAGGTTCGTTCTCATTAACTCTTTAATATTGTCACCTTTGGACAGAGGAGATAACAGATCCATGCACTAATAATTTGTTATGTGACCTTCTATTTGACCACAAATCTGTCACTTTACTTTTCCCCGCCTCGATGAAAGGGGTTGCTAAAGGTTAGCTGACCAGTGCAGCCTCTGAGCTAGCATGACTCTGTTAGTCATCCTCATCTAGATGTAGTTTAAGAAGATGGAGAGGATTTATATAGTGAGAAGGAGTTAACATGGTGCTAACATCTACACAACAGATAGGACCTGGAGGAGTTAAACGTTGCCTTGATGATGCCGAGATGTTAGCTCTGCTCCAGCATTTTTTGGTCTAATTAACGTCTAAATGTAGCCTAGATGACTGGTCTGAAATCAGACTACCACAGATCTCAAAATGAAAGTTTTTTGAGACATCTAAATTCAGACCAAGTTTAGACCAAGTCTAAATCTGGGCTGTATCTATATGCCACTGTATTTTGATCAACAGCTCTCAAAATGATTTTGGTTAAGTACTTGGAGATCAGTTATGAAACTCACAGTTGCTTTTTGTAAAAAATAGTTATCGATTATTGGGTTAAAGTGCAAAGTCTAAATTCTGTCTAAAAATATACAGAATCTAGACGGTTGAAATGAGGTCTAAAAAAAAACTCAACATCTTATAGTCATCTATTGCACGGTGGGAGTCTCACCTTCGCTAAGTAGCGAATCAAACACATTACACTTTAAATTAACTGCACGCTGGGTGGACAAATGTTTCGGCATATCGGAGGTATTTTCCCCGTTCGACAAAATCAATGCTTTGCAAGTGTTGCAAGTCGCCCTGGTATCATCTTTCCGCGTGAAATACAACCAAACTCTGGAGTGCTTGACGCCATTCTGGAAAGTTCTGAACCAAAACACACTTCTTGCACAGAGACATTAGAGGAACCGATAAGAAGAATCATCAACAATTCTTAGGAATCGAATCACTTTTAAAAAAGAACCAGTTATCGATTCTCACTCCTAATGTTGAAAACTGAAGACTTACAGGGGATTGTGGTCAGAACGCCGTTAAATGATGTTTTAGCCGCCAAGGTTATTGTTGCATAAAGCAGTAGGTTTCATTTGACCCAGATTCACGGCTCCCAGTTTGACAGATAGGAGCTGCATGTGTGTGTGTGTGTGTGTGTGTGTGCACGTGTGTGTGCGGCCCCGGGGCGTGTTCAGTGTATAAAACTCGGCATACGCTCACGCTCATATTCAGCCCTTTGATCACAGACATTGTTTGTCCGTGATCACCTGTATGTCACCTCCAACCTGTTTCTTTTTTTCTCTTTTGTGTTGTTATTATTTTGGTCCTGCTGCTGACATAATTACACCTTCGCCTGAACCGTTACTCCCTAAAGTCCTGCTGGATATTTGTTGAGGCGTGCTGCACCGGTCTGAAAAAGGGTTACGAACAAATACGTACACGTTTCCCCAAAGATATAATTATATCCAGTGGACTGCAGAGGCCAGCGAGTGTAATTAGCACAATGTGAAATTTCACATTTCTGATTTTCTGTCTCAGCGGACGCTAAAGTCATGACACATACCCGCTGCATACTTATTATTGTCACATGTGAATTACCGCCTTGAGCCCTCCATTGACATTGTCCATTGAATACCATTATGGCGAGGATAATGGCGATAGGAGAATCAGAGTTAATGACTGTATTTATTGCACACATAATGTCGCCCTCATTGTCTGAAAGCAGCGCCTCCCTCTGAAAATATGGGTCCGAATTGTTGTTCTCTGGCATCGACACGCACTCGATGTATTTAATTTTCTATGTGGAGATAACAGAAATTATTATAAGCAGTTCCATTCACCATAAAGTGTAATTAGTCAATAATTATGGAGTGGTAATTACATTTGAGAGGAAACCCAAGGTTGGTTTGCAGCAGGGAGCGCATCTTAAGAGACCTCCTGCTGTCGTTCCTCAAACACAGACTCGTGCACGCAAACGGAAACAAACAAGGAACACGCACCTACATTATGTTCGCCGTCACTGATTTATTCATACAAATGCCGCCTTATTACACACATAATCATAAACACAAGAGTAACATCTACACGCACGTATCCTCTCCGGAGTCTGTGTTAATTTACGGTTCGCTCTCTCCATCCCTGCATTAAATTTCCCTGCAGAAATGAACCGTCGTTAGGCAGCGGCAGCGGCTCCTGCTAACGGCGAAGTTTACAGGAGGTTATAATGATTTTCTTAAAGGCCAAATGAGACCATCTGTGTGAGATTTCAACTTGTGCACACTGTGTAAGTGAAACAAACGCCGCACCTTTCCCGAGGTCTGAACCACAAACACAGACACAAACATAATCCCCTCTGTGTTGTAATTTATCTGCAGGTATCGCTCGCTCTATCGCCACCTTCATTCCAACTATCCCCCGCAGGCCGGACCCTCTCATGCAGCGTGTTAAGCACACACGTGTTATCCTCATCAGCCGATGTGTTATAACGCAGAGTAATCTCACATCTCTGGCTGCTCCTGCACCTTTTCAATTTCCTGGTAACCTAATCCTTTCTGTTTCTCCATACCTCATCATAGCCTGGGAGAAAGAGAGATGGGAGGAGGGGAGTGCAGGGGGAGAAGGGATAATAAATTGTGCCTTTTGATATAAGTTGGATTAGGGAAATGGCAAACCCATGTGTATGCTGATGGGGCTGTGCTGTGTGAGGCTGTAATCCATCATAAAAGAAAGAATTCAGAGGTGGGAACGTGCGAAAATCAACATCACACAAAACCTACATTACTGCTGTTTATTCAACACATTCTTACATGGTCATTTTTTCATTAAGGTGCACATCCGTCTTTGTGTGAAATAACCACAGAATTATCATGTTTACAAAGGTCTAATCTGAGGGGTATTACCCTTTTTTTAATGGGCACAAAAATCAAACATGAATTTAACTCACGACAGCAGAGATCGCCGAATAATGTTCTTCCAAATCGCTTTGTAGGAGCCGTAACATAATACGTCTGTAGGTGTCACGTGGTGTCAGGTGGAGAGAGGGGAGCAGTGGCTTTGGTTTGCCTTTTGTTTGTTCCTGCTGTGTATCCGTAGGAGTCCTGTGTTTGTGTGACCATGAGCAGATGTTTCATTAAAAACACCATAAAGTGCATCATCAGCCTCTTGCTTGTCTATGTAGAAGGCGATAGCGAGTCGGACAAATACCGGACCCTCAACTTTCCTCTCAAGCGACAAGGTTGGTCTTTGGAGTCGCTACAGCTTTGGTCAGTAAAGGACCAAAATCACTTCAATAACTGGAGTAAATTGGATAATATAAAAACTGTCACTCTAACCCAGCGTGTGTTAAGAGGGAAATTAACCCTAACTCTAACTATCTTGGCTAAACACTGTAAGTATGTTCTTGTTTTTGGTCTCTTGGAGCGAGCCCCAAGTGGACACTCGAAGAACTGCACGTTCTAGCTTTATTTCTCAAGACTTGTGTACTGTAAAGTCCCACTCTGATAAAACACGATCAGAATAGAATAGAATAGAATATTCCTACAATAAAGGAATATTCTATTCTGATCATGTTTTATTTTTTTTACCACTTAAAGTGTTCTCGGCAGTTTTTAAATTGTGATTATAAGTTTTTAAGACAATATCACATTACCCGTGTCATTTTCAGGGGCTTTTCTTCTGCAGAGCTCCAGTAGCTCATTAGCAATTCGCCCCTGAGTCGTAGGCGGAGACAGCGCTGCTCTGCATACTCCTCTTTACGCTAGCTTGCATTTATAGTAGAAGAAGCAGGTAACATAGGAGCTATTCAGCTTTTGCACATTAATGTCTTTAGGGACATGATGAAAGTTGATATCATAATTAGCTTTCCTGTGAGCATTGCAATCTGCTAACACACACACGTCCGCATAGCACACATAGCAGGGCTCTGGAGGCGGAGCTTGGATTTGTGATGTAGGAAATCTCACTGTCTGAACCTGCTGTTTGAGTCTGTCAGAGATTCACAGAGATTTGAACACAAATACTCAGAATTGCACTTATTTTTCTCATGATATGTCCTGTAGCATCAGATAAATCAATATTTAGACAACAAGGAAAACGTTTTTTTTCATCAGAGTGGGTCTTTAAGATCATTACATCCTTTTGTGGGTGAAACATGATGCACAAAGTAATAACTCTACAAGTTGTTGGCCTGGTCCTGAACTTTAACGTGAACCGCCAACATGTGACTCAGGAGAGAAACCGCTCTTATTAACACTAACTTTTGCACTGCTGTTTACTTAACGCAATCATGTGTGTGTTGCAAATTTGTCTGTTACCGTAGAATCATGGCGGAGCAAGATGGCGACCTCTGTAGAAGGTACCATATAGATTTAAGTCTGCTTGAATAACACGCTCTGTTTCTCTGATCCATCCTGACTCTTTCTGGCTCTGTGTACGATCTTGTTTGTTAAAGAAAGACTGTTTCCTGTTGACCTAACCATGAAAAAACACTGAGCTGCTGCCTGATAAACAGCCTTAATGCAGGAATGAAAACCTGTAATTACTCTGGAGAGTCGGCCGCTTTATTTCAGTCAACTCAAACGAGGTGAAATAGAGAAACAGTACACACCATCAGGAGAGCGAGATAAGCTAAAATGAAACTGTGGTGATGTTCAGGTGAGAACATTTGTATTATTCATTCGGATGGTTGTGTGTCTGTGTCTGTGTCTATTTGTGTGTTTGCAGAGGACTGACAGCAGGACTGGTCCAAGGTCTCCGGCCTTGTTTATCTCCACAGAGCTCCCAGCAGATCCTCTCTTGATCCATTGATTTGTTTGTTAGATGGTGACACGGGTCAGAGAGACGCCAAAACATCGGCTCTGAAGGATAAGTTGTGTTTGTATGTTTGCCTTTGAGGATGAATAAGGAAGCTGGAGAGGAGAAGAAGTGTGTTTGAGTCGGGTTTGGAGATGTGCTGTCTGAGAAACTGCAACCCTGAGCAGCGGCTGACTCCACAGCCTCCACATTTCAGGAAAGTTTCTGCTAAAACAGAACTCGAATCAAACTTTCTAAAGTGGGTTTTCTTTGGACTTTGATTGTTATTGAATCTGCAGATATTTTATGGGATTTCTTTACGGTCTTTGCGCTGACAAAGGTTACCAAAATAGACAGATATCACGATCCCACCTCACAGTTAGGACTCCTTTAACTCCTTTTACAGTTTTTACAGAACCGTATATCAAATATTACGATGGAAAGAGAGATGTTTCCAGTTTGAGACTTTATACAGTCCGAGCGCTTTAAGCCACGGCTGCCAGTCTGGCTCAGATCCTCTTATACTGCGGCGTTGGATGTATTGTAAATGACTTTAAGGATGCCCTGTCTGCCCCGGAGACGGCCTTTTGAAAGGCGATCCCTGTCCCTCTCACTTATGGCACTCCCTGCAGAACCACTTCAAAACGCTCGTAAAGCAGCTCGCACGGATTGATCTGGCCTCTATTGAAAACACATTGGCTCATAATCTATGCCCTCTCATAATAAGAAGAGATCCCACATCAGTTTCAAGGTCAAACACCAATAAAATCAAAGACGGCAATTTGTCAGGAGGCTGCCCAGGACCTGACATCATCTCTGCAGTCCGTCCCAGACACGAGCTGGAGCTCAGCTGCAGTTTTCCTCATCCCAGATGTAAATCGTATATTTTCCCATTACAGATCAGCTTCTGATGGAGCTGCAGCTGCACATGAAGTTTGAAGTTTATTTCGATCTGGTCATATCCATTCAATATATACAGTAAATTACAAGAAAAGAAAAAGAAAAAGAAAACATACAGATGATTCCTGATCTGTCCTCTTATAGAGCAGAGATAGCTGATGAATATGAATCATGGGAGGATCGTCATCCTCTTAGGGGAACATCCCTGAAAATACGGATTTCTCCAGAGGAAGAGGGTGGTGGGTGAGGCAGGAAGGGTGGGATCTTTGGACGCAGAATCTAGTCATCGGATCTTCATGAGAGCCGATAAAAAATAAGAGGTGTTTTATTTTAACATCCAGGAACTTCAAGACTTAAAGGGATATTACAGTGTAAAATTAAGTTATGGTCAAACACACCGTAAACGCCAACCAAAACGTCAATCTATAGCCACGAATAATGCTCAGAACAGCACCTAACACTGACTCTATTCTTTAGCAAAGAGACTAAACACAACTCACCTACTCGCTTCCAGCAGCCGCTTGTTTGTAGTGAGACCTCAGGCCAGTCCATTACGGACTACAGCGGGGTGCCGCAGCTCAAGGAAGAACATTTATGATCATTTCTTTATGGGAATGCAATCAGACCGAGACGCTAAGGCAGAAGAACTACCACGTCTGTAAAATGATTAATATGGTGATTATTACTTCAAGGAAATGATAAAGAAATGATCATAAATGTTCTTCCTTGAGCTGCGTCACCCCGCTGTAGTCCGTAATGGACTGGCCTGAGGTCTCAATACAAACAAGCGGCTGCTGGAAGAGAGTAGGTGAGTTGTGTTTAGTCTCTTTGCTAAAGAAATGAGTCAAAGTTAAAAAGATGTTTGGTGTCTAGTACTACGGCTGTGACCCTATATGTCCTGTTGATGAAGTTAGGTGCTGTTCTGAGCATTATTTGTGGCTATAGAGTGGCGTTTTGGTTGAGGGCGTGGCTCTCTGTATTGCTATCCTGCGGTCGTTACTAAAGTTGGTATAACTAGAGAAGCAAGCGGTCGGTAACATTCATCTCTGGAGGGGGGTTCTAACTCGATGTTACGGTGTGTTTAACCCTAAATTAATTTTACGCCAGAATATCCCTTTAAAGCGTGGATAAAACAGCCAAAGAAATGAGCCCCATTCAAACACAAATCCTGTCTTTTAGAGACGTGCATCCTAGCTTCTATCTCCCACTTGAAAAGACTCATTTTCAGACGGATGGGGGTCTGTCTCTCCTCTGCTGCTGACTCAGAGGACTCGAACATCCTCGTGTCAGGCTGCACTGTGCAGATCCGTTTGTCAATGTATGAATTATGAACATTCATTTCAGGATGTCTAACGAGACTCTCAACTTTCCTTTCACACGCGTTTCCACCGTTTCAAGCCAAATTTCCAGAGTCGCAGTGAGAGTGGGCTGATTTGACGCTGAAGTTTGGTGTACTGAGGAGTTCTTTTGGCTGCGCCGTCCCTCCAGGTGGCTTTCTCTGGCTCCCCGCGGCTCGAGCTGAATCCCCGGGCCCGCTGCCTGAAAGCCTTTGTGCGCTCTATCAGGTGCGAAGTGGGAGCTCTCTCTCTCTCTCTCTCTCTCTTTTTCTTCTTCAAGTCTTTGACGATGCCCAGCAACTGTCATCTGTCAGCAGCATCTGTGGGAAGCAGCTTGTTTTCAATGAGTGCGGATTTCCTGGCCGTACCTGTCAGTCTGACTCATAGCGGCTCGTAACAGATGCTGCTGCCGTTCTTCTAAACTCATTAACTGCAGCCCACACTGTGTTGTGGTTGTCGTTCATTCGGAGTGACATTTGGGGCTTCTTGGTTAAATGTGTGAGAGTTAGATTATTCACTAAACGGACATGTTTGCATTGCTTTATAAAAACTCTCCATATCGGCGGTTTATCTCTGGGTTTCTGCTCTAATACACGACTTGACATGTGAATTCTTCTAATAGCTCATACGGCTGATATTCGCGGTGCTGCGGTGCCTCAACTTAATCCTCGCAATGTCAACAGCAGCGCCAAGAAGAATAGACCTCCGTCTTAACTGTTCATCCAAGGAAATCTTCACTGATTGCAAAAAAATATCCCGAAACCTCTCAAGGAGCTGGGATAGTTTCATGTTTAGCTTATGAGTAAGTCGAGGCAGTTCGGTCCAAATCCAGCAGAAATGGATGAAATATACACATGATAAGTAGGTCTGACTCCTGCACCAATAACTGTTGAGACATGGAACAACCCCCGCAGACCTTCATAATCCCTCTGACGAATAGCTGCGGTGCAAATCTTAACTGCAGCCATCCCAGATCCAACGGCGCTGTTCCAGGACCAATTGGCGGGGGCCATTAGGGGCGTTCACATACATTTAGATGATCCCTCTGTTTGCATTACCCAGGCACAGATAATCTGTGTATACAGTGGGGAAATTAGGGCCGAGCAGCCGTGGGCACTGCGCACGGAGACCTCCACATGTTCACTTCAAAGTGGCTGCAGCTGAGTGGAAGCAGGTGTGTCTTGTCCGGAGTCGGGCGCGGGGTGGGCCCGAGCTGGATGGAAGGAGGAAGGAAGGCGGGATCCCCTCAGGCCGGTCTGTGTGTGGTGGAGAAGGTCATTTCACGTGTGTCTGAGCAGAGCAGAGAGAGTCCGTTTAAAGCGGTTCTGATGTGGTCATGTGCAAATATTTTGTAATAGTGATACAACACAGCGCAGAGCCAGAGTGGCATATTTGTGCGGGGAGAGGTCCTCTGGCGAATGAGAGAAATGTGTTTTCAATAACGGAGCAGAGTCGTGTCTGCAAACGAGAGATCCTGCAAAATACACAGATGATGACTTCAGACGGAGGAAACTCACTCGGCTGATTTCTTTTATCTTATTTCATACCAATAAGTTTATTTTTGTGCCGTTAAAGTTCGGTGACATAGTTTCAGGAGAGCCCGAGGCGGCGACAGAAAGGTCAAACACACACGTGAAAACCTACAGTCAGTGTCGTTTCTTTCAGAAAGTCGACTCTCTTGATAATTCTGGATTTCGTTGGCGTTTTCTTCCGCTTCATCTGGGACCGGGTCGTGGGGGCAGCAGCTTCAGGAGGGAAGCGCAGACGGCCCTCACCCCAGATATACAGATATAATCCCTCCACCTGGTCCTGGGCCGGCCACGAGGTCTCCTCCCGGTGGGACATGTCTGGAACACCTCTAACGGGAGGCGTCCAGAAGGCGTCCTAACCAGATGCCCGAGCCACCTCAGCTGACTCCTCTCGACGTGGAGGAGCAGCGGTTCTAATCTGAGCGCCTCCCGAGTGTCCAAGCTCCTTACCCTATCTCGAAGTCTGAGCCCGGACACCCTGCGGGGGAAACCTATTTCAGCCGCTTGTATCCACGACCTCGTTCTTTCGGTCATAACCCAAAGTTCATGACCATAGGTGAGGATCGGCACGTAGATTGACCGGTAAATCGAGAGTCTCGCCTTGCGGTTCAGCTGTTCCTTCACCACGACGAATCGGTTAAGCGTCTGCATCACTGCTGATGCCGCTCCGATCCACTTGTTGATCTCCCGCTCGATCTCTTCGATCTAATTCTGGATTTATTTTAGATATTTGCAGGAAACCGTGTCCTTAAACCTTTTTTATAATCTCAGAGGAAACTGATTTTCTTCCTCTTATTTCAAATGAATTAATTTATTTGTTGTCCTTTTACTTTGGTGTTAAAGTTCGGTGACACAGTTTCAGGAGAACCCGAGGCGATGGTAGAAAGGTCAAACACACATATGAAAACCTGCAGTCAGTGTTGTTTCTTTCCCAAAGCCGACTCTGGATAATTCTGGATTTATTTTAGATATTTGTCTCCTTTAACCGTTTTTATAATCTGAGAGGAAGATGATTTTCTTCCTTTTTTTCACCACGACGACTCCAAACTTCAGCGGAAACCTTTTTAAAGTATCCCAGTATTACACTGAGATATACTCTCAGGAACAAGCTGTACTACTACAATATGTTACCACTGAAATGTAGATTTATTCCTCCAAATGTGCACAGCTTTGGTGCCGGTTGCCACCACGACAGCGCCATGAGCACAAACTGAAACTTTTCATCAAAGTGAGAAAGTGAAGTCGCTGAAAATCGCCCACGCAGTCAGAGTGACATCCATACTCTCACAGAAACGACAGCTAACACTCAGAGGAAGACAAGTGGATTGTGGGAAAATAAACCAGGCACACTGTTTTCTGCTTAATTGAGACGGCGTCACAATAATCTATGCGACAGAGAAGAATTTAAAAAACCTGCAAAAGGCGTCCGAGATAAAGAAAAGGAAACGCCCGAGTCATGCAGCGAGCTGTTTATATGTGCGGTCACTCTCGAACACAACACCTGTGTTTGTGTTTGTGCAGGTTTCCTCTGATAGTGCCGCTGCGTGTCTGTTTGTGTGTTTTTCCTGGAGGTTAAACACTTTGTTTCCCCTCTAATGGCTCCCTCGTTCGCCGCGGCGGAAGAAAAGGGAGAAGGGGTTATTGTGCGAGCGATTTGTCACCGCCTGTCTGAGCTGTGAAGTCCGCGCTGACACCATAACTACTTGATAATAGTTCATCTGGAGGAAAGCTGTGCCTCGAACTCGCGCTTTTCTCTGCACTGACCTCAATGCAACACGGTTTTCTCTGTCCACCTCTGACTCTGAGGGACCGGATCATTTGTTTGCATGTCACAGGTAATGAATGCGCTGCATGTTAGGGAGTATCTCTAAACGTTTGCATGCATCGCTTAAACAAAACTACCTGGTTTAGACCTCAAATATGAATAATCTATTTTCTCTGCAGCATTTACAAAATTAGAAAAGTACATGTGTCAGTGGGGGAGTTATTTGAGGCTTTTAATACTGTAAAAATTAATGTAATTAGGGCTGAGACCTGATTTAATAAATATCTAATTAATCAGAGGCTTTGTAATTAAAGACAGAGTATTAGGAAAACACATTAAGAACAAAAAAATAAATATGACTGAGATTAAAATCATTACTAATGAGGATAAAGTCGTGATGATTTTATTACAACATTATTCTCATAAGTAATTACAAAGTCTTACTTTTTCTGAATGTGGCCTTAATACTCCGTCATAGTAATTAATTAATCTCAATTAATCACATTTTAATAACATATAAATTTCTGACCTGAGAACAGTGAGAATCTTTTTTTTTTAAATGGTTTATGAGTGAATCAATGAAAAGTGAACTAAATAAACATAAACAACATGTTTAAGCAAATAAAACCTTGTTTTTTTTTTTTTACCTTAACTCACTCGTCCTTGCTCTGACTCCTCTCATCTGGTCGAGTAAAGGTCGCTGCACTCGGAGTCGGACTAACGTTAACTTCCACGCTAGCTGGCTCATGTTTAGCATTCACGTGATAGCAGAGGCTTGACGTGCTGCGGTGATATTCTATTATTTTGTATAGTTTGCACAAGACTTTTCTTTTATCCTTCCATCTATCTTTCTTTTTTAAAAAACAGAAATGGCACCCACGCAGGAGCCAATGAAAATACATTTACGCGCGACTTTGTTCATTTTTCCAAGCACTGAGTGGGACTGGAATCACTGCTGCACTCACTCACATTGGGGTGCGCCAGTATAAGCGGTATACCTGAAACTCGACCAGTGAGAAACGTTTGTTTGTTTGTTTGTTTGTTTTATTTTGGATCCACCATTAGTTACAACAAAATCCTCTTCCTGGGGTCCTTCTATTCTTTTCGATTTTCACTTTGAACCCAGACATGTACTTACAGACATCACACTTCCATAACACTTGTTGAAAAATAAACCAAAACATAAATAAGATGAAGAATGAAAAGTGAAATGACAAAATAGAAAAACTGAAGAAGAGCTGAACTTAGTTTCATTCATGGTTCTCCATATGGAAACAAATAAACCTTTAATTGTTTGTTAAAGCAACATCTGTTGATGTCTGAAATTAAAAAGTTAGAAAATAAATGTCATGCCTTCGTGGTTCATGTTCTGGGGTGAAAAAATATAGTAGGCGCGGTTAATATGCGTTAATACTTTTAATGAGATAATATTACTGTAATTAATTCATTGCAATTAACGTGTCAAAGTCCTGGCCCGTAATGTAATGCATACATTTCATTATGTATTAAAAGAAAATTCTAATTTTTGTTTCATGGTGCTCGATCGGAGCATGCTACAGGAAGGTTTTCATGATTATTTTTTTCTCTTTTTTTAGTTTCCTTTAGCAGAGAATCTCTCCCACATTTTTCACATTTTTAAATTTTTCCTAATTAAAGTAAGCTGAGATGGAAGAAGTCGCCCTGCTCTAATTTTGAGGTCTATAATAAAACGTCCATGACTGAAAAACCTTGAGGCACACTGATGGATGAACGATTACATCCTCGATGGTTTTCACGTGTGCGCTGACAGATTTGCTTTCTGCGTTTGCAAACAGACGCACTAACGAGTACACACACATTACAGAGGCATACACACAATCACACACACACACACTTGCCCTGTTTGTCTCCTCTGTCAGCAGAGCTGTCGTTCTCCTCTACAGCTAACATGTTTCTGATTAGCACATGACCTTTTTCCTCCGTGTGTGTGTGTCTGCTGAAGAAACTCGTCCTCATCGTCCTCAGATTGCTCCGCTGGTGCAAACAAAACACCTCTGCATGCAAAACTAACAACAACAACACCAAAACGAGCGTTTACCATCCGCCGCAGAGACACTCCATAATCTGTACGCCTTTCTACAGCGCTCACTACGAAAGAGTCGGAGAAAAAGCAGACCCTCTTTCCATATGGCTGAACGTCATGAGTAATATTTTGAGTTATGGTGTTTCCACAAATCTCTGAGCTGCAGCTATGGCAGCAGAAGTTCTCCGCTGCCAAAGCCTGTCTCATTTAATTACACCTACATTAAGTAGAGAGTAGACTCTGGAGTCGTCCTCTGCGCTAACCTCTGTTGACATGTACCATTATCACATGTCGTTAGAGGGACCTGGTGTTATTCTGGAGAGCAGAAAGCAGCCCACTGTTCTCTCCTGTTCTCTGGCTTGTCTAATAATCGCAGCTAAAACATCAAGAAACATGTTTTTATGGTCTGACTAAGCCATAATGTATATCCCTGTTGTGCTCTGGGCTAGCGAGGTTTGAACCCAGGGGCACTGAAGTACGTGGAAATATTTATATTCTCCTCAGCAGAGGGGCTGTAACGTACAGCAGGGAAGCTAATCTCACATGCTGGAAGTCCATTCGGGTCTCCTCGGCAGATTTCTGTCCTTCCTCTCTGTAAGAGCAGAGTCCCACTCGTGGTGGAGCAGCGACGTGGACGCATATGTCTGTGTCTTTTCCTGGTGACATGTTTTAAACCTGCTTTTGTTTTTTGACTCACTGTGAGTTTATGTACAAATATTTTGGTCTAAAGTTACAAGCAGAGGCCTGAATATCTGAATCTCAGGTTTCTGTTCAGAAGTTGGTTAAATTGTTGCATGAATTCAGTGTTTTCAAGATTATTTTTGGTCTTTTAAAATAACCTCACAACGCCATCTTTGGTGATTATATTACAGCCTCGTTTTCTCACCTCTTTTGGTTGAACTTTGCATGTTGGAGAGTTTAGGTTTTGATTAACAGAGTGAGTCTGTAATTTCAGCCAAACATGTCTGCAGTTTTCATGGTTAAAACAGTTGTTGAAACATGAAAAGAGTCCCTGTGAATGTCAGAATATGTGAAAAACAAAGAGATGTATGCAGCTGAAAGTCCCTAGATGACAGGGTCACCAAGTCTACAATGTTTATCTGCACCTGTGCACCTCTTTCTATCACTGACTACTTATCTGCATGTGGAGTCACACAGGATTAAAAACCCAAATGTCCTCCCAAATATTGAGTAACTTTAGGGTGATCATATTCTGAATCCTCAAAAAGAGGACACGACTATGCGGGAAGGAGTCAGGGAGTCGCGTGTGGTAAATTTTGAAAGTCTTTTGGGTCGGTTTGAGTGATTTTGACATGCTTTTTACTCAGTTAGTCCACACGACACAAACTCAAAACTTCCATACAAAACCCGGACATTTGAAGGATTTTATAAACTCCCTGGACAAAGTCGGACAAAGTGAGACAGGGCCAGACAACCCCCAAAAAGAGGACATGTCTGGGTAGCAGAGGTCGTACAGTATGTTCACTATTCTGCCCGCACTATTTGTTGGCTCCATGTAGCTTGACAGAAAGCTAATAAAAGATAACGAAGAGAAAACTCTGAAGTCTTGTTGAGGAATGTTTGTTCTTTCGTTCTTCTTTTTCCTCAGTTTTATTTTCCAGCATCTTTCCCATTATAATTATTTATTTTTTTGTAAGACTGAAATGACAAATAAAAATAAACATTATAAAATGTAACGTCAGCTGTCCCTTGAAAACGACAAATATAAAGTAACACACGTTCATAAACCAACAGGTGTACACAAACCTGTACGAGGCGAAGATGAACAAACCGCGATTACCGCGAATTTAACACATAAAAAATAGATCGTCAGAAACGTGATAAACTGTATTACATAAAGTAAACAGATACACGGTAAATTGACAACAATGCTGTAGTGCTTTAACTTACAAAGTTTTACCCCGTGCTGTATCGAAGCAGATGTGCATCGTGTGATTTCTGTCAGAGTTGGTCTGTCCCTCAAAAAGGTCCGACTAAGAACTTGCTCAAAAACGCTGGAGGGCAGAACAGTCACCCTACCTTTAGGGGCTTTTAATCCAGATAGATAATCCAATAGAGAAAGTAGAAAACTGGGAGGACAGACTGAGGGGTGAGATCCAGAAAAAAGACCAAAGAATATGAACATTATATGACTCTGCAGCTGAGATTAACCAGCACTGTAACTTCAGTAAACAGCTAATTAAACCGTCCGCTCGGATGCAGCAGGAAACCAGCAAACCCCCGAGTTCTTGGAGGTGAAATCCCAGTTTTTGTTTGCGGTTTGCAGGAAGCCTCCTCCTCTTTAATAAAACTCATCCTCTCAGGGATCATTCCTGTTATTTTCTTAGTCAGCTTGTAAAACCGTCTGAGCCACGATGTCTGCTAAATCAACTATTTTATGTGGGAGTAGTCAAAAAGACACATGTTCCCTAAGTATCAGAGCCGTTACTGCCTGTTTTGCAGCGGTCGGGTGGAGCAATCTGTAAGCAGTAAAAAATAATGTGCTCAGGTTAAAACATTGAGCGAATAAAAAAGTTTAAATTAGAAATAAAAAAAAGTCCAAAAATGACCAGAAGCATTTCCTGTTCTGACTGAGAACCGGGCACTGATGACTCCTGATTGGCTGAGGTTGAAGCTACAGCTCAATATAATTCTTAAATTAAGGTCGGTGGTTTGATCCTGGCGCTTGTTGCGGAAATTCGACCTCAGGCAAGACAATAAAACCATAATTGTGTTCACTGTTTTTGTGTAGGAGAAAATACAAGCCCCTTTGGACGGCATCTGCTAAATCGGTGGAAAATAACCCGCTTCCGACCAGAAATCAGCCTCGTGAAGACAACGTCAGACTGAGTAATGAAGTGAAAACCGGGCCGTGGAGCCGCGGAGACAGAGCAGAGATCCGTCAACGTTCACAGACAGAGGTAGGTTATCGTGTCAGTGGATGTCAAGTTAAAAACAAAGGTGCCTTCAGGGAAACAGACGATGATCTGATGAGCAGAGGGAGCTGGCAGCACCTGAAGGGAGGGGTTTACCGCCACACCTATAAACCTGATTTGATTCGCTCAGTGTCCCAGCAGCGCCGCACCGGCGGAGAAAAATTAGACTTTTAAATACCTCCGCCGCTATTTAAATGTCCTGATATTTTCATAGAGCGCTCATTCGTCAATCCAAAGACTCTCCAAAATAAAGAATTGCGTGCACGTAGCATTTGACCCCAGTCTGGAAGATAGATTTCCGTGGCATCTGATGGAAAAGGCTGATCTTTATAAACTCCCCTGCCTGGCTGTGGCATTTACTCAGCATCGACACTTGATCTTCATAATGTGTCCATGATGAGGTCACAGAGACCTCGGGCAGATGTGTGTGTATATGTGTGTGTGAATATGTGTGTGTGTGTGTGCTGCGCCGCAGACTGGAAGCAGAAACGCCTGCCTTGTCCTGCTTGTCGCAGCAGATTTTCAGCTCACACTAAACATGCAGCAGCTCTGCAGAAATGCATCAGCAGACAGAGACAGACACGTATACAGACGAACATCAGTGTGCATTTTAAAGGTATGGTTGACGATTAGAGAGATTGGTTATTATTATGACCCTCATTTCTATGGCGATTATTGTCCTATAGTGCGATCTCCACAAAGTGAAGAGAAAAAAAAACGGAACAAATCCGTTCACCTGAGCAGGTGCAGAGCTGCAAAAACATTGACCAATGGGAGCCATCCGTCCTGGACACAAATTTATTTTTTTGTAGGATGGTAGTAGAGGGTCCCGCCCTCCTTCGCCTCTGATTGGCTAGAAGTGCTGGGCTCTGATTGGTTATTCCTTATAGCTCACCCATTCTTGAGAGTCGGGACAAAACATGTCCTACATAGAAAAGTCTAATTTATTCAAAACAATTAAGAAATTCTAAATGTTTGACATACTCAAAAAGTTAAATCTAATGGATTTGTGTATACCAATCCTATTTTTTAGCACAGATATTTACTTTTTGGGGGGATATTTGTTTAAATGAAACGTCTGTGGTTAGAAGGTCCATGTTATTGCTTGTGTCCTCAGCAAGAGGTCACAATATTGACCAGCCCCAAAAAACTTTAAAAAACTCTATAATTGTGAAAACATATACATCAAATAAAAATTCAGGGCTATAAATATATAAACAATGAATGGCCTGAACATCAAAAAGCTTTTTGCCTAAAAATCTGCCTATCAAAGTTGTGTCCTCAGTTTCTGTCAACTCCATCAGATTATTCTATAAACCTCATTAAATCATGCAATATCATGGTCAGCTATATCCCTGAGGTCCCCTTTTCATTTCCTGCTTCTGGTGAATGCAACACCACCACACATGGTCTGGTAGGTTTTACAGTTTTTGATATTTTAGACAAACAATGTCAATATTTGTATGGTCACAGCTGGACCATGTCAACACCGTCTCCCCATTATTATACTTTTTTTTAAACCATAGTGAGTTCAATTAAAGTATTTTAGTGAGATTATCAGGACAGCTAGCAACTGCCAAAAAAGTAGCTAGCTGCACTGTACAATATATGTTTTGGAGGGAAAATACATGCCCTTACGTCAACTCCGTCAGGCGTCAACTCCGTCAGATTTTGTGTCTGACGGAGTTGACATGTAAGCTGATGGAGTTGACAAATCCACCTATAACCTCTTAATGTGCTGACATTATGCTATTTTTGAACATGGTTAAGGATAACAATGTTATTCCAGGGTCTTATCTGCACATAAAAGTACATATATAGCATATATTACGTTATTTTACCATATACTTCTGTTTTGTAGAGTAGACCATGGGCAGGCTGTCTGCTTAATTATAACTGTCAAACTTTCCCAACACACACACACACACACACACACACACACACACACACACACACACACACACACACCATATATCATTGATTGATTGATTAATGTACAATCCTAAAGGTGCAGTATGTAATTTTCACTACCTAAAATCTACACACTGGCTTCTTATAGAGTGCGCAAGAAGTTCTATGTTGCTCTTTTAAACCCCAGTGTAGGTGGGATACCAGATAGAAGAAAAAGGTTATTATTTTTACATTGTTAACTTGGACCCTCAGACCTTGGGCTCTATTTTTGTGTCCACCGGCGCCATGGCGGAGGGTGGCGAACCCCGCGCAGCGGCATTTTCGTCTGGCGGAGCTCAGCGTACAGCCAGTTTGGTATTTTCGTGGACTGAGGTGCACTGAGGTCCGCCAAGCTGGGCGTGGATGTGTGGCAGGGTGAGGTGTCCACAGAATCAGCTGGTGCAGTGACATTTTCGTACTTGTTGCCGGCGTGTAAAGTGCGCTGAAAGCTCGCAGATTCAAACCTGGTCAGCTTTCAGCTCAGGTGGATCCGGATGGGCTAGTGGTATTTTGGGAGACCGGCGGCATATCGGCCTCACCAGCAGGTTTCCACAGTGTCAGGAACATTTCCGTGCAATAAATAATCAATAACAACTAATAATCTGTGTCAGCACATACATTTAGATCTATATCGATATATTCTGATCTATATCTGATCTGATGAGCGCATTTGGCATGCGTTTGGACACTCAACCTGACCAAATTAACACAGCTGCTGAATCCGCATGAAATTGAATCAAATATCTAGTAAATAAACACACATGATGAAGTTAACAAGATATTTAATTTGTCTGCCCCCATTTCTAGCTTCCTCTTCCTCTTATTTCTCGCGCAGCTCAACCTGGACATGTCTCCGTGTCCTCTACCCGTCCTGCTGCAGCTGCTGCTGCGGCAGCTGAACAGATGATTTGTTTCAGTGATCAGATGAGTTTTTTACTTTAAGCCTACATACAAATATTATAATAATCAGTTTTGTGAGCCAAATTTATTTTATATGCCAAGATCTATGAAAGAAAGAGCCAGGCCACGGAGCGCGATTTACACACAGATTGGTTCCGATTTTAATGCCATTTTTGGAATTTATGTTGTGACCTTTGCGCACAACCCACCTTTGTCACGTGAGGTTTAAATATATGCAATTTAATGTGATTGTCTTTATTTGTGGAAAAGGGTGTTTGTCTTACCAGTGGGTCAAACATTACACACACCAAATCCATCTGTGCTTATATGAGACAGTGCAGAGGACGCCCAATGCAGCGCTTACAGTGACACTTGTTGAGGTGCTGCCTTCTGTCGCCATCGTGTGGCATTGCTGTCTTCAGACATCTCTTGATCTCTTTGACTACTTCACGAAAATAGTAATACGCCTCGCTAGTGGCGGATTCAAAGGCGAGAAAAGCTGATGTTATTGGTCAATACAGGTCTCGGCTGTGTTAAACCCACTCAACGCCCTCTCTCCTCCCTCCCTATGACCTACGCCGCTGGAAGGAGCTGAGTTAGGGGAGGGGGGATACTTATGCCAGGCTGCACAACTCACCAAAATACGAAAATGTGCTTGGAAACGCCTTGTCGGCGCGGTGGTTAATTGCATTAACGGTATGTTCAGTATGAAAATAATGAGTTATTAGTTCTTAATCTATTTTCACCTATTGACCTATTGTCAATCGGTTTAAAAACACATTTGTTCAATAACATATGCAATGTCATCAACTCCGTCAGTTTCTCGTCAACTCCGTCAGGTGTTCGTCAACACCGTCAGATGTATGTTTTTCTTCAATTTTGGAGAAAAAAAATTTGTTTCTTCAGTTTATATTGTTTAAGTAACAAAGGAGCATTGGCTCTACATCCTCTTGTGTCTTATTTACTTACAGAAATTGTTTTTATAATATAAAAATTAAAAACAAAGTTTGAAAATGCAACTATTTAGAAATCTTGGTTTTCAAAACAGTGTGAAATCACACACTAGGTTTATATATTATATTTCATAGCATATCAGAGTAACTAAACACTATTACAACATACATCAGAACTTTAGATTCTTGTTGGACTAGAATTATTAAAATTATATTCTTTTTTGTGTGTCTGATGGAGTTGACACAAATCCACTGTCTAAGGGAAACATGTTAATTTATAGAAAAAATGTTTTTATTTAGAGCCTGTTCCTTTACGGGGTTAAATAGCTAAGACCTTTCTCTACAGTAATAAATAACTCTAATCAATATAGTGTGCATTCTCAAAAAAAGTTTTTTAGTAAGTGTTTTGTCCCGACTCTCAAGAATCCCTGAGCTGTGAAAATTCATCATCTGTTGGGTTAGCGTTAGGAGATTCAGAAGTGCGATAATGTTCTGTTCGATGTACAGAGCCGACAAGTCTGGCTTGAGTGTGTGATGATTTTTCCAGCTTTTCTGGCCAATCAGAGGTGAAGGAGGCGGGACTTTCCCTACCATCCTACAAAAAAAAAAAAAAAAATCACGTCCCGGACAGCTCTGATTGGTCAATCTCCTGCTTTGCCTTTTCATCCAATCACCTTGCTGTATTCCACACACCCCTCTCCCGTAGTTCCGACTCTTCCCCTCCCACTCTCCCGGCCCTCCTCGGAGCTCTGAGCGGCTAAAAGTAGCATAGCAGCTTAGCTAAAGGAGCTGTGATGGAGAAGGACGCAAAAAAAAACACTTCAGCTCACCCCACCGCCAAAAGAGGGATGAAAACTCAAGCCGACAGAAGAAAGGGCGGAGTCGAAGAGGAAACATCGGGTCAGCCTTGGAGCGGTGGAGAAAGCTCCGCCAGGATTTGGTCCTGAAAACAGACGCTGAGACAGCAGAGTTTTTGTTGAACAGGTCATTTTTATCGCCTTTTATCGTGGCTCATGTTACATAAATAACTCTTATTAGTCTCTGACATGTCAACTGCAGCTGCAGATGGCGCTCGCTAGCAGAGCTGGCGTTTACTGCCGCTAGTCACTAACAATCCGACATGGTGAATCCTGTTTGAAGCTACCGTAGGATCTTCTGTTGGCCGGCTTCTTGCTCTGCCAGAGGGGGTGTGTCGTGGGGAGGGCGACACAGGTTCTGGGCGGAGTTATCGTGGACGCTTTTCTCAAATCTGCCAGTTTTTTTCAACTGCTTCTCAGATCGTCCACCATGCCTGTAATAACTCTATGTGGTTGAATCTAAAGTGACCTCGGCAAGCTGCTGCCGCCCTGGAAACATCTCCAGCAGTGAAGC